AAGGAGCAGTCAGCTTTGCAGGAGAGAGCAAGCACTAAGTGGCGTTGCCTTGCAGCATCAGCCCAGTGTTCGTGACCAATTGCAGAAAGATTACCTGCTGCTCCACAAATGGGACTCCGATCTTCAAAATAACAAATTTAGCTGGTTCTCTTTTCTCATTCTGCTTCTCTACGAAAATTATGATCAGAAGGCATCGTTGAATTTCAGAAAAAGTACGTATCCGAATTGCCTGAAAACTGAGACTTGGTGAAGAAGTCTTGAACTTTCCCGTTGCTGCAAACAAGGAGTAATACGGGATCCCCGAAACTGTGTGAGAACTCGCTCGAACCTCACAGCGCCGTGCAATCAATGGCAGTAGGGGGATGAAAACCTGCATTCGGCTGCTAGCGGTTGCTTCTTTGCAGTCACAACTTCTTTTACACTTGCACCCTCCTTGGTAGATAATCGTTCCGATGGCAAGGTGATCTTGAGGCTTGGCGACAAACTTTATTGGACACCATCGTGCTGGATGGGTGCCCGGAGATCGACTCTGCAACCGCCCATGTCTTGATCTTAAAGCTTGAGGCTTTGCAACCTCCAGCGCTGAAAGGCCACGATGGAGTCACTGAATGTCCTCAACCACTGGGGATATTATGGCGGGGCGAGAGGCTCTTTCAAAGGCTCCATTCTTTCGAGATGCTAAGAATGAGCTGCAAATGGAGCTGATTCACCCGAGGGAAGCGCCTGAGATTGCACAAAGGAGATTGCCCTCAATCGCAGAACCAGAAAGACTACTTCGTGCAGCAACATGGGTGGTTCGGTGGAATTCAACATGGGTGATTTCACTTAGGTGTGGAAACTGGGCATTGGAGCCGTCCAACAAGGACTGTGTGTTTGATGTGCCAGCTTCTTGGAATGCGCAGGAGCCCGGCCTCTTTTGGCTTGTAACTGTAATGAATGTAGAACCAATTGTTATCGTTCCATTTAAATGCTTACGCCAATAAGTTTTTTGTATGCGCACAATGTCATCGCGTTTGTGGCAGACCGTGCTCTAAAAGGGTGTTTAGATTGGATTGCTTCCGTCTTGTTCTCTCTTGTGTTGTGTGTTCGCACCTGGTTGTAAGAACGACATTTGGGCAAGGAAGTTCGGAGACGCCGTATTGCGAAGTGCAAGACGGGTCCCATGGTCTCACGGGCCCATGCGTCGAACTCTGTTTCCCGCCCACAGCTCCTGCCCTTGACTCCGTGCTCGTGATGGCTCCAGTCCTGCAAGCCTCGGTTGTCATTTTTTGAAAATGTGATGGAATCAACTTCCATTCCTGCTGGCTGGAGCTTTCAGGGGGTTGCGGGACCTTCGTTCCACGCCGTACTGACGCAGCGGCAAGTTTCCACAAAGCCCGTATTTGAACATCCAGACGCATCCCGACATAATCCATGTGTTCGCATGCTGCGGAGTTACAAGGGTTGGTTGCTTGCCTCCGTTTTGCTTGCCTTGCAAGTGCGTGTTTGGCAGATTTATCGATTTTTGACAAGTCGGTGCAAGCAGAGGCCCGGTATCTCTCCTCACAGTCTTTCTTGTTTCTACATACCACCACCGGCCTTCGCCCGCACTGCTTCATGAAACTGAACAAAACTTGAACAGTTTTTTTGTACATCTGTGGGTTTGGAAGTTCAACCCCGACCAATAATAACGAAACGAAGTATGATTCGTGCGTTTATTGCGTACAGCATTTGTGCGCTTCATTTTCTTTCTTTATAATTGCACCCTTAATAACACCAATATTACTACTAAAGGAAGTTCACTATATTCACGCACTTATAATGTCATTATTACAGGCAAGTTTACGCGCGCTATAACAATAGTAATAGAGTTTACTCCAAATTCCAACCTCTCGTGTCGGGTTTTCGTTTCTTGTGTTCATAATTCGAGAAGTAGGTGAGCAGTAGAGAAGTGGAGAATTAGTCTAAATTCCACACCCCATCGTTTCTTGTTTTTGTTTCTTGTGTTCATTCGACAGATGAGAATCAATAGAGAATTATAATCTACATGATAGGAAAGTCTTGTCTGACGTAATCAAAAAGCGGGGGGGGGGGCTTGCGGGGGGTTGTTGCCGGCCCTGCACGGCCACCCTTCTCAGTGGCTTGCTCCCGTGTTCCATGGGATGCCCTTTCTCATGGGGCGTTGGCTCACACTGCGCTCTCTCAATTCAGGGGGGTTGGTTCGCGTTCGGGATCCCTTGGTAGAGGTTAGTAGCGGTGCTTGCAACTTGCATCATGTTCGGTGTCAGTCTGACTTTTCGGTGATGGCTCTGGGCGATGCATGGAGAGACTGACGATGTTTGCAATGATCTTTGTCATGTAGTGGTACTTGGTACTTCGCATGAGTTCTTAAATTGGCAACTTTAAAACGAGTTTTGCAACAAAATTTTTGTTTTTCACGTTGGGCGTGGTGTTTTTGTATGGTGTTTTTGGACATGTGATTTTTGTGATTTTCGTAAAGCTTAAGGGAGACAGCAAGAAAGCTTGCTGAGAAGGAACAAAGGGCTTGAAGTTGAGGTTGAATGCTGAAAATAACAGGGCCGAGAAGGAAAAGGACGAGAAGGGAGAGGCCGAGGGGTGAAAAAGGCGATGGAAACGGGCGATAGGACAGTGATGAAAAACGACGGTGAAAAGGATGCAGGCAGGAAATTCGAACGCTCCTGTTAGGGGCGAAAGCCTATGAAGCGATAGCTGTAGTGAGTTTATCAAGAGTTCTCGACAACCAAGATTATTTTGAGAAGATGTTTCGCAACAACAACAGTGTGTTAATGGAAAGCCCAGTGGCGTGGGAGAGGAGAATTGAAAAAGGCCAATGCCAAAGGCAGCTTCTGACAACAGATGGCCGAAGTGTCTCAGAATGATCGAGAACAGCTTTGGCGAGGAGGAGAAAAAGAGTCCGCTTGCAATTTGCAGTAAGACAGACGTATTGGAGGATGAAAAGTGAAGCAATGACAGCCACTATTCAGGATCAGCAAAAAGATGGAGGTGCTTGAAGTGCGGCCGAGGGTAGGATGTTTGACGGCCCCGGTATAAGTGCTGCCGATGTTACCTTGACCATGTTCTCAGTGATAATATATGCCTGTCCATTCTGAAGCAACACGATCACTACCTACAATGTCACGGAAGGTCTTTGTGCATGATTGAGGGAAACTTTGACAGGCGGGCACATTCGATCAGTGGCATGCCTATTTGCAGGCACCGTTCGTGCTCTTTTGGTTGACGGAGCGATCTTAAGAGGCGCGTCGTGAAAGGGCATTGTGATGTGTTATGGGCGCTGCTCACTCAAGGTCTTAAAGCCACAAGGGCAATGGAGAAGAGTGCAACGCAACAGCTATCAGCTATATTCTCTGGATGCGCAGAGCACGTTGAGGTTTCGTTTCCTTTCACCCATGATATTACATTTGGTGCCAAGTCCTACTTGCATGTATCGTGTACTGACTGGTTGGGATCCATGTGTATCCTGAATGCAACTGATTGCCACTTGTATCGCTGTACATATGACATTTTCGGAGGACTGGTAGCTGTGTGCTAGGTACTCGTACTTGTGCAGTTGTTGCTGTCTTGTGAACTATCTTGAATAGCCAGGCTCTGTGGCTGGTGACGTGTCGCGGATTCAGCTTGTTCTTTCACGTCTGTGAGTTGATTGAAGGCCCACGCGCACCAACCCCCGCTAGCTCGCAGGAAAAGAAATCTGGCAAAGGAGACGCGTAAAGGTCAAGAGGGCGGCGACGCCCTCGGGCTGCCGCCGAGGCCCTACGTGTCGCGCACATGGACTCACGCTCAATGCGGCGAACAGGCTGGGGCACCGTGAAAGCTGTGCCTGATCATGGACCAAAAGGCCGGTGAAGGTCGGCCGGCTGCACTGAACAGATGCTGCACGTGAAAATAGCCATCAGGCCAAGGAGGATCAGTCCATCTGATCGAGCTTGCCCGCAGCCTTGCGCTCGTCGTCCTTCTTCTTACTTTCCGTCTTCGGCTTGTCGTCCTTCTTCTCGTCCTCCGTCCGGGGCTTGTCATCCTTCTTACTTACTTGTGTCCTCCATGCCTTCTTGATCGAGCAGCTGCATCACAAGCCCGGCCTGGGGCTCTCCAGCGCCAGATAAAAATGCAGTGTCCTGTTCCTTCAGCGTTCTCATGCAATGCTAGCACGCCTTGGTCATTGACACGGCTACTGCCTAAGTACCCCGAAGCGTTGATGCCACACGTTGCCGTCCGTGTGTTTATGTGTGTGTGTGTGTGTGCGCGTGCGTGCGTGCGTGCGTGCCCTGGGCTGCTGCTGTGCTCCCCCCACTTGCCACATTCCGACATTGAACAATACTGGCACAGTTCAACCACGCAATACTGGGCAGATGTTCAAAAGTCATAACAAGTAAACATGAAGGTGTTGAAGTACAGCACTCTTGGATCTGAAGCATTGTGAAATTCAGCTTTTGCAGTAGTTTTCACTATTTCCACCCCTTTTCAATGGGATGCAAAGTTTGATTTTAAAGTTTTTGATCCCAAATGACAAAGATTTTTTCCATATTTCAAACCGTGCTGTGTTTCATGAGTGGCTTTCGAAAGAAAAGTTTCAGATGTTTCAATGTGCAGAGCCCTGCTCATCATGATGATGCCTGCGGCTTTTTTGGCTGAGGCCTAAACTCCTTAGGCAAGTCACCAGCCTTGCAGAGCACAGGAGGCCTAAACAGAGCAACGGCCAGCAAAACCACATGACAAACATTATGTTGGCACAGGCTAAGGCGCAGGGCACGCAACGGCGCAGGTCCTGCAAGTAAGAAACAGTCGTTGTTACGGAGCACGGACGCATGAATTTGCAAATTGCCGCTACTGGAGGCTGTCCTCCGTCTGGCCGCCGCGCCGTAGGTGTTGTCATTGTTGGAGGCGTTAAACTCTAGACAGGTAGTACGAGCTGACACTTTTTTTCACAGTTCTCGAACTTTCATTGGGCCAAAGTGCCTGGGCAAGCTGCCATGCCCCAAGCCATGAATGAGGCCGGGGCAGTTTGTGGTTGAAAGATCCTGGTTGGTTTGGTTTTGCCGATGTGTGCAAATCTCTCGTGCCCAGGCAGGGCTTTTGAACTCCATGCCCTTGGAGGATCTCAAGGCTTGTTGGTTTGCGTGGTTTTGAGTGGATTGCCTTCAGTCGTGACAAAATGCATCGTTTCTTGCTGCGTGTGGCTGTAAGCATGCATGATTGGATTTCAATGTTTGGGTTGCAAAATCACGCTTCCTGCAGGTTACCTGTGAGCGCTTGGAGCGCAGTTGCCAGGTGAGGGCAGCATGATGCTCGCAGTCACATGGTTGTTTTTTCGAAGCCAAGCATCTCCATTACAGTCATGTACATCGGCGTGTATGTAGGCAGAATGAGATGTTTTGGGTCGTCAGCAATCCTGCGTTCCTACGGACTCTTCCTACGGACTCTTCGACAATCTGCCAATGCGTGGTAAGCGTTCAGGAGTCGTGCGTTGCACAGGACATGCGATCATTGCTTAGCGAGTTTGAAGAGGAGCAGGCCCGACATGTGTGCAGCTTTGTGTTCTGATTTCGACATGTTCGCGGGAAAGAGAAGGATGTTTATTCATGGCTTGCATGATACGGTGGTACAACACAGCAGCACAATTTAGACGTTGGCTTCGCGGGATGTTTAGGTTACTCGAACGTCTCACCGTGCAGCTTCAGAGCAAACGTTGGGCTTGAAGAAAAGTGTGTTTTCTGCATCTGCATGAAGGCGATGCTTCGCCAAGAGCAAAATCGGCTGCACAAGCTGCCAAGCTTCATCAAGTTGGCAAGCGTTTAGACAGTTTCAACAATCATGAGTCATATAATGTCACCGAGTCCTTTTTCACCACCACCACCTTGCAACTTACTGGAACTGAGGCGTGTGGAGAAAGCGCAAAGGAAGGTCAAGGGCAGACAGGACCGGAGCCTTCGGTTGTGTAAATATGCGTAGATGGCGGCGTCGAGAGTCGTGGATGCTTGCGATTTGTTCCTCAGACTTCAAACACCGCTTTCGTGGCCCCACTGTAGGAACGCTTTCTCGACAACCTTTTGAATGACATGGAGCAGCTTGAGGCCATCATGGTTTCGAGAAGTTTCTGATTCTCTGATGGATTTCGGTCGGGGGCGCACCCACAGAATGTTTTGATGGCTGGATGTTTTTGTTTTTCAATATAAAGTTGCAATGGCTTATGTCACTGTCAACGGCGCGGTGGTGCTGAGTACTGTTACTTTGCAGGTGTCGAATTTGCTCTCGAGCATTTTCCGTGCGAAAGAAGAGCAAAAGGTCGACGTCTGAGGAGAGCGCATGATGCGGTTCTGCAGCTTCGGGTGGCCACTTTGACCTGGAGAGCGTTACGAGTGCAGGAGGGAAGTTTGCGGGGTCAGCAGACAGTGGGCTCGCGTCAAGTGCGGGGGTCTTTGGCCCTCAATCCCGAAAGAATGAGGAAGAAAAAAGGTAGATGGAAAGAAAGAAAGAAAGAAAGAAAGAAAGAAAGAAAAAAAGAAGAAATAAAGACAGAAAGAAAGAAAGAAAGAAAGAAATAAAGAGAAAAACAACGAAATAAGACAAAAAGAGCGAGAGCGAGAGAGGGACAGAGTGAGAGAGAGGGCGAAAGAGAGCGCACTATGAGAGAGATGTGTGTGTGTGTGTGTGCGCTGAGAAGCGGTGCTGAGGCAAAGAGGCGCCGCTGGACTGCTGCCGAAAGCCAAGGCAACTGAAGCTCTCTCTGAATGTCTGAAGATCTACCGGGATTCCGAACTCTTCCATGCGGTTCGGCTACTTTGGGTTTTATGAACAAGCTCAGCATTCAGTAACGGGACCAGACGGGTCCTTTCATGTCATACAGCGTGCTTCACTGCTGCTCGGGCCAGGGAAAAGATAATTTTAAGGCTGAAAAGATTTTTGGGGACTGGCCTTCTTTGGACATGGCCCAGATCCCAACCAATCCGATCAGCCATGTATTTCTGCTATGACACTGGCAAAGCCCCTATGACTCCTTCGGAACGCTCTACACCCGAATCTGAACTGGCGCATACTGTCGCTCCGGACCCGAGCCAGCTGTCTGAAAGCATCAGCGTACCTTCCGAGATGTGCGCCAGGTGGCAAGTCGACGGTGCAACAAAAGCTCCAGGAGCTTAGACGTGCTGAGAAGCTTAGATGGCTATTGCTGGCTCATCTTGCTCTTGGAATAGTCGTTCTGAAGTCCAGGTCTTTGCATTAGTTCATGCCAATTGTGCAAACAGAAGACGGATGTACGAGCCCAGCAGGACAACGATCTCTCTGGACCCTTTAGTGATGTCAACGCTGGGAACTCACCTTCCGGCGAACTGACAGATGTTTGCGCCTTTGCTGGGGCATGCTGTGGGGCTTATGTTTTGAGGTTGGGGTTTGAACACGCGATAGCAGCATGATGGATGGAAATTGGTCAAGCAGCGGACGGAAATGCGTGGCCCGACAGCACTCCACTCTGAACTCTTTGGCATATTTGGTTCATGTGCTTCCTGCTTCCTTTCAGCTCTCATGCTGTCAGCGGATCTCGGAACAAATCTGACTGGTGAGGTCCAACTTTCTTGGGCCTTCGGTCTCCAGAAAGGTGGGTTCGGAGCTCAGCAACTCTTTCGATCAGCTTGTGCGAGAGAGCATAGTCCAGAGGTGTGGCCACAGCCTGAAGAAGACAGCCAATGAACTCAGTTCTGTTCTGCAGGATGAAGCGTGCCGAGTTTGGCACCGAAGCAGCAGAGCTGCAGAAATGGGTGGTCCGCTCAGAAAGCTACGTGAAGTCTGAGCATCAGCAGGCTCAACAGACATGCAACGGCTGCATTCTCGTTCAGCAAACTGCTGGGGTATTGGATGCTTCCAATGTCACTCCATGGTCAAATGACCTCAGGCTTCATTGCCAGTGCATTGCATGCGTACTTGTCAGTGGCTTCAGGTTCGAGAGGTCATGTCAGGCGATCCGGTGGCTCGAAGCTGAGGGAGTGTGCAGATGACAGTGGGCCAGCCAATTTGTTAGCATGCTGCAGATGTCCTACAGTTTTCAGAGGGACATCAAGGGCTACTGCTACTGCTACTGCTACTACTACTACTACAACAACTACTACTACTACTAGTCCTACTACTGCTACTCCTACTACTACTCCTACTCCTGCTCCTACTCCTACTCCTACTACTACGACGACTACTACTACTACTACTACAACAACTACTGCTACTTCTGCTACTACTGCTACTACTGCTACTAGTGCTACTACTCCTACTACTACTACTACTACTACTACTACAACTACTGCTACTACTGCTACTACTGCTACTACTGCTACTACTGCTACTACTGCTACTCGTGCTACTACTCCTACTACTACTACTACTACTACTGCTACTACTGCTACTACTGCTACTACTGCTACTACTGCTACTACTGCTACTACTGCTACTGCTACTATTGCTACTACTGCAACCACGACGACGACGACGACGACGACGACGACGACGACGACGACGACGACGACTGCTTGTCTTGAACTTCTGTCACGACTTTTGCTACTCCTACAAACAGACAAACAACCTCGCCACTACACGAACTACTACTACTGCTACTACTACTACTACTACTACTACTACTACTACTACTACTACTACTGCTGCTGCTGCTACTACTACTACTACTACTGCTACTACCACTACCACGACCACTACCACTACCACTACTGCTACTACTGCTACTACTGCTACTACTGCTACTACTCCTACTACTACTACTACTGCTACTACTACTACTACTACTACTCCTACTACTCCTACTCTTCTGTCACTACCGCTACTACCACCACGACGACGACGACTGCTACTACTACTACCACCACCACTACAACTATTCCTACTCCTGCTCCTGATCCTGATCCTGTACTCCTCCTACTCCTGACTGCGACTGCGACCTCGTTTTATATTTCTTTTTGACATGTTTTCCTCAGCAGGAACGAGTGGGAAGGCCGAGGCAGTATGCCACGTGTCGACTCCGTCCTTCCTACCTTCCTGTTCTTTTTTTTCCCTAAATAACTGGATTCCAGTTGTGCCCTGAACCCCGATGGGCGGGAAAGAGACCTTTCGTTCACCGGCCTCAGCGCCTTGCTCCACCAAGCTGCGCGTGCGCGTATGCGGGCTGCGGATTCTCGAGTTTGTTGAGCAGTTGTCGAAATTACGGTAGCTTCCTGGGATCGACAAATTCTTCTGGGTGCCTCTACCCACGCGTTCAGGAGATGCGTCCCTGCACTCACAACCTGGATCAGTTGGTTCCAACCTAGTTTGGGACGCCCTGGGCACCGGGCACCGTTCTGTTGTAAGGCCGAGGCTGAAGCACTGCCCGACGCGATGTGGGCAGCGCAGCTAGCCTCGACCTCATTGCCCAATGGCTGTGCAAGGTTCCAGGCTTGCAGTTTACAAGGCTTTAAGAGGTTGGCTTGAAGTTACCCGGAGGTCTGTGTAGCACTCTTGCCAAGGCGCAAAAATTCTGATGCCAACATGCCTTGATCATGTGCCCGTAGGCGAAGAGAGCTGTGGAGTCTTCGTCGTCGTCTTAGCTGCTCATGGCCAGAGTTGAAGCAAGGTGGTCGAGATCTTTCTTGGGGTCTGAACTTTGCCACTAGACTCACGAAATCTGCTCTGTGACTGGCTTGCGCACTGAACTTTGTTGCCTGCAGCAAGGCCACAGAAGGCTCGCCACAGCCCATCGTCCAGTCCCAAAGCTCCAGGTGAGCTCGGGCTGGGCCATCAAGCCGTCTGTGGTAGTGGAATGCAGTGGATGTTTTGTTTTGCTCAGCCTGTGCAGAGCAAGGATCCCGTTTGCAGTGTTTGCACCTGAAGGACCTGGGATGGGCTTCTACACAGAGCCCGGGCACCGAGTGTTGTGATTCCGCGTCTCGCCCTTTTGGCAGAAAGACTGCTTGAGACCGCCCTTTTGGCAGGCAACCTAGCCCGACCGCGGTCATCAGGCATCAGGGCACCCGAGGATTGTGTGCTGGTGCTCGACCGCGTGTGAAGCCACGGTTATCGAGGGGAGGCATAAGGAAGTGGCATGAGGAAGCATCAGCAGATGCAGACCTCTCAGACCTGATAGGCCAGCCGTGCGAGCCCCACGGCCGGATGGCGAGGTGGGATCTTCCATGCTTACTCAGTGTCAAGGGGGTCTTCTCGTTGCCAGAACCAGCCCCCAAAGCGATGCTAGTTCTGCACTTCACGGGGAGAATGGAAGACAAACTTGGGGTGAGGGAGCGGAACGAAACCCACATCCCATGGCACATCGGTGAGTCAGTGTTTTGTGCACCACTTGTGCCGACCAGCATTGTCGCTCAGAGAGTGTTTGAGAGATTCTCTAGCGCAAGGTATTCGTTGCACGAGCATGACCAAAATCAGCCCGTGCTGGTATACAACCCTTGCACCAGATGTCACATCGCTGAGTACCGGTCCAGGCATCTCCTGAGCACAGTGGTGCCGAGGCCGTCGTTGTGGCAACTGATCTTCGCAGAATGTTTGCAGGCTTCATTGTATTGGTTCCTGTAGACGTTGTCACAGGGTTGACAAGCCATACTGATGGCGTTTAAAGATGGTCCTACTCCCTGCTGTTATTGGCTGTTGCTAGTGCTACTGGCGGCATGCTGAGGGGGTTGTCGTAGGTGGCCAGAAAAGCACCACGAACGGGCACATCCTCCGGTGTGCAGGATCCCAGTCACTTCGACACTCTGGTTGGCCTCGTGAGCAATGTTGCGGGTGGTCGCCTTAAGAAGGAGACCGGAAGCAGCTGCTTGAAATATTTGGGAAGTATAAATTGCTGCTGCTTCCAGAGGTCCTCTGTGTAACCTATATACTGTTCAGTCGGGTAGAAGACATGCGGGGATATTTCGAGACTGCGAGCAGAACTGAGTGGGTGTGGGGATTCTCGCTTTCTCAGAAACCGTCAGAGGTCACCAGGTAGCCCAGCAGATGGAGAGAAGCTTCGAAGCAGCGCAGCACCTTGCGCAGCAGGCCAGCTCTCGAATTGAGGAGCTTCGCCTGTGCTCAGAATCCTTTTTGTCAGGCACGTGCTGCTTCCAAAGCGCGCATGGATGGCCGCGGCAGTTGGAGCCCTTGTCAACGGGAGGATCAGCAGCGAGTCGAAACGTTTCGCTTGCGATAGAGCGTGCTTCGTCATGTTAAGGGACGGTTGGCAATGAGAAGATGTCAAGAAGCTTTACGAAATGCCGTTCATCATACGTTGAGAAATAATAGATCCCTTGGCAAGCTCCACACATCTTTGAACTCCGGAAATTCGCCCAGGCGGGGCAGACATGCCCGCTGCCCCGACATTCTCCAGGCGACTGCAGGAGGCTGGCATCTGCCAAGCGCCCCCGAAAGAGTGCAAAGCGCAAACGAGTCTCCGTGCCAGCGCAACGAGTGCCAAGTGCTCTTTTGAGAGACGCAAGTGGTCATTCGGCAAGGCGGGTGCCGTCATCAACTTCTTCGCAGATTGGGCCACAGGCACCACCGGAACTGGCCGACATTGTACATTGTCGGCCATGCCAAAAAAGCCAACGAATCAGAATCTGAATGTGGGCTTTGCCACTTCCGTTGCCGCTGCTTCTTGTATTCTCCTTGCAGGAAAAGAGGCCGAACTCTCGAGAGAGGGCGAGGCACTTGTTTTGAGCTGCAGACAATTCATACAGTTTTTGGAGTAGCAAGGCATCGCTTCCTGTTCACACACACAGAGTCTGCGCATGTGCGCTACTTGTACTGACTTGGTGTGGCAGGGCGAGGAAGTGCCTCGTGCTCAGGAAGCCCGTTAGGTCCATTAGTGCATGTGTGTGTGTGTGTGTGTGTGTGTGTGTGTGTGGCGACGAGGCCCTTGTTGGAGCAACGATTTCGAAGCTGCTTCTTCAGGTATCTTCCGAGACCTTTGCCTTCTGACAAGGACTGTGAAGCAGAATGCCAGATTGCGAATCGTATCTCTCAAACTGCAAAGGGCTCCAAATCATCAGACTCCCGAACATTAAATCGAAGCCCAACCGCATCTGAAGTCGAAATCGGCTGCAGGGACACTGAAAGTAGTGTGGTAGTCTCCAAGTACTGCCGCTCCCCTCCAGGCGCAGGCGAGGCTAGGGGAGGCAGGGAGCGAGCCGGGTGCCCCAGTCAGGGCAAAGGGTTTAGGGTTTAGTGTTTAGGGTTAAGGGTTTAGGGTTAAGGGTTTAGGGTTTAGGGTTTAGGGCAAAGGGCAGATGCTGGATTGCCAGGGCCAGGGATTAGGGGCCGGCGGAGCCAATATATGCTACTGATCGTCCTGAACTCGTGAGTCCCTCCACTGTGATGGACACCACGACATACCATAACGTGCAGAAGGGTTGCCACAAAAATTGCTGCCTGCTGGGCCCCTAAACCCTAAACCCTAAACCCGGCTGTTATGGTCGCCTCACGCAGGCCTGGGAAGACTGGCCCCGTGAGTCGGGACGCACGGCGAGCCAAGTTCCAGGACACTGCAGGAAGATGTTGTAGAAGTATGTAGGGTTTAGGGTTTAGGGTTTAGGGCTTAGGGTAGAAGTCATTAGCTGCGGCATTTGTCCCCGGCTGAGCGTCAGGAAGCGTTTTCCAGCTATTTGCAGCAGAAGGCTTGTCGGCAATGCACCCATCATAACAGGACTCTCTATCAAGCTGTACCATGAAGTGGAGCATTCCAATATGTTGCTGTGGCAGCTCTGTGCACAGGAACCAAGCGTATGTAATTGGCTAGCTCATGTGGTATTCAGTAAATGGTGGGACCCAGAAGCCACATGTCTGGGGCCCTCCATTTCAAGGTTGGGGGTGGGGAGGATGCGGGGGGGGGGGGGCAAAGTATGGATTCAGGGAGTTGTGTTTCGGATTGACGCGGGGAATTCTTTGCTGTTCCGAGGTTTTCCGTGCGAAGCAGCAAGTCGAGTAGTTGGGGAGCCCCCTTGGCCCAGACATGACCGTCTAAAGCGGATTACACGGGCATCCACACCATCCACAACTGCACTCCAAACCTGGAGTTCAGCACCGTGGCCTCGGGTTCTGATTCGCCCCAGCATAGAGGTTGTACGCCAACTGGCAAAGACTTCAGAAAACACCAAATGCCGAATTCAGACACAACAAGCTTTGCCGCTGCTGCCTTTGTTGTCTAGATCGACAGTGGCAGCAGGCGCCTGACCTACAATCACCGGAGAAGTCTGCGCCTTAAGACAAAGTACTGGGGTATGCGTGCCACTGGGTTTCTGTTCGTAGTTCGCATATGTTCGTATGGTGCATTTCCCGATGTCGTTTGAGATTGCGTGCGCCGCCAATATCGGTGGCCCCGCCGCGAGCCGCAGCGCCAGAGGAAGCATCTAAGCAGTTCTAAGCATCCGAAGTTGCCTTGCAGTTGCTGGTTGCGGTGTCTTCCCAGTATTCCAGTGTTTTTTTGCAATCGTTCTTGAAGGATCCAGAGCCCCCAACGCCGCCGCCGGCACCGCCTACCCGCGAGGTCGCACTGTCGGACTGCTGTCGGACTCCTGTCGGGCTTGGCTCGAGTCCATGAGTTGACCTGGGCTCTTTCTGATTCTTTCTCAGATCAGTTGCGAGTTAAGGCGCCTTGCGTTCCGAATGCAGGCGTTGCTCCAGGAAGCCTTGCGGGCGGCAGAGGTGGAAGAAGAGGCGGCAAGCAGTGCTTGAAACGAGCTGACCTGCTTCCATTTTTGTGACGGTTCCTGAGTTTCGTTTCGCCTAGTCTATGTTGCCCTCAGGCCCCCTCCTTATCGCAGGCACCCCAAAACCTTCAGACGCCTCCACCCTTCACAAGATGTGTCCAAACCGTAGCCAACTCGGACCGCCTTTCGAGATGGCTGATGTGTTGGCCGTGGGTACTCTGGTTCGGGCCATGGCAAGGCAGGCTTGCGGGGGGGCAGACGCAAGGAAGGGCGGTCTCCTGCATATGGCATCCCTGCTAACAGTCACCTCGCTGCTGCGGACACGAGTTACGTTGTCTTTGCCTGGAACCTTGAACACTCCTCCAAGGGGTGAGGTGCTCTTGCGTGCGAAAAGGAAATCTGAGTTGTTACCGGAAAATGGGCGGCTGCTCACCTTCAGAATTTCGAAGGCTGCTTCTGCTTCTCACCTCCTTTCCATACTCGATGTAGCAGTGGACCAGTGGGGATTCAACGAGTTCCACGCTGGAGCAGCTTTCTCGCGGCTAGCCAGGCTCAGAAAGCTGCAAAGGCTGCCGAGTGAGCACTTGAACAGTCATGTCTTCCGACGGCTGCAAGCTCGTGTCCTGGATATGATTTCGCAGAGCGTGCTAGAAGCCCGTGGTGCAGCAAACATCTTATGGGCGGTGGCAGTGCTTGCAGTGGAAGAGGGAAGCAGTGGAGGCGGCGGAAGCGGTGGAAGCCGGCTGCTACCTTACTTGGTGCCGCGCCTGGTGAAGTTGGTTGATGACACCTCACCAAGAATGAAGCCACAAGAGCTGGCCAACTGCATCTGGGCGGTGGCACGTCTTACGGATTATTTCGAGGTGCAAGAAGCACTGCCGGGGATCCTGAAAAGCCTCCCTTCCAAGGTCCCTTACATGAAGCCGCAGGAAGTGTCCAACTGTCTCTGGGCTTCGGCGCGTCTCACCACAACAACCCAGGTCCTCGAGATCCTGGAAGTTGTGCCAAGCATAGCAGAACAGGCCGTTCGGCAGGCTGACATCATGGGACCACAGGACCTTTCGAACTGTCTCTGGGCTGCGGCACAACTGCGACAACTGCGAGGGGCATCAGAGGAGGGCGTTCTGGGGCGGCTCGTGCCCCGGCTGGCGGCCCAAGAGCCGCGGGTGGTGGAACACATGATTCCGCAGCATTTGGCAAACTGCTTGTGGGCCTCGGTGTACTTACAAGATGTTTCAGAGATCTTGCAAATGGTTTCGGATCTCGTGCGGCACATTCCGGCCAAGGCGCCTCTCATGAAATCGCAAGAGCTTGCCAACTGTCTCTGGGCGGCAGCGAACTTGGAGGATAAAGTCTTGGACGTCCGGTCCATCGTGCCACATCTGGCAGAAAGTGTTGCGCAAGAGGCAGCCTCAGACAACATGCTGCCGCAGCATCTGTCCAATTGTCTTTGGGCCTCAGCACACCTGCATAGCTCCGTGCGGGAAGTGTTGAACGCCTTGCCATCAATCCTGCGAAAGATGCCAAGCCAGCTCGGCGGCATGAACTCTCAAGAGGTGGCCAACTGCCTCTGGGCAGTAGCGCATCTGAGGGAGGAGGTGCCAGTGCAGCACATGGTCACTCTGCTTCCTTGCCTGGCCAAGCGCTTGGCCGAGACGGTGGAGGGCATGAAGCCACAGGAGCTCTCCAGCTGCCTCTTGGCCTCAAGCCACCTCGAGAGCGTGTCTCCAGAGGTGCTGAGCTCCATGCCGCTCTTGGCCGATCGTTCCAACCGTATTTGGCCTGGAGGCCTCAAAGACGGCGTGGCAGCGTTGACTCCGTTGACTCCGTTGACTGCACGTGCCTGCAAGCAGAGGAAGAGCAGCCGCAGGTCCAACCCAAGCCGTTTTTGCTCAGCTGCCCACGAACCAAGAAACTTACCCAAAGCCCGGCAATTCTCTTTCTCTTTTGTTCCTGGAAAGATGAGATAAGAGAGATGCAGATAAGAGAGATGCTGTCAGGAGACGGTCGAGCCTTGTGCGGCCCCGCGCTCGGACAATTCGAGAAGTTGTTCCCTCAGTCCTTCCTAGGGCCCACTGTTGGGATTTGAGCCCACATGACATGTCACAGGTAGTAGGCCACACACGAAATCACATGAAGCACTGAGTGTGGCAACTTGCGAGAACTTCACGTTCATGATGGTTCTTCACTTTGCATCTGCTTTGCTTTCAATTCCAGTGAACGAAGATGAGTTTCTATTCTACATCGTTGGCATTAGACTTCAGAGCGTCTTGGACGATGTTTGTCCAGACATGAACAGGCTTGTAAGAAGCAACAGTACTTGCGTGTCTTCAAGTGGTAGCTTTCAAGCAGCGTAAAACCCCACAACACTTTGGGGCTCCGAAGACATGTGCCAGATGGTGTACGGAGCGTATGCAGCATTATGCGCAGCTTTTGACCCGACCTGGGAAAACACAGCAAACAAAGCCAGCGAAGGTGCCTTATGGCGTGTTAGCGCAGGCACGCGGCTGGGCAACGCCAAGTGACGAGTATATAGATGTGTTATGAACTTTCACCTTAACCAGAATGTGTCGTTGTTGAAGTGAATCCTTCATGCGAAGTAGCAAGCAGTCTAAGTATGTCTAAATCTTGGGGAGCTTTGGCGTGGAGCCGTGTCTCTCAGCTCACTCCAGGTGCTGCTATGACTGCGCAACTGGAACATGGAAAAGAGTCCTACATGCAATACGCCGGGCCATGTGGCTCAATTGTCTGCCAACTTCTTGCAGGTGACCTCCCTGGCTGGCGGTTGCGTGCGCCTGTCCTGGTTTGGAGCTTGGGCGTTCCGCTGACTTTAACTGACTGAGAATATCTCCGTGTATGTCTGAAGCCACACTTTGCACGCACTGCAGGCTCTTTGACTGGGAAAGCGCGCCCGATGAGATGTCCAGCGAGGAGTGGGCACGTGCCCTAGAAGTCTACCGCAGTTTCTCAGAAGTGATTCGGTGTCCGAACGCCGAGTCGTGAGCGCTGCTGTTTAGTGAGATCAGCTTGTGATTACCAGCGGCTCGTGTACTTACATGGGGTATGGCATAGATGATGGATGCTGGCGCGCAGTGATCGTTGGTGTTGCGCTCTTTGACAATCTTGCTCTGGACAGTGGCAGAATCGTCACGTCTCCTCCCTCGATGTACTTGAAATCGGAGAAGTCTGCGGGATGTTTGACAGTGTCCCAGGTCGAAGGTCTGGGAGACCTCTGGGTGACCTCTGGGAGACCTCTAAGTTCTGTGTCGGGTGTTTGTGGTGCTCTCTGCATCTCTGTGCGGTGGTGAGCCTGAGGCCCGGAGAGGTTTCGAGGTCCTGTGCTCCGAGGAGGGTCAAGAGGCCCAGTACTACATGCATGACATATGTCCGCGTTGCGCACTTCCACGCTTGAGATGTGAATGGCCAGGATTCTGAGGATGTGAAGGTTCTGCCTTTCTCAAAGCCTGGCTCCGAGATGCATGAGTTGTTCCAAAGTTCCTACGAAACCTCGTCTTGAATTGGGGAAGTCCTCGAGTCCTACACTGTGATCTCCGAGTGCAATTCCCATTCAGCGCTCGGAAACTTCCGAGATCACCGGCGGCCTTGGAGCTCCCTGCCGGGCAAAGATACCGCCTCCAGGCATGGGGCGAGCAGCAGAGTTCTCCCCATTTTTCTTTGAAGTCTTCGACTCTGCATTCAACAATATGCAGGCATGTCAGGCCCGCTGGTCACGCATCAGTTGCGCAAGCATACGGTTCTAAGAGTAATCTCTTTTTTCAATGAGTTGGTTGTAGGCTTGTCTCTAGATGTACCTTCCTGCAAGCCTCGGAGAAGCGGTGGCAGAGTTTCATGCGGCGTGCTGTTTTTCTTGTACTTCTCTCTCCGGGGGCGTGCAAACGTTGAACAGGGAAGCAGTTTCGGCACATGTCTAGAAGGGGAGGTCAGTTCTTTTTCAATTCAGGTGAAGTATTGACAAGGAGGAGGGGGAGGAGGGGGGAGGAGGGGGGAGGAGGGGGGGGACGTTGATGCTTCACAAGACAAGGGGAAGGTGTGTCGGCTCTTGTCGAAAAGTGCTGGTGGAGATGGGAGTGGCGCTCTGCCACAGGCTCATTCCTGTAGCCCTCGAATTCCAGCGAAAGAATCACCGACCCTGCAAGTGTTCCCCCTGATTCTGAGAGCAAAATGAACTGCACAGGTGCGGGCGACCCTGTCCGATTCCAGGCAATCAGGTGCGGATGTTCTTGCTGCACATTCAATCAAGGCAGTAGACGAATCGAGTATTGTTGTGCCATTGGGCACTTTTGTTGCAGCATGGAATGTATACAGTTTATATCGGCACTCGGGGTTACTCCTTGTCCTCAAGCGCCCTGAGTAGCAGGATAGGACTCGTCGCAGCTCCGCTGGAAGTCAAGTCAACGGCCCAGGGACCACCACTTGGACCTCGGCGCCGTCCAGCGCGGCCCGGCCCTGAGTGCCCACACGTTGCCGTGGCTGAATCTTAAAAAACTTATCCGAGCAGTTTGTCTTTGTGGCTGTGGGCTGGCTGTTATGTTGTTCTTTTTCGGTTTTCGAGGGTGAGGTGCTGTCAGACCTCGGCAGTGCGCCCGACCAGGTCAGCGCCGACTTGCGAGCACCCACCTCGCCAGTCAAGGCTCAGGCTGAACTTTGTCGTACGGTGGTGCGAATCGCACATGGTCCGGGCGAGGGCAAAGATACTGTACAGTGTCTCAACAACACGACTGAGCGATGTGAATGAAATGAAGCCCTGAAGCTTTAGAACATCCCACTGTCACTGTCCTACCCTCCAAGTACGCATACTCGGTAGGCGATCAAAGTTCCTGACCGGTGCTTTCGGAGGCCTCCTCACCCGTGTCTCTCGACAGCGAGGCCAGGCATCTTTCCTCTGCGTACGAGCGGCACTGGCTTTGAATGTGGCCTGCAAAAAGGGTTGGAGCAGAGCAACCCCAAACCTTCTGTCCTTTCTCTCTCGCTCTCTGTCTCGCTATTTGTTCGGTCTTTCTCTCTGTCCCTTCTGTCACTACTTCTGTCTCTCTACTAGTAGCTGTCTTTCTCTCTTTCCTTGTTTCCATGTTCGTCTCTTCCTTGTCCGTCTGTTCTATTTTTCTCTCTCGTTAACTTCAGTCCCACACCCCTAAGCCTAAGAAACTGACAGCTAATTCGATACGGGATCCGGCTGTGTTAACGCGAGCCCCCCGTGAGGCAACTTTGCCGAACCTGCAAGTGTGTGGTGCTGAGCCGTTTGCACTATTCATCGTCATGCGTAGTGGGGCGCCGAAAGGAAAGCCTGGCAGCAGCTGAAACAGCAGGCGTACCAAATGCATGTCCGCAACACCTATGCTACCGCAGGCGAAGTGCTTTGAGATCCCCTCTCTTCGCTCCGATTTGCAAATTCCCTTCTTCATATCGTTTCGTCGCAGACTGGACTTTGGGCAAGCAGCTGCAACAACTAAGCTAAAGGTTTGGGTTTCTACCGAGTGTTTGGCAGAGTTTGGCGTAGGCGGGTTGCGCTCGGGCTCAAACTGTCAAATGATGTAGAATGAAAAGTGGTGCTGTGCAAAGAGTGCTGCAATGTTTGGCGCGACAAGCATGCGACCATGCCCAATCTTTTTTGAGTCATCGTCCTTCTCATAAACGTCCACCGAAATGAGAGAAGTGGCGATAACTTGCTTCCGACTTGCCGGCCCTGTATTGTGGACCAAAGCGACCGCCGATCAGAACTGTACTGGTGCCCCCCCGGCAAGCCATCCATCAGCCGAATCAATGACAGTTTCGGCGGGATTGGTTCATGGACATGTCGAGCTCTTTCACCACCGCTGGCAAAGACGCTCATTCTTCCCTGACAAAGGATGAGAGATGATGAGAGATGATGAGAGATGAGAGCAGCCACTAGGATTATGCCCCAATTGCAGGACCAACTCATGGAGCCCAAGACAACTCCCACAAAGGCTCTTCGATCCCCCACCCCCTGTCAAAGGGGGACATCGGAGCTGATTCAACGGCGGGTGTGGACTCTCGAAGATTGAACTGAGGGATGCCCCATGATACGGGTACCTCCCAGTGAAACTCGCAAGCCTGACCCCGGCATAACCTTCCAAAGAGCCAAGATGCCGTCAAGAGACCGGAGCCGCCCGAGCCCAGGCCGAAAGCCAAGTCGAAAGGCCGAGTGGCCGCCAACTTTGGAGTCCTTTGGCTGAAGCAGAGAGGGGGGGTTAGGGTTTTAGGGTTTAGGGTGTAGGGTTTAGGGTTCCGGGTTTAGGGTTTAGGGTTTGACCTGAGTGACAGAACAACAGCAGAAGTAGCCTCAGAAAGGGCAAGTTCAGCAGCGAAGCAGAAGCGGGTAAAGTGGAGGGTTCGCAGTGGGCTTGTCTTGCATGGAGCCAGCTAAGCCTTGCAGACTTCAGTCCGTTGTTCCGACATGTTCCGATGGCATACCAAGTCATGCATGTGTTGATATCATAATGGCAAATGGTCCTTCCATCAAGACTGTTGTTCATCGGGTCAACCCGCGAACTGATAATCGGCAACGGAAGACAGAGGCAGTCATGTCGTGTCTTGATGTGCAAAAAGTCGCTAAATGTCGAACACAGAGTCATGTCATGTCAGTCATGCCATGCCATGCCATGCCATGCCATGCCTTGATTCGTTGCAAAAGCCTTGTCAGTCACCCCGCGAAACCATGCAACAGAAATGTCGACACTCGACCCCTGTAGGCTTTCATGGCAGCAGCCGTTCCGAGCCCCTCTGCGCCGAACGCTGCTGCAGCGAAGGTGCCTTGACTTGAAGACAAGAGGAAGTGCGTGTGTGTAACCGTGTAACATCGTGCAACGTCGTTTAACCCTACAACCCTAACTGGGGCTTGTAGATCGCACGTGTTGTGCCGGGCGGGAGCCTGCGCTTGCTGAGCGTCTAAAGATGTAGTGCGATTGGACCAAAGAGCTCAAGGTTGAAAGGGGGGGCTGAAGAATTCGCTGTCAGTAGCAAGAGCGGAGATCCCTTTTTGTGAGGGCTGGTTTGGATCGGATCGAAATCCTATGGGTCCGGCTGGTCCCTTCACATGGGTGGGGCCTTCGATCCTCAACAGATAAACTTTCAGTTTCCAGCTTGCGTTGCATTGCTTTACAGGAGCGTAATTTTCACGCATCGACTTCGTGTCGACTAAGTGCCATGGCTTCTTTGCAAACATACTGTACTGACCGTTCTCGTCTAGGAAGTCTAAGCCTGACGCCGCACAGAGTGCTAGTGTGAGGTCGTGATGGGCGGGTCAGTTCGCCAGCAGGCCGACCTTTTTAAAGCTGTGCTAGCATAGCATCGAATCAGGCAGCATTGTTGCAACAGATCCACATGTCCCGAAGGCGCGGCCTGATCCGCTGGTTGCACCCTATCCGCGGGTCGTTTCTGTCTGCAGCTGAGCTTTGCTTCCGCCTGGGCGTCTGGAAGGCTCTTTGACCCTTTGACCAAACCGGACCTTACTTTCGACGTACATAACGTTGAGGCCGGCCCCGTGGATGCTGCCAGTGAGAAGGCCGAGATGGCAGAGAGGCCTGCCTGTCGCAGTCGCATGCACTGCCCGTCGGTTGCTTTCTTTGGCTGCTTCCTTGCAAGTTTCCACACGACTGTGTTTTTGTGTTGTCCTCGGTCTGGGCTCAGTGTGAACGTGTGTTGGCGTCTGTTGACGCTTTCCGCCGCAGACTTCGACTGCGCGGGCAAAGTGGGTCGTGGCCCTGGCCTGCAAGGATCTTTGATGGGTTTTTCCGTTTCATCCGTTTCGCTTGATGGAGGTTAGGTTGAGCTGGGCCAGGCATGAAAAGTTGAGGCATATCTTGAAGCAGATGAGATTCTCCTAAGGACGAGGGAGACCTCCAACACGCATGACTCGCATCCGTCCAGATCTCGGCCAGCGTTGCCACCTTGATCAAACGTCTCGTGTCAGTGGCATTTGATGATTCTTCCACTGCAGATCACAAAACCATTTGCTTGGGTCGCATGTTTCGCAAAGCCTGTGAGCCTCACCAGTTCATCGCCTAAAGCCCTTTCATGGCCCTTCAGTATTCAGAATGCAGACGAGAGGTTGAGTCTATGTGAGCCTCGTGCATCCATGCAGCGCAAGAGGGGCCGTTGCACGCCCAGGCGTTCTTCGAGCTTTGATTCTGACGACGAGAGCCTTGCGAAGCTGTCCTTGGCTCTTCGAAGCCGCCCTGCCACGATTGCCACATTGAAGTTCTGGCCACTGCACCGTGATGTACCGTGATGTACCGTGAGCAAGCTCGATGAGCTGTTGTGGCCTGCGCATCTTGGCCGAGGCTTGGAGAAGAACACGGTAGCCAGACAAAAGCGGCAGCTGCAGGACGCGGCATCACGTGCACTAAGCCATTCTCCATGCGCCTGAGACCAATTTGAAGGATGCAATCAACAGGCACGTCGATAGTGGACAGGTGTTTCAAAGTGCTGGAGAGGTTCGGTCCTGTCTTTTTTCCACCTTTCGAAAACATCAAGAGCGTTAGGTGACGGGAGTGGATATCTACTGGCACTATAATACGGCTAGCTTGCTTTTTCTTTGCTGCAGTCGAAATCAACACCCAGTTCTCTTCTTGTCGCAAAGTGCAGAGAATGGGGAGCGACGGCGACATGGATCTGATCGACTCTCCCCCAAAAAGGCATCTTGGGATACCTTGGGTATGGGCTGCGCGTATTGCTTGCCTGCTCAGGCACAGGCACGATCAGGCGCACAGTTAGGCTCTGACATGCTGGCATTGCTTTTGACCCTTTTCTGACACAAATGAAACTGCCCACTTTGGACAGGCCGAAATGTTTGCCGTCTGGCTACTGCCAAGCGTATCACAGTCCTGAGGTTTGACCAAAAAACATTCTAAAAGACGGGGCGACGCCGAGGAGCTGCGCTAGCTGCGCCATCCGGCACCCACTATGGCCCAAACCCGAACGGAGACCCTCCTAAGACTTCGGGCAGCCCACTACGCCTTGGCGCGAACCCCTCCTCCATGGGAAGAGAAGTGGACAAACTCATTAGACAGGGGGGGGGGTAGAAGCAGAGCATGAAGAGAGCCAGGAGGTGGCCAGCGAGGCAGCCCATCAGCTACCAGAGCGACTGGAGGTGCCGCCATCTGCGATGCGTCGCTTTGTCACACCTCTGCTGTTGGCAGAGCTTGTGCTTGGCGAGAGGGATAGAGAGAGGGAGAGAGAGAGAGATAGATTGAGTTGAATCGGGGTTTTTTTAGGTCTTTTTGCTGGGGCCACATCATGTTTTAAGTTGAGAACACCAAGAGAGCTCTGCAAGTCACACATGAACTGCTCAGTAGGCGATCGTGTGGCGAGCACAGCGAACAGGTGATCCATCATATTATCCTGTAAACTGATTGGTAAATAGCACAGCTGTGTCCTGAAAGATTCGCCTTAGCCAGTTTAAAGCGGTTGAAGTCAAAATGCGTTATTCGCCTTTACACTCACTCTGTGGCTCTCTGGCTGTTGAAGTTTCTTTGATCCAAGCGCCTGTGGGCCCGAGATACCTGCTGCCGAGAGTTGCATGCTCACGCAGGTTCCGGAGAGATGAGTTGGATTTAGCGCAGGGTCGCCCGGCCATTCTGGGAATCGATAACTCTTCATCTGCAGACGCCCATAGCATCAGGTGAGCAGTCAGTCACAATGTTTGGGCGACCACTGCAATCAGCATGTTCACCGAGGTCGGCAAGCGTGTGAGCCGAACACGGGCGAACACCTGTCGACGTGCCCAAAATCGGTTGAGGGTCGAGTGCGTGCTTTGCCGCAGCCGAAAGGGAACCTGTCTCCAAGCCTAACAGCCAAAGAACAGTGTTGCCTTGCGCGAATCTGCGCGAATCTGCTCCTCGGAACATCAGGCAGTGCAGCGGTGTCTCAGTGTCAAGCCTAAAGAGCGCAGCAAGCCGTGCGCTGTGGAGGTGAAGCCTTCTCCAAGATTCTGAAGGGGCTTAAGAGAATTTAATCATTCAACATCATTTTGCCCGGGCAGAGCGTGGTGGTGGCACAACATCCGGAGATATCCTGAAGGCATTTGAGAAAGTACGCACCAAGTCCTCTCTTAAACTGGGGGCGGTTTACACTGCACCACCAAAGACGCACACGAGACAAGCAATTGTCTGCACTAAGGCTAGCCTAGAAGCATCCGCATGCCTTCCCCAATGTTGCATGCCACTTCGTGCCGCTAAATCGGGCATGGTAAAGCCGGGTGCTTGGTCCACTTCGCTCCTTCCTCGCAACAGCTTCAAGAATGCTTCAAGTTTCTGTTTCATTCTCTTCTTTTTGTACAAGCCATCCTTGAGCCCAGAGGCGTTCACGCATCCTCCGAGACCTCGGTCTCGCGCAGGGGTGCCCGGGTTGCCCACAAAATCCCAGGGATGCAAACTCTAAGGGCGCAGACCCACCGAGGCTGCCTGAGGACTTCTTCGAAGACTTTGAGCAGCGCTGGCGCTTCCTGCCCCGGCCCCAATGCCCGTGAGGAAGAGCTATGCCGCAATGCCTCAGAGTTTGTGTTTCGAAGACAAAACAAAGCAGTCCTCATGTGAAAATCATGCGAGGCCTGGCTCAAATAGCGCTGCAAGAACCTTCCGCAGGCTGCGCGGGAGGGGAGTTCCCTTCGCACTCTGAGTACTCGTATCTGTGGCTTTGTATGGCAAAAATGGCGCGTGTGGAAGACATTGGCATCAGCTCTCCAGCCGTGATACAAGCCATGACTTAAACGGCTATTTCTCAGGATATGGGGCTACAAGTCCGTGCTGAAGCATGCCATCGTGGGCGGCTTCAAGGCCATTGTGAGCATGCAACAAGATTTGTGAGCATGCAACAAGACTTGTTGCCTCCAGCAGCCTCTTTGGCAGGCCTACGAGTTTGGCATCCCACGCCCGTCGTATGCCTGATCCCCAGGGCAGGTTATCTGCTCAACGCCAGTGCAGACCTGGTCAGTGCACCCCAGCCTTGTGCAGGACGCCGAGGCCTCGGAAAATGCTGCACGGCGCGCAGCGCGAGCGCCCCTGCCTGAGACGCGGCACCCGGCGATGGCGGGGGCCAACGACACATGCCAAAACTCGTTGCACAAGAGATTCTTGGGGTGATCTGACGAATTTGGCCACTACAAGCTCAGAGGTTACAGAGGAACCTCTCCTTGGTGCAGAACCATGTCCATCGTGCGGACGCACAGTGGGGTGCCTGTCTTCTTTTGCTGCTCATCTATGAGCATACTGTCGCAGACCACTGGGATTTTGGGGTTCTAAAGTTTGAAGCCACTAGCAACCAGCAGTTAACAAGCATTGGTGTCAGCATTCAGATTCGCCATTCGCAAAATTCTAGGATTTTAGAGTATTAAGTACTTGTGCCGCGTTACCAACTCTCAGGTTGGCCCGCTACTTGCGTCAAGCTGCCCTTCTCTTTGGCTTGCCTGGAGGCACGCGAGATGCATTTCACACACAATGCACGGCATGGTGCTCTAGGCAGGTTTTACGTGATCCGGATGTCGCATTGGTCGCCAGTGCGACAGGCCTCAACTCCTACACCACGCCGCCTCTTGCTGTAGGCTTGGCCTGTCAGCCAGTGAGATTTCTAGTCGCTTAAGCCTTGCCTCGTCTCAGCAGTTCCCCGAAGCAAGTCGCAGAGTTCCTTGCTTGAGGCCACATCTGAATTCACAGCCTGCAGCAGGCTTTGGCTACCACTTCGACCCCAGCGATGCGATCATCCTTCAAGTAGAGGGCAACAAGCCGGATGCTTTGATTCGCTTTGTCAACGCTTTGTCAATGCTGTGGCAGATGTGGCAATTGTTTCATTGACAAAGGACCTGGGAGCTCTGCAGTCGAAGATATCCCAATGCCCTGAGCTTTGTCAACCTCACGTACAACCAGGCCTGGCTGAGAGCAGCTGAGTGTCAACCATGACCTGGACCTGGAAGAAGGGAAGCGTAGGGTGTCTTTTCACAGCGGCTGCAACTTGCACTGATGAACGTGTTTCGCGCACCTCACGTCAACGATTTTTCAGCAGCGAAGAGCTCCCCAAACATAGCACAGCACAATGACAACTGCTCACTGTTGAACCATCGTAACTACCACTCGGCGGAAGGCTCACAGAGCTGACGCTGACGCGACATGACGCGACCCTACTTTGTGACTTTGTTCCTTTTCCGTCGGCTCCTGGACTGGCGCAACTGTTTTCCTAGAGTCCTAGAGCCTGGACAGGTCACACTGCACTAACTTCACGACCGCATAGCAGATAGTCAGGATAAGGATCCATGGGAACGCCTTTTAAAATGCACGCCTCCTGCGGCTATGCTTGTCTTGCCTAAAAGTTACATAAGACCAGAAGCTGCGATAGACCAGACCGTTGGCATGCTGTCAGGCAGTCACGGGGGATCTTCTCGGGGCTTAGGCTTCACCGGATTTTGACCGGGTGGAACCAGACCTACAGTAGCGATACAGTGAAGCACGAGCGGCATTCAGTGACGTGGAATGTTGCCAGGTCCCAGTCGATTCGCCGGAAGTGGCAAACTGCAGCCAAATCGTGTGGTACCCCAGCGAGAAGCTGCAACTGCGCCATGCAAGAGAACATGCGGTCTCAATGCAGTGTTTGCAAGCACATACAAGCACATGATGTCGGTTCGCCTCATCCACCTCCCCCCCCCCTGCCCCCGGCCCTCCCCGGCGACCACGACCCTGAAAGCCCTAAACTTTAAATCCTGGAACCCATCCGTTAAACTCACCGGAAACCCAACCGCTAAGCCCTGAAATGTAGCGCTAGACGTCACACTCTAGACTCAACCTCATTGAATATGCAGTTATTTGCTCAGTCTTATTTTACATGTGAATATGTAAATAGGACAAAATAAGTACATAAATATAAACAAAATAAGACTGTAGACATAAACATGAACGTCACAAAAACCCAAATATAAAGACACGCAAATAAACAAATAAATGAACAGATAAATAAAAACAAACACAAACATAAATAAACAATAACAACTCATAAATACATAATTATACATATATGTATTTATTTATATAAATAGTAAGAGAAAAAGGAAATATAAATAAAAATCATAAGTGTGTGTGTACATATATATATATATATATATTTGTACATATTTATTATCAAATATAATTGTAAATATAAGCTACCCCCCCTCAAACCTACCGTTTCCGAGTTTTCTACCGAGCACTCCGCTACAAATTCTCAGGGCGATAGCACCCCTCCGTACCTTGCAACACTATACTACAACATCTTTGGCGAACCTATCAAACAGCAGCATTGCGGCATGCTACTTTTGCGCGTAGGCGAAATCCTAAGGTCTCTACCTCATTTTCCCTTAGTTTCGTGGGGGAGAGGCTTGTTCAACGGCTTCGCAGCAAAGTCAGGTTCTTCGTGAAGGCGACGCGATGTACCTGCCTGTGGGACAGGCCCTTCAGCGCTTGTGGTAGCTGGACTTCGATCTTCGCAGAGAAAGCTGAAGCTGTCCCGACTCCAAGACCGTCCAAGACCTCGGAAACTAACCCTAAACCTTAAACCCTAGACCCTAAACCCTAAACATCCCTAAACCCTAAAGAGTGAATCTTGTCACAATCTTCTCGAACCTCTTCGTGCAGATCCACCGCGCGCAAGCGTCGGCGGCCCGGAGCTTCTGCTTCGTTCGGTTTAGGGTTTAGGGTTTAGGGTTTAGGGTTTCGGGTTTCGGGTTTCGGGTTTCGGGTTTCGGGTTTAGGCACTTCCGGGCAGGCCCAGCTTGCGATTTTTTGCTGCTAGGCTATGGTCGTGTTTTTGGCCGTGGGTTTTGAAGCTTGCGTGCTGGGTCAAGCATGATGCCACGCGCTAAGCAAATGTGTGAGTTCGGTATTTCGACCTGCAGGAATGATGAGTTATCCATCCATTTGACGATGTCCTTGAATCGGCAGTGTTGTGCTCAGCTGATTAGAGGTTTGTGGGTTGGTTGTTCTCCGCAAGTCCAACACAGTCCGTGAATTTTCGTAGTGCGTGTTTACTTGCTTCTCTTGCGTGCAGTTGCTTTCAGATCATGTTTTTCAGTCGTTTCTGGTCCGAGTCAAGGTCAACGGTCAAAGGGTGCAAATAGAGCAGTTTTGACCTCATCCGAAGGAGAGCTACCCCGCTCCCGTTTGACATCTATGTGCGAGCTCCCCCGCCAAACATGGTGGCCCGTTGCGTGCTTGTGCCCAAAGTGTGAACTCGCGCCAAGTCAAGAGATGTACACCTCACCCTCCTGTCTGTCATGTATGCTTTATGGCCCGTCACGACGTGAATGTTCGAGGCCAAAAGTTGCCGTCACCGAAACACACCCCTCTAAGAAGCGACTGTAGCGTTTACTTGAGGGTTTCTACTGTCACAGCCTGTTGCAACTTCAGGGCCTTGCCATGCCTTTGCCCCGATATTTGGTCATGAACTCTGTAAAGGCCCGAGCCATGCAACTTGCGAACACGAGGCACTGCTTCCCCTTTCAGCTGTGGACCCCGGGCATACTCGGCATCTCTGCAAGCTGCACAAGTTCTCTGCGGGATTCTCTGCGGGATTCTCTCTGCCGGATGAATTTGTGGGACACTCGGCGAGATGCTCCGCGGGATTTTTGTGGCCGTGGGCATTAAAAGGATGCGCGGCGGGATTCTCTGCGTAGGTGCCCTGATCCATTATGGTTCTAGTACGGAATGTACTGTACATACCAATTAAGGTCCGCACTTCTCCCCCCAATCCCCCATCACTTCCCATAATGGGAAGGTGTTCCGTGGGTCTACTCTAAGGTTCTGCAGCGCCAGCGCGGTGCTTTTGAACGTCGCCGAACAGCCTGGCTCCCAGTTGCCACGAGTGTTCGTCCCAGTCAGAATAGTCAGAGAGCAATCAGAACAGAAATCTTTTCGGAGCCAGAGAGCAATGGCGTTCTGTAGCACAAAGCAGTACCGGTGCACTTGCTGCCAGGATAAACCCTTCGAAAGAGTTCGGCTTCGCCTGGAGCTGAGTCGCTGAGTGCTGTGGCTCACGGAACCATTGGCAGGAAAAGACTCCTTGCGAGGCGCAGCCAAACTTTGTGTCATGGGTGCATGGCGCTGCGGCAGACGAGAGTGGCAGCCCGAGCATGGGCTTCTTCCTCCCTGGTCCAAGGAGGAAGCCTCTATGCACATCGTGAGTTGCTCCTGCCAGTCCATATTCTGTCCAATGTACGATGAGCATGACTGCTCATGATGCTACCCCCCTGCTCATGCCAAGCAGCCTGCCCCATCCTTCCCAAACACGAACAAGCCAAACAGAGGCCAGGTGAAAAATATAGTCTTGTAGACAGTTCTTCTTCTTGTTGATGGCTGCGTAACGTCAGTCACTGTTATTCCAAAATACAAACTCAAGACCACCTTTCCTTGCTTCTCTCCAAAGCTGCCTAAGCCTTGCGAACGCTCTCAGAACTCGAATCTCCGGAAACCACACAGACAAAAGAGGCCTGGCTCCCTTGCATGCTGTGCCACGCTCACTACGATGCCGCCCACCAGGCCCCATGACCGCAGCAGCCGCTTAGTTTTCGATTTTGTTCAGAGATCTGTGGGTTTGGGACTCTTTGTGGCTTGTGTTTTGCAAGCTTGCGTGCGAGGCCTAGGCATGCGGCGCCCTGGTTGAGCCATGCTAGCTGTGATCGAAGGCAAGAAGCGAGTTTGCCCTTCCTGGCGTGGCTTCCTGGATGAGGGACTCGCTGGCCAGGCTTCCAACGAAGCAGGGCACTCTTGCAAGCAGCTTGCAAGTGAGCTTCTGCCTTAGATGCCTCTGCCTGTGCTCCTGTCACAGGCGCTTGCAAGGGATCCTCCGGGGTTGCCAGAGGCACGGGTTCCATGCGAGTTCTGCCATCTTTGTGCGTAGTCACGGGAACGTTCCCTGCACGTGCCCCGTTAGCAGCAGGCATTTTGGTCGTGTCACGTGGATTAGCTTCATCTGTGCCCGGCACAGCAACTGGTTCGTGAAACACCGTCCGTGTAAGGAGGCTTGTAATTGAACACGCGTGATCTGAAGATTTTCTTTGCCAGTGCTCGATTGGATCAAGAGCATCCGACACGACTTTGCTCCAGGTTATTTGCAAGGCAATGCCAGTGCTTTTTGCAAATGAGGCATATTTGACTTTTACAAATCTACCAGACTGAGACTCTACTATTTACAAAGTGACCACATCAAAAGCTTCAGAAATCAGCAGAACTGGTGCCTGTGTCAGTGTCGCGCGGAGTAGTTCACGTTTGTTTTCGCGCGCGGGCGGCATGAAGGATAGATACTGGGACACTCGCCGCGTGTATCGTCAATGTTTGCTGGCCGCTCTTCCTCTGTGCATCTGCAGTACTGGTCTCAATCGACCAAACTTTCATTGCATTCCAGAAAAGCCTTGCGCGCACGAAGTGACGGAAGTGAGTGCAACAAGTGACCGTCCACAAATGTGGAACTGCAATCGACCTGGAGGAGCCAGAAGGAACTTGTTTTTTTTTCAACCCGAGAGGTATGTGTTGTTGGTGAGGCCCTCGGGCATGATCGTTGATGTGACTTGCATGTGGAGTAGATGGAGACAAGCAAGAACGACTTTTCCAGGCATCTGCTGCAAATGAGAGGTATTGTATGCGACGACATACACGGCAATCTCAGCAGACAGGGGGGATTTGTGTAGAGGGGAAGCTCCAGGAGGAAGGATGGCATTCGTGGCATTCCGACCAAATCTGGAGGAAACAGCATCTGGTTGTGGATTCCAAAAAAACACCATGCGCAAAACGCGATGGGAGTTCTGCGGCAGATGGGTTGGGCACCACCTACCATTTTGAACGATTTATTGGAATATCGGGGTCGGGTCAGAGAGGCTTCCTCACAATTTTAGGCGACCATCTGTGTGACCTGAATCATTGTGGATGTGGACAGTACATATTGACAGCTGCGAAAACAGAACGTGAAGTGGGACGGCGGTTGCCTTCACTGCCCACTCCGACGACATGTCATGGTTTAGCTTGACCTGAAAAAAAAAGCATCTCGTCAAATCGAGACAGGCGCCGGACGCCGCCATGCTCTCGGCTTGTGTGGAGGTGGCAGCATGTACAGCAAAAGTGTCGCGTTAAGCCGATTAGGGTGGTAAGAGTACCAAAGGACACCTGACCGAGGTAAAGCTAGCAGCAGTGCTCTTGTCACAGGACGTGCGGGCTGCAGTGCAGCTATTGAAGTCCCACCCAGCTAGCGCCGGGCAGCCCAGACCCTGCCAGGATGGTGTCCGTATGTATCCGCTAGCGGTGACCGCGAGTGGTAGTCCCAGCACCAGGCCAAGCCCCTGGTTCTGGGCGTCCGCATAGCTGGGAAGGCCTGCAGCGCGCTTCCTTTAGGTTTCTTGTGGAGCGTGGCCATCGTCCGTTTGCAGCTTCGCGTCCATGGCGTGGTGAGTTCTTTGAGGTTGGCAGTGAGGGAAGAGCCATGCCGTCGTGTCTCAATCAGAATCCTGGCAAGTCGCACAGTGAGGAGTCTCCGGTGGTGGGGAGGCTGCCTCCTGTACAGGCGCCTTTTGCCAGCTTCCTGCAATTTGAATCCAGACAGCATCCCTAAACATCCCTAAGTTCAACTTCCCAAGTATCCCTAAACTTGCTGCACTCCCCAAACCCTGGGCACAGTAATGACAGCTATCCGCATCAGGTTCTTGACGGCATCGCCCAGCTCCTGGGGCCGCAGCCCTGCAACAGGACACTCCTCGTCGGAAGCCCATGCTGCAGACGCGATGCATCACAACTTGAGAACGCTCTCGGATTCCGGTTGTGCCACGTCCCAGAATTATGCCATGAGCATGCGAAACAAGCTGCTGGAGCTCAAGGCATGGCAGAAGCTACTACTGCGGCAGCATCTGGAATACTACGAGGCCTCGAAGAGCAATCGCACCAGTACACAGACTAGGTGCCCTGCTGTAGGACAACAGGGTAGTTTGCTTTTGTTTGTTTGATTTTGCTTGCCTCTGGGACCACCCAATGATTCGCTAATGCATGTCGCTATGACTGGCTCCAGCGACGCAGGCAGCCTTGAGAGTTGATGACTTCGACGAGGATCCTTCTCAGTCTCAAGTGTTATATGCTGACTCTGCACTTTTGCTTATCTTGCTTTTCTCTGTTACTCTGCACATCAGATTCGGCACTTGCATTGGAGCTGCAGAACCTGCTTTCGTGAGACTTTGTTTTGGATGCTGTCGCTTCGATTTCTGCCTCTGCCAGTGAGCTTGGCTCCAGCTGTACATGCATAGTGTGGCTCCACAAAAAAAAATCTCATCACGAACGAAGCCTAGGGCTTGCGGTGAGAGGATAGCAGTTGGAGCGAGGTACCAGTAGCTGCCGCCTTTGGCTGCTAAGTCAAACAGGTTTGGTTTTTCATACCCCGACCCAAAGGAACATAACTGCACTTAGCTGCCGAACTTCCGAGTGAATCGCACGAGGCAAGGAAGGACCCCCAGCCGTGCGACAGCAGATTGTGCCTGGCCATAGCAGACGTGCACGCTCAAGGTGCCCCCCTTGGCCGCAAAGTCACGGGGGTTGGTTGAGTCAAAGCCCAAAAAAACCCCAAGCCACAAACCCTAGCAGTGTTTTAGACCTGCGGGTAGCCCAGGCGCGCCATCGTCGCCCCGGGCCGCTCATGGCCGCTCGAAAGACGCAGACGCGGAAATCCCAAAGCAAGGGCGATGTGGTCATGACGCCGGTCGGCAAGGACCGCATTCGTCCCAGCAAAGGCAGAGAGGGTCTGTCTTGCTTGGTCCCAAAGATCGAAAGGATGTGAAAGTCAAGAAGACCATCAAAAAAGGTCCACTGCTCAGCCGAAGTCAGGAAGGATTTCAATGTTAGCTTGCTATGCAGGTGGTTGAGGAAATTGTCTTGCCCAGACGATCTGAGTCTGCGAGCAGCCCCATACTTCTTTAACATCTCACAGTCTTGGTATGGGCTTTTGAATGCTTGTATCGCCAAGCCCTAGATAGCGCCTGACACTGTCACATCCATCCCGCTCCGTGCCCACGGCTGCAACCCTGACCGCTGGGTTGCGGCTCGGGTCCACTGGATTGGGGGGTTCTGCATACTTCTACATGTCTCTCCGAGGCCAGCGCAAGGCTATAAAAGCCCCGACCTCTGCGCCGGCGGGCGAATCGAGGTGACCGCAGGGTTTGGGCCGATTCCGCAGTTTCAGAATTGCGGAGGAGCTTTGGAGTTCGAATCGAAGGGGCTTCGGTGGAGAGCAGTTGGGTGCTGGCTTTCGGAGTTGGAAAGTGGAGTTCCACAAGTCCAGATTTCCAGGCTCCAGTAATGATAAGAATATTAGTTGCAATAAAGATATTAACAGAGATACTAGTAAAACTTTTGCATCTCGGCAAGGGCACATGACACGTACTTGGCTGTAACTCGGCCAGGAAGCAGCGGCGCCAGCCGGCTGCACATGGCTGCACTACCTCTCAATGCAAGCAGGTTGTGAGATTCCTACCCATAGGCTGAAGATCGTGGGGCTTTGTGGCTTTGTGAGTTCAGGCACTTGTCGCGTAACCCTCTCTGGAGAGCTTCGGGTGTTGGGATGAGCGATTCTGTCCTGTTAGCTTGATGGCTAGGATGAGTCGCATACAATTCATGGGCATGATACCGTCTGTCGGTGGCTCGAACGAAGTCTCTCAATACAATTCTTGCATGATCTATTGCTCCCGTAACCTTAGCTGTAGCCGTACTGCCTCATCGCTTTGCTACGTGTGTTGCTGCCATTTGCTAGGAAAGCGGGTGGCCTCATCAGCCACTGCAGGCCGGGCTCCGCAGACTCTGCAATATGTGGCTCAGCAAGTCCTGCTTGCAGTGGATGCTCGCCAAAATAAGCGCTGAACTGAGCTTTGTGTTGCCTGTCACGCAGCGAAGGTGGCGAAAGTGAAGAGGAGATAACTTTCAACATCGCATGCCAGTTGACGTGCGGTCATAGATATGAAGGGGGTAGTCATCAAGTATCACATCATACCACATATGAAAACTGTGTTCGATATCGTTGCATAGATAGTGGATATATCCCTACATTCAAATCCTTGAAAAAACGTTCAAAGCCACAGCTATACAACAAATTTTGATTTACGGGTTTTGCAGGTATGCATACTGAGATCAGTGTGGGGGAAGGGTTGGGAAGGGGGGGAAGGAGACCGGAACTTGGTCTGCTTATCCTAGACGCCTCTCGGCCGGGCGAATGACTCTGGTTTGTTTTTCACTTTCGCAGGAGTTGCGAAAGCGACAGGCAGAAGAGTGGAAGGCGATGAAGGCCTGCTCCCATCAGAGTGAAGTGCACTTACGATGGCCATGGAATCTCAAAGCATCCGGGGGTTTCCGAAATGAGGGGTGCCTTATTGGGGTCCTGATAATAAGGGAATCCTACTATTGGCGGTACTATATCAGAGGCGCCCCTTATTTTCCTAAACCCCCCCCCCCCTTTGTCAAACTTGAACCCTTCTCTCTCAGCAGCCGGGCTTTGGTTTCTAGAGAGCATTCCAGGCTGGTACTTGGCAGGTATGTGTGTACCCGATATGGACATGGACGAGTTTCCCTGAACAATCCTACCATCAAGTGGGTGGACAGCTTATCTGTTTCGAGATGTCAGGGTAGTAGCAGCAGCAGCTGTGATAGCAACCGCGGAAGCAACAGCCGGAGGGGAGGAATCCTGAGCAGGTGAAACGAAGCAGAGCCGTCGCATTCGATTTGCCTTTCTGGGTGTTGGGCCGTTGGGTCTGTTAGGTTGCTGGACAAGGAGGAAGAACTTGGGGAAACACTGAACGAGTTTGAGGCCAAGCCCCAAACCCGAGCTTCTGAATCTGTTCGCGTAAACGTACGCATAGCCGCAAACTTACGCGAACGCGCTTAAGCTCTTGCAAAGGCGAAGGTGGCTGCCTTGAAGAAAGAGCGGCAGAAGCTCCCGACGCGAGGCGGGGGGCCGGCAACGAAGCTGAGTTGTTTTCATGTAATCTTCTGAACGCTGCATTGCATGACTCGATGCCGTCAGGCAGCAAGGAGAAGCGACAGACCATGAACCAAGACATCCGCCGGCTGCAGGAAGACATGCAGGCTCCTCTCAACGGACATGGATTGTGTCGCCTATGGAGGTACTCTGAATAGCCCTGTCAGGTTCGGCATGTGGCAGAGCTTCGTGCTGCGGGGCTTGAGGCAGTCACCAAGGCGGTGGGTAGCATCAGGGGGCTAAGGGTCAAGGTTCGATTGAGAGCCGTGATCATCTCCCAAAACTACGAGCTTTCTCGAGCCCTTCTGTTAGGATGGGTGAGGAAGGGAGCTTTAGGGAGAGAGATGCCTCACCTGATTCTGCATCTCCTCAGGACGACATGGAGCTCTGAGTGCCGCCAAAGTGCGGCCACATTGAGAGCTCAGAGGGCTCTTCTTTGGCTCGATCGGGGTCGAAGGTGATGAAAATGTGTGCGAACTGGTAGAGGCATGACAGCTCCAAGCACCACCTATGTTACCTCCAAAAGCTGTGTATATACATATATATGTAGATAGCAAAAATATACCATAGAACATCGTAAAGTTTTTTCAGGACAACAACATAGTATGCCGTCACATAATTTGGGCACAAACATTAACAACTAGATGTAAATACACGAATGCAAACAAATAGAGCTATGAATAAAGACTTATAAGTGCACACGGAGAAATATGTATATGTACGCCTACATATGTATGTATGCGTATTCCTATGTATATATATATATATTTATGCAAAGAGAGAGATGAGGCAGATAAATAGAAAGATTATGTACCCAAGTCTTTGCTTTCACCAGCCTTTTTTGGAGGAGTTGAACCTGGAGGTAGACACTGTGCATGAGAGTGCAGAGGCTGTGGCTTCTTCCGTGTTGGGTATGTTGAGTGAATTTGTTGAGTGAGGGTTGAGTTTGCATGCAATGATGTGGATTTTGTATTTCACCCCACTCAGCTGCTGACACCATGCTGAACAGTCGTGAGTGACGCGCGTTGCAGCCACGGCAGATGGCAGCTTTGTACGCCAGGAGAAGCTAATTCGCCAAGAGCTCCAAGGCCAGTGCCGGTGCTCTAGCTCTGCGCAACTCTGCGCGGTTCTGGGTCAGTTGCTTGCGGGTTGCGCGATGGCCTAGAGCCTGCGCGATCGTACGTCGCCATCCCACGAGCCTTGCAGAAACGACCCTGCGTAGGCTTTTGTGTGTTTGTTGGTGGGTAGACATGGCAGACCCAGACCGCCAAGTTCCGAAGGTCTCAATATTGATGAGCTTTTTGCAGATGTCGATGAGGCCGGCAGGGAGGGGTACCGCCTGGTGCCTCGGAAATAGCAAAATTGGAAAAAGAACAGGATTTGTGAATTACATTGAAGTACTGAAGTGGTGTGGCTGGTTTGCGGCAGGACATGGTGGAGGAGTCGGGCCCGAGCCTTGAGAAATGGGGCAACTGTCACTGCCACTAAGATGATGGGTTGTCGTAAGACTTAAGAGTCTTCCCCACAACAGTGAGCCCATGTGACCCTCAACTGAGCTGAGCTCCAGGCCCCTGGAATGGCGATGCTTCTGTGGCGTTGCCCTTCACCTGGGACTTTCCGGAAGACTCCTAGGAGCCTGTGCCGGACGGGTGAGGGTGAAGCTGCAGTCAGCAGCCACGGTCGTCAACCACGACATCGACATCGTTGCACTGGCCTCTTGCAGAGGCCATCGCTACCATCGTAGGTTGTGCTGCCCATGGAAGCAGTGTAGGTGGAAGAGCTTCGTAGAGTTGATATCGGGCGCCGGCAGAAGTATGCCAGAGATGTTGTTGCTCGTAGAAGAGTGCTCTCAATGATTTTCACTGCTATACGCGAGAAAGTGCGCAACAGCGACCCCTGTCTTCCTCTGGAAGACGCTCGCTGGTGTGAGGCCTGTGAGAGCACACATGGAGAATGAACCGATGGAGATGGACCGCGCGTTGGAGGAGGAGGAGGCTCCCCGTGGTAGCCGTTGGTGGGAAGTGCTGCCGAGCTCCAAGTAGAAAAAGAGCAGTTTCTGAGAGAAAGAGAGAGAGAGAGAGAGAGAGAGAGAGAGTTGAGAGATTTGAGATGCCATGTGTGGTTGCTCATGGGGTGGCTGGTGATGACAGGTACCGTTCCATTTTTTGGCCTGTTGACGAGCTCCAGGACTTCGATCGTAATGCGCGGGCCCCGAGTCGATCAGCTTTCTCTGCTTATTCGCTGTGCCGTCGCCAGACAAAACCAGTGTGCCCCGGGTGTATCCGGGTGTTCCATGCAGTTTGTACGGTATGCTACGCTACGCGTTTACGAGCTTGCTATCGATTCGTCGATTGAAACTGCTCACGTTTCTGCAAGTACTCGTAGTTTCAAAGGTGATTTTATAACACGACCTCCTCACCCTGAGCCAACAAGGTGCTGATTGGGGGGGGCGGGCGGGCAGTGTGAGGGCGGGGGCAACGGGGGGGGGGGGGGGGGGGGCGGGGGGGGGGGGGGGGGGGGGGGGGGGGGGGGGGGGATTTTGGCCAGCCACTCTGATGGGCTGAAATGCCCCTGGTCCTGATGCACCGTTCCTGGACCTGTCGGTTAGGGGGGTACCCGTTGTGGGCAAAAAAACCCATCATCCGGGTGCGAGTGTGGCACAAGAGGTTGGGGAGGGGATTATAAGTGGGGTGCCTGCTCCGTGCTGCCCAGACACCTACGGCCCGAGGCCTCGGCAGATTTTTACCCCCAACAGTGACTGCAGCCGTGGAGACTTCTTCCCAGTGTTTTGCAGGTGTTGATCCACCTGCCCGCCCTCTGGAGGTTTGGCTCTGCGCAAACAAGGCTCGGCAGCACACTTCAGAGCTGCTGCACTGTTTTGTTTGGTCCCAATGCCTCATAGCTCTCGTATTGCCGATAGTTGGCAGAAAACCTTTCTGTCGAGCCCTCGAAGCTCTGACGCGATGCGGACGTGCCGACGTCAACCTTAAACCCTCCTTATAACCCACACTAAACACCCTAAGGCCCAAAGCCGTGAAACTCCCCAAAATTGAAAGCTTCCTCAGAGACTCCTAAGAAAATAGACTCGAGCACCCAGAGCCCTGCTTAAGCACCTAAAACGCCCTCAAGTGCATGCAAGACTCCAAGCCACGCATGGCTGTACGACCCCCCTGAAGCACATAGCAGGCCAGTTGACAACACAAGCCCTGCAGATTGCGACTAGACTGTGAACAGCTCTCCGGCCCCACTCATCCCACTTGCCCCAGATGCCCCACTTGCCCTGGCCCGCACAACTTGCCCCACTTACCCCACTTGCTGCACTTGCCCCACTTTCCCCTTCTCTCCCCCCCCAGCCCTTGCAGGGTTTTAGGTGCACCTATACGACTGAAGAGGCGGTGAACCTTTCTAGAGAACTCATGAAATCCTACCCGAATCTAGGTCCGGTCCTTCCGGCCCACATGCGCGACATCCCTGCGAAGTGCAGCCTGCGCCTTGTGAAATCTATTGTCAAAATCTTTTTCGACATCTAGACTGCGTATCTGCTGCCTCCTGCAAGCCCTCCCAAACTCTAGGAATTTGTTGTATAGGCCTTTGCAGGAAAGTGGGTGCGAGGATTGGGGGATCAGGTCAAGGTTTCGGTCATCTTCCAGGAGGCTCCGAGTCGAAGGGGCGGGGGGCTGGAAAGAAGGCTGAAAGCCCCAAACTGACATCGCAGCTCTGAGCTCGGCAGATGGAAGTTTGGATCGAAGGCCTGGGTTGAAAAGTAGGTTGCCGGGTCCGAGAAAATTGCAACAACGCGGCCATCGAAGCGGCCATATGCATGGATCTGTGCAGCGGTCGCATCTTCGAAGATGACCTGCGGAAAAGATCTGTCCCACGGTGGGCATGAGGGGCCTTGATGTTGCTTTCGCAGCAAGCCAACGCAACGCAACTTCACATAAGTTTTCATTGCGTAGCTGCGTAGCTTTGGCACAGTCTGGCGCCCTGCAGTCGCTAGGAATTGCATTTCTCTCAAGTCAGATCTCACACCACCCAGCCGCAACATCCAGCCACACTTCTTCAAGCCCAACGCATGCAGACTGCCACAGGTCGCACGTGGCCACTGTCACAGATGATGGAGTGTGTTTAGCACAAGCCTTGTCAGTATCTGTCGACCTGTTTGTTTTTTCGCAGAAAAGGGGTCGCGGGTGGCAACAGCCAAACCCTGCTCTTCAAACACGGCTCGCAGCGCAGCTGCTTGAAGACTCGGCAAGTGCAGGGCTTGTAAACTTAGGCATCGCTGGAAACCGTGCCGCACCTCAGCGTCGGCATCTTCCGCCGTGAGAAACACGAACTGGGCTAGCATCTCCTGCGCGTATGTGAACATTGCTTCCACACAAGCGGTGCCCAAGTACTTTGACCCGAGCCCTTCCACGAAGAGGTTACCAGCAATGTGCTTTGCGGCCATGCCCGACATTACAGATGCACAACAAAATAGTTAGTGCAGCGTCTAGGGTTTAGGACTTTAGGGTTTGGGCTTTAGGTTTCGGATCTCAACCTGCCGCGTCACATCTCCTATTGCATCATCTGCCCTTGGCCGCCATCGCCCTGCTGAGAGAAGGACATATGAAGACTCCTCTACCAGTGCTAAACCCCCCGGCCCTGGCCCCCAATTTTCTACGACGCCAGCCCGCAAAAGCTGCAAGTGATGAAGTTCATTTCGGGCGTCATGTGCTGCACTTGAGTGCGATTTGCAAGGACACGTGTTGGCACGTTCGCACGGCGCCAGCGATTGCAACATGCCCAGATAAGATCTTAGAGCTGGCTCAAGGAGACCTTGCGGGGCTCAGGGGTTGCTCATGTAACAAAAACTAACAAATTACCCTAAATTTCACATGCTGTTGACATGCCGATACACTACATCCAAGAGGCACTAGAGGCTTTGTGTTTTCGTCGCTGCGATGGTGGACTGGCTGTGCAGCTGGTTTCAATGCGCGGAGGAGCCTGTAGCCCAGGAAGATGCTGACATCATCTTCATGCACTTCCGCAGCAACTGGACAATGGCCTCCATGAAGCGCGAAGACCCTGTGGACAAGCAGTTGGAGCGCTCCCTGATGCATTGCGACGGTGCTCGTCGTAAAGCCTACAAGCTGAAGAAGGCGCTGGCTCAAGTCGAGAAAGAGCGGGATGAGCTGAGGGTTGAAGTAGCAGCCGTCGTCGCAGGCGTCCAAGCAGAACGCGATGCGTTGAAAGCTGAGTGCGCGGTGCTTTCAGGCCGGATCGACTTCGAAAACTTGGTTGTCGTTGATGGGGACCCAAGCAGCATTGCTTCACAGAGGGCTTGCTGTAATGCATTCCCGCTTACGACATGATAGCGCCATAATTGCAGGTGATGAGCGGAATGCGTGGAGCGATCTAGGACATGCTGACAAGGTGTTTTGTTGCGTCTGTAATTTCGGGCATGGCCGCAAAGCACATTGCTGGTAACCTCTTCGTGGAAGGGCTCGGGTCAAAGTGCTTGAGCGGTGGAGGCACTGCTTGTGTGGAAGCAATGTTCACATACGCTCAGGAGATGCTAGCCCCGTTCGCGTTTCTCACGCCGGAAGATGCCAACGCTGAGGTGTACTGGAAGCGGCACGGTTTCCAGCAATGCCGAAGTTTACAAGCCCCTGCGCTTGCCGAGTCTTCAAGCAGCTGCGCTGCGAGCTGTGGCGCCGGAGGTAGACGGCGAGCTCGACGTTATGTTCTGCGCTTGAGCATTCCTACTGCTTGACAAGTCGCTTCACTTCAGATGCCGTATGCAAAGCGACGCCCGATCTCTGAGCCGGTGGGCTTTGGCTAGGCATCGTTGTTGCTGCCCGCGACCCCTTTTCTGCGAAAAAACAAACAGTACGACAGATACTGACAAGGCTTGTGCTAAACACACTTCATCATCTGTGACAGTGGCCACGTGCGACCTGTGGCAGTCTGCATGCGTTGGGCTTGAAGAAGTGTTGCTGGATGTTGCGGCTGGGTGGTGTGAGATCTGACTTGAGAGAAATGCAGTTCCTAGCGACTGCAGGGCACCAGACTGTGCCAAAGCTACGCAGCTACGCAATGAAAACTTATGTGAAGTTGCGTTGCGTTGGCTTGCTGCGAAAGCAACATCAAGGCCCCTTATGCCCACCGTGGGACAGATCTTTTCCGCAGGTCATCTTCGAAGATGCGACCACTGCACAGATCCATGCATATGGCCGCTTCGATGGCCGCGTTGTTGCAATTTTCTCGGACCCGGCAACCTACTTTTAAACCCAGGCCTTCGATCCAAACTTCCATCTGCCGAGCTCAGAGCTGCGATGTCAGTTTGGGGCTTTCAGCCTTCTTTCCAGCCCCCCGCCCCTTCGACTCGGAGCCTCCTGGAAGATGACCGAAACCTGGACCTGATCCCCCAATCCTCGCACCCACTTTCCTGCAAAGGCCTATACAGTACTATACAACAAATTCCTACTAGCAGGACCACGCCACTGCTTCCGGAGCAGGCACAGGCCTGGGGTGAATTCTTTAAAAAGGTTCACCACCTCTTCAGTCACACAGGTGCATGATAATGGAATTTTTTGAGCATCAGAATTATTTAGGATCCCAGTAGAGCTTAAACAACTAGGCTTTGCTTCTAATGTCCCATCCAATAGGACTTCTGAGGAAGCAGGATTTGCTTTAGTGTCCCGCTCACTCAGTCTTGTGAGGAAGCTTTTGCATTAACATCCCATCCATCAAGTATGATAAAGAAGTATGAGGAAATTGGATTTGCTTTAGTGACCTTCCCAATAGATCTTATGAGGAAGTAGATTTATGTTAGGATCCCATCCAATCGATCTTATGAGGAAGTAGGATTTATCTTCAGACTCCTTCCAAAAGATTTGAAACAGAAGTAAAAGTACTTCAGTGATCCACCCAGTAGATCCTGGAAGACAAAACAATATGTGTTTCCTCTTATATGGGGGCACGAGGAAATAGAATTTGTTTTAATGTCTCATCCAATAGGTCTTAGAAGGCAATAAGATTTGCGTTAGTATCCCATTCGTTGAATCTTATATGGAAGTAAGATTTTCCTCAATATCCCACATAATAGGTCTTATGAATGAACAGTCTTAGGTTAACTTTCAATGTTCGAGAAGCTCCTCATTGGAAGGCATCCCAGTGGCCGGCCAAGGCCGACTGGATTGCAGGGAGCAAGCAGTAGGACAATCCTGCCAGCTTCTTCCGTTTTGTTCGATCCACGACGCACTCGTGTACGCGCAAGTAATGAAAGAGCGTGTTCTTGCGAAGTGCAGAGCCAGCATGCATTATTCAAGGGCTCAGTGGCACGACTGAACAGGTTGGCAGCACCATCGAGCTGCGTTGTCTGAGGTCAAATTTTTGCGTCTGCTCAGCAGAATGCCGAGACCTGCTCGAGTTAAGCGCCGGCATGATGGGACCTTAGTGGCACATAGTGGCACATATTGGCACATAGTGGCATCATTTCCACAAAGCTTTGAAAACGGCAAAAGCCTCCCCCAAGCCGGCAAGCGTTCTCTGAGTGGACCAAGCAGTCGGGAAAAGGTGGACACCGAACAATCCATGAAACAAACCGCGCCAGATGCATTAGGTGAGCAGTGCTTCCACGACAGCCATTGCCGCACGAAACTGCTAACCAGAAGCGCAGGACATGTGAGCGCACCCGGTTGATCTCACGGACATGTTGGCCCTCTTGGCATTGCTTCGCTGTGGTTGGCTTACAGAGCGCGTTGTGTCTGGGGCCACGCGGTCCATGGAGCTCGACACCTCACAGCTCCTCGCGCGCGCGCGCTGTTTGCAAGATGCCCGCTTGCACCAGAGACGTTGAAAATGAGGAGGCTTCGAAGAATTGAGCAGTTGCAGCATGGAGCTCCTCAGGAAAGCACCTGTGCCGGCGTTGATTCTGTCCGCTGGCCAGGCGGTGACACACGCATTTCCCATCTTGTGCTTCGAAGCAAGGGTGCGGACCCTGGTGCAGGTGACAATCCACGACAATCCGCCACATGAGTGGGCAGACGCCCGAGTATGGCGCATGCTCCAAGCCGGATCCGAAGGAGAAGGCCCTTCACCAGAGCCAGAGCCAAACACAGAAGCACAAGACGAGACCGGAACTCGTTACGTGTTGAGGGGTGCCTCAAAGCGTCGTCCGCAGGACGTGGCCCCTCCTACTCAGGCGAAGCTGCGCGAGCCACAGCCGTCTGCCGATGGGTGTTTCGAGCTTTAGTGTGTAATGTTTTGCTACATATGTTTGCGCATTAGCACTGGCAGAGGATGGTGCATGGGCCCATCTTCGTGGAAAATCCAGATGGATCCATCACAGAGGCACGAAACCTTGAGCGCATCTGAATGCCCGCGGCTTGCTTTCCTCAACCGGTGCAGGCCGTCCCTTCGGATGCCAAGCAAGCCAGGCTTGTATCAATTTTGTGTCAATGCCTGCTATTCTTTGCCTTGGGTGAAATAGCCATCTGTGGCGCATGGCCTGTCGCGTCTTCACACTTGCTCATTGAGCTACCAGTATCATATTCCCGTCCGTTGTTGAGCCTTCCTCGGAAGCAGCTTAGAGCAGGCCGAAAGGAGATCGGAGTTCTGACCGGGGCAGGCGTGAGTCTCCATCTTGGTGATGTGGGAGCACTGACAAACTCTTGTGTAAGCTCGTAGCATCTCTACAGCCTTTTTCACACCGAGAGAAGCCCCGAGGTCCAACGATGGGGACAGCGACAGCAGCGGCAGTGGTTCCAACACCAACGGGATCAGCATGTCACAAGAGGCAGAGCTCAATAGGTTTCAGCGGCCTCAGGGTCAATGCAAGTTGCGGTTTTCTCATGTCTGGATGCTTCAGTCTGCATACCCGCCCAGAAACGTGACTGCAGTTTTGGTGCTTGGGGGCGTGAGGGCGTGATTCGTGTGCAAGCTGGGCGGTCCAAGTTGACACGCGCCTGTTGTGCTGCAGGTCGAGTTCTTGTACTCTCGGCACGAGCGCGTTTTCATGCTACTCCTATTCATACAGTTTGTTTTGGAGGCGCGGTTGCGTGGGAAGTTTTTGCAAGGACACATATTTTGGAACCGTTTGTGCCCAGTCCGAAAGATGTTTGGGAACTCGAGAGCCCGATGCGGCCTGATATTTGTAGATTCTGGGACACGTCATGCGCCAGCCTGTCAGTCCCTCTACGCAGCTGTATTCGTCGTGCGGATGCGCCCGTCTGCGCCTCAATCTGCTTTGTGCTGCTGCACTTGGGCGTACATGTGCCGCTCGGAGCTGTTTCGAGGTCAATGTTCGAGTTGGAAGCCATGTACAACTGGGAGATCTCGCCGAAGACCGCAGAGGCACGAATAGAGCTGTTAGAGCAGACAAACCTGGCGTGTCCATGTGCATTTGAGTAGGGGGGGGGTGCTTCTTGGGCATTCTTTTTAGCTGCCGGACAGTCGGGCCCAGAATGCAACCCTTCATGGGCTCGATTCCAGCATCCCAGGCCATCCTTTGGACGACCTTGGTGATCCAGGCACCGGCCCCAAGACCAGACCCCGAACCAATTAGGGTTTAGGGTTGAGGGTTGAGGGTTTAGGGTTTAGGGTTTAGGGATGTTTAGGGTTTAGGGTTGCAGTCATTCATCTTGCATCAGGGGGCACTTTCGGGAACATTGCAGGTCCTTTTCGGCATCGTTTACTACTGCATGGCAGCCTTGGCCATTTGCACGAAGAGGCCAGGGGGGGGGGGGGGGGGGGGGGGGGCTGTGGTGGATTGCAAGATTGTGGGCAAACTCGCATTTGCAGCCTGAGGGTTCTTGGAGCGCTCTCTTGAATCTTTCTGCGAGAGATGGAAGTGGTCAGGCCTAAGCACTTTCAAATGTTCGCCAAGACCTGCCTCTGTGGGGTCACTGCCTGAGCGTGCTGAGCTTTTGTCTGCTGCATAATATGCTGGAGCAGCGTGTTCCCGAGCTTGCTGGGTCTGCAGGTGGTTGGCTTGGTTCTTCTCGCCTATGCAGACAAGTTCAACCTCCCGATCTTCTTTCTGAGACTCCTTGCATACATCTATGCCAGGCGTGCCTGGGGACGGTGGTGGGCTTCTGCATAAGCAGCCATTGCACAAGATCAACTTTTAATCCCCCTGCTGGCTCATAGATGGGCGACTGTGGACTCAGAAGACCAAGGAAGCCCCCCCCCAAAACAGCGAATCCCAAACCCTACTGGCAGCTGCACTGGGCAGGTTTCTCCAGGGCCTCACTGCCAGCATCTTGCTGCTGCCAGGGGCTTTCTCTCGAGTTTTTTCCTTTAACCTCACCCGTGCCTTGCATGTGTCCCCTTGCCTCAGGCCGCCAGCGAACAACGCCAACCGGAACGGCTGACATCGGACAAAAAAGCGTTCAATTCTGAATAGAGTAGCCTATCTGCTCGAGAGCTTCACAGTACCATCTACAGTACCTGTAGCAGAATGTGAGGGGAGGCTTGAAGCCGAGACGTGCTGTACGCTGTACTGAATGCTTCCGCCGCAGCTTTACGAGTCTTCGGAACTATTTGAGACTGAAACATACAGGCCCCCTCGCGGGGCCTCTGCGTGGCTTTGGCGCGAAGGTGCCGCTTGGACGGCAGGCAATAGGCCCACAAGCTAGTAATCCGGTCTTGGAGGGTGGGAGCTGTGTACGTCTTGTGAACCATTGAGCTGCAGGATGAGGAAAGCGGTAGCAAAGAAGGCAAGAGCTGGCAGAGCGGGATTCAGCGGGCGAAACTTGATCCAGGTGAATACATAACAGCATGCTCCGAAGAGCTACCGAAACGACCCCCGAGCGGCCATAACTGGGATTAGTCTCTTTGAACGTCGCTTGTGTCATGCCTGAGAGTAAAAAGTTCTTTGCCATGGTTCAGCCACGACAGATGAACTGAAACCTTGGAATAGGGGCATTCAGCAAAACGGCATCTCCGTGCTTTTCGAGGCTTCTTCGCCGCCCTGCTCTCTGGCCCGTCATGTTTTGCTGCGTGCCGGCGAACCAGTCCCAAGCTGAGACGAGTACATACCCTCTTCTCCTCCTCCTGCATAGAGGTACACATGGATCCTTTGTGTTGGAGTCTCTTCAACGACCTAAACAAACCCTAAACCCCAAACCCCAAACCCTAAACCCTAAACCCTAAACAAAAGCCCACCCTACCAAAAGGTTCTGCTGCGGCTGCTCGCTGCGCTTCGGGACAGGTCTGGTGATCTTAGCGCGCCCGGCTCATTTCGCAGCTTTTGCTTGACTCGCTGCGCGCTAAGTAGGTCACGTGCTGATAGGGTTCAGGGTTCAGGGTTTAGGGTTTAGGGTTTAGGGTTTAGGGTCGAGGGTTAGGGTTTAGGGTTTAGGGTTTAGGGTTTAGGGTTTAGGGTTTAGGGTTTAGGGTTTAGGGTTTAGGGTTTAGGGTTTAGGGTTTAGGGTTTCTGGTGCTTCTCGGCAGAGCTGCTGTGAGTTTGTGGCATTTTTGGAAGGATGCCTGCCCTGCCCCATGACATGCTGCTCGGGTGCAGGCGTCAGATTTGGTTTGCTACTCCCATCTACTCCCTAACCCCGAAAACCCTGAAGTTTAAGAGCCCTATGAAAACCCAAAGAACTCTAAAGCACCCAACCTAAACCCTCAAGCCCTAAACCCGAACTCCAAAATGTTCACCCGCCTGGCGACGCAGTCATTGGAAATCAAAACCTGCGCCGCCAGGCCAACGTCATCCTCATTGGACTAATGGCAGCACGCGCAGCCACTCGCATCTCACTGGAGGTTCTGCCTAGACCAAACCTATGACACAGTCACCGTGAGACTGAAGTTTGCGGGGCTCTGCGGTTTTTCTTGGAAAGTTTCATAGCCACGTTGGAAAGTTTCATAGCCAAATTCCACATCCGCCCCCTGTTTTTGCCGCCCACATATTCGAAGTCATCGGGGGATTCCCTGCTGAGGTTGGCGCCTTGTTCTATCCGGAAGATGCGGCGACCATGCCCAGCTTGCCAATGCAGGTTCCGAGTTTTTTGAAGATTCGGCTTATTTCAACCCGGGTCTTTGAGGTGATTTTCTCGACTTCACATACGATTTTTCAAGTGAGCCTTGTCGGACAGATCTTCTTCACGGCCTTCGCGCTTGCTAGCCTGCCTCTCGCTCAGTGCAAGCGGGGAGAGGTTGTGTTGCAGTGGCGTATTATGGCAGAATATGGCATTATGTGATGTTTGAGATCATGAGACGTCCGAGCCATGCCTCGCCCAGACTTTGCGGTGTTGCATGCTGTTGCTGTTGTCAACGGATGTTGACAGCTCTTGCCGATTTGCCGCTTTTGTCCCTGGACTCTTTTGCAGAGGCCTTTCATCTGTTTTGGAATCCACGGCGTCGTCCGGAAGGACGAGGCTCGCCCGCTCCTCTGAAGACTCAGCTGTTCTATGCTCAGCTGCACACCCCCAGGCCCAAGCCGTACCAGCAGTTTTTGTTCTGAGCATCCCGATCCCTGGATGCTTCTATTTCTTTTCTGTGTGTGTATGCACCTTTGTTGTTGTTTTGTCTCGCCGCATTTTTTGGCACCTTTGCAGTGGTGATAAACCCAAGCATCCGTAAAGACTGAACCGCGGGCTGTGCGTCAGATCACGCTCCGTGCCTACAGCTTCTATCTGGTGCTTGCAGCTCCGGACTCAGAAGTACGAGGTTTCTGGGCTGGGGGATCTTAGACTTTGAGAGTTCATGGGCCAACTCTAGGTTGGGTTTTGATCTCGCCTTCTCCTTCATCCAATCGTCCTCGAAAGCTCGTGCACCACAAAGTCTCCTTCCATTCAGCACCTTCTTCATGCAGCGGGGAATGGTGCTGCGCATGATCGTTCAATGGCCAACACATCGCCTTCATGTTTGATGCCTTGGAGCTTCGGAAGATCTCTGGGGCTCATCGATATGGCGTATTCGTGAACAGTGTGTTGAACTTTTTGTGGATGTATTTGTGCACGGCAGAATCCTGCAGAGCCACTGCACCCAAGGTGGGCCTCTGCATTTACTCTGTTGTGCAGCTGGGCCTTTCCATGACATGCAGCAGGCTTGGGCAGATGTACGAATAGTATCGAATGGTCATCATTTCGCTCGGAACGCTTTTTTTCATGCCCTCAAGGCCGCATTGTTGCTTTGTAACAAACATGGTTTTTACCGGCTGCAAGGGGCCAGTGGCCAGTGTCTTACTGAAAATTTGGCGCAGGCTTCCTGAGGGGGCCAAGGGAGGCAACGCCTACATCTGCGGCATGATCCAGGCTTTCCATCTCGGAGTTTAGGGTTTAGGGTTTAGGGTTCAGGGTTTGGATGAGCCTGCTTGTTGCAGGATGAGCCTGGAATTGCCCTCACCTGTCAAGAGAAGTGTGCGTGCTGCTGTGATTTGCAGGTCGTCGACATCATCTTCAGTGCAGTTGCGGCCTCGCATTCTGATGGGAGGCAGGGTTGGCCTTTTCTCAGATTGCTGTGATCACTCGTTCCCAGATACTTGTCACCTTGGTGCTCTATGGCCTCTACGTCGTGTGGTCCCAGGTGCAGGCGCGGCCTTGTGTTGTGAACCAGACACGAGCGTGTTGGTCCATGCCTTGAAGCCGTGCCTGGGAAGCTTCGTGTAAGTTAACCAAAGCAGTCCGATCAATGCTGAGGACTTCAGTCTGGGAGGCAGTACAAAGTTCTCAGACCTGGAGGACAGGGGGGGGCGGGGCCCGTTGCAGTTGGCTAAGGGGGGCGGCGGTCCCGAGCCGATTTTGCATGTGGACGTGAGGAGCCTGAGCCACAGACATGCAGCACAGCTTTGTGAACTTCCTTGTAGTTGGTTCTGTGTTATTCGAACCCCAGCAGAGCCTGCCTTGTGCGAGGAGAGCTACGGCAGCGTTGAGGCCAAGAAGCTCTTAGAGGCGGGTGGCCAACCCACGAAGCGGTACGCGGTACCCTGGGGCGGGGGGGGTGGGGGGGGGCTGTGGTGTGGCCGTCGCCCGGATCCGTAAGGGCTTCGCAGGCTGTGGAAGGCGTTCGTGCCATCGTTCGTGAGCTCTTCATGCCCTTGATGCTGGAAACGACAGTTTTCGGTGGTCTCTCCGATATTTATGTGTAAATGTAACCCATTCGAAATTCCATCGGACACACATCAACAGTGCGCTCGGCGGGCCCTGAGACGTTGAGCCTCTGTGCAAGGCCAGAAAACCGGCGGGGGAATTGTGGTGACCGTGGAAAGACTAACAAGCTTTTGAAAAGATATTTAGAGTGCATACGAGGGTTCTTTTTGAATCAGACGTCTGCATTGATTGGGTGCTTCACTCGTGTCCTCAATTGACGCCTGCTTTTCCATGTCAAGGCCTCCCACAACATCCTCGGCTCGCACGACGACGAGCTTCGACCTTGGATGGTTGCACCCGGTTTCAAGTCCGGCAGCACAAGCTTCATGAGATTTCATGAGGGTCCAAACTGTGTCGCACCAACTCACCCGATAGCCCAGGGGTCTGGGTGCGCTCTTCAGCAGCTCCCAGGGCGGAGCCATGTCGTCCGGCTTCGGTGCGCCCAGGGATTCTCGGATTGCCAGATTCAAAGCACAGGTTGAGAAGGGCATCTCATCGCATGTCAAGATCTCGGTCTTTCTGTAAGGTTTTCGGTCCGAATCTTTCCAGGGTTGACGTGGGAGTGCGCATGACAAGGGCGCAAGATGGCGCCAAGCACAACCTTTGAAAGCCTTTGCATGTTAGATTTTGTTAGATGGTCTCTGTGCGGAGTTAGAGTACATGACGCATGCCGTATGGGCAGGTGAAGGCTCCAAGATCTTCGGTCTCAAGCATGTGGCTGGCCCAGAGTGGCAGAGTGGCAGGGAATCGCTTATTCATGTCTTGTGAATGCCTCAGGGGGCTTAGTAACTAAGGGGTACAGGGTTTTAGGGGCCTGGCTTGGTTGACGAAGTTGGATGGCTGAGAGCTGCAAGTCGAGGAGCTTCAGTTCCCGCCTCCTCGGTGAGTGCTGCCGTGCTCTGGACCAGTTAATGGACGGGGCAGGGTAAGGGCAAATGCAGGATGCCAAGCAGAACAAGGCACATCAACATACTGTCTTGCGACCGCATGGTTGCCCCAGCATCTATTCTTTCACTGCTTGCCTGTCTCAGCCTCGGTGATACGGGTGCGCGAACGCAGCGCACTGCTGAAGAAGAGAAGAAACAAACACACACGCCAGTTGTGGAAGAGATGTAAGAGACATGTCGAAGTTTGTCAAAGCCAGGCCTTGCAGACATGGACATCAGACCTCTCCCGTGGCCGTTTTTCAGTCTTTTGAGAGAAGGCACTTTGGAAGAAGGCGAATTGCGAATGCCAAGATGGAACACGACCTCTCTGGAAACCATCGTAGGAGTGCGAACAATGCAATGGGGAGGTAAAACGCAACTGCGCCATGGATTCATGGATGTGGGACAACCTTGAAGCAAGAGCTGACTCCACAAAAACTTGTTGAGCTTACTGCTTGACATGCCCGAAGAGCAACCCTTACCCGAGTCTGTGGTGGTCCTGCCTCAATAGCCATGAGCTGAACGGGTGCACGATGTCGGTGCTTGCGTGCTTCACTCGGACCGAGAAGGCTGCGGAGGAGACTCATCTGCAGGCATTGTAGGCCTTCTGGGCATTGTAAGCCTTCTAAGCATGGCCCGGGGGAATGTGAGGTTTGTGGGTTCCCGATGCATTGGCATTCCATCATGATCTCCTCCAAGCTTTGCGAAGCCGGTTGGGTTATCAAGTGCTCCTGCTCATCCCCGAAAGTGCCTGAGATTTTCTAGGCCTGCTTCTGTCCGGTGCACAGGAGAAGGTGGATGTGTGGCTCACTGAGCAGCTTAAGTTCACGCGCGACCAGTCTCCTGGCTACAAGAGAGGAGGTCAAAGCAGGAGAAAGGAGTGGCTTGAGGGGAAGCGTATTTGAGAATGATCCTGCATGTACAGTAGGGGGAAGTGTAGGGCGAGCCAGTCTCGTAATCAGCTGTCATATCAAATGCCTCCTGACTTCGCGAGCATGTATGGAAGTTAATGCGACCGAAGACCAGTTGTGCAAAAGTCACCCAGCTTGTCGCAAGCTAATATGGCTGGCCCATCTTGGTTTGCCTGCGCCCAAAGTCCCATGCTGAACTCCCATTCTGCTTCGGAGGTTGGACAAAAAGTCGCGGCAGTGCGAGCAACTGGATGCGGAGCTTCGGCGCCTCAAGGACGCCCACGAAGCTAGCTGAGCCTCGAAAAAGGGCTTCCATAAGATGGGCTAATTAGGGTTCAAAAAGTCGTCAAAATTCTCTATTCCTTTGCTATGGGAAGAGAGTGCTCGCATGAAGCATGGTGCTCATGATGATTGCTGTCGTCTTCTGCTGAGTGCTGCATCAAGTGGGAGGCTTGTGAACCAGGGAGATTTCAGATAGTTTAGTATGCCCCAATTCACAAACATATCACATATCTGACGCCCAAAACCTCCGAAACTCTAAGAGGCCTGCATCTTAGGTTCAGGCTCATTGTTTTGCGGCCCTGTCCGTGCATGCCATTTCAGTTGCAGTCGGCACGTGTTGGCTCGGACTTTCCCGAAAGCCCAGAACAAAACAGCCCATCAGGAGCAACAAAGACAGTTTGTGCGACCAGAGGCCTTGTTTGCCGGGCTTTGTTGGCAGTGTCGGGCGGTATTTGTGGTCGAGGGAACCATCGCCAGGGATTGCTACACATTGCAACACTGTGCGGACAGTGCACAGCTGACATGCAAGACCTACATGCCAGTATCATACTTGCTGCTTCTGGAATCGGTCCTGAGATCCTTCCCAGCCGCTGGAGGAGTTAGAAGCTCTGCGGGACTCGCACCGACAGGCCTGGACACAGAGAACAGAAGATAAAAGGCATACCTACAGTGACCTGCAGCAACAACCTTTGCAAGTGTTTGCGTCAGTCAGAGGGTGCTATGCACGGATTCTTTCTCCGGTTTTCTGCGGCCGTCCAGTGGCCTTCTGATTCTGTGAAGACCTGTGACGATCTGTGAAGCTCGTTTCAACTATTCCCTCCATTTCCCTCCAATTCCAAGAGCTTTGCAGGAGCTCGAGCGGCTTTCGCAAGAGCTTGCCAGCGAGCGGGACCTTCACCAGGAGGCCAGGAAACCTCAGGAAGCCTCAGGAAGCCTCAGGAAAACTCAGGAAGACTCAGGAAGACTCAGGAAGACTCAAGGACGACTCAGCAAGACTCAGGAAGACTCAGTGGTGAGACCTCGCATTCTGCGATCTGCAGTCGATGTGCTGTGCCAGGCCTCGAGGTTGCTGCAAGGTCAGCGGGAGCAGCGGGATGCGAAGGCCGGTCATGATACGGGAGGCAGTGGGATGGAGAGTAGAAGAAACTAGGCAAGATGTGAGCCGGCATATGCAGCTGACATGCTGACTTCGGAGCCAGATGCAGTTTTTCAGGTGCAGATGCTCCAAGAGGAGCTTCGCAACCTCAGCGACGGTTTGGCACAGAAGGCCTGTGCAATGTGCTTGCACTCAGGGTCTAGAGTCTAGCTTCTTCTTGCAGTTGACAGAGTGCTGCTTGAGTCAACGCCATTCGGGCGATAGTCGGCTATATCAGAAGCAGCTTCAAGTGACGGTGGATTCCGAGGAGGAGGACATTCTCAACATCCAGTTCAGCATGGTCGAACTCCAGAATCGCTGCAGTGACCAGGGCGCCCGCATTCCTAGCTCTCGATCAGGCAAGCAAGTCAAAGGTGTTATATTTAAGAAGGGTGGCGAGCTGATGACGGCTCTAGTCTTTTTGTATTCTTGCAGGGTCCCATGAAGAGCTGCATGCTGAATCAACTTTGTGGGACAGATGCCACTGGCAGAAGGATCACTTTTGATGGTTGTTTTAGCTGAGGCCCTGGTCGTGGAGAACGCGGACGCCTTCCAGAAGGCTTCAGAGGAGCTGGCGGAGAAGGAGGAGGCCTCTTGGGAGCATTTTCACGCTGCTCAGCTGCTTCGCCTGCCCACGCATTCACTCTGCGTCTGGGCGATGAGAAATATGACAAAGCGAATGCATGATGAGCCTGACGTATCAGATCTCGTAAACAGTGTAGTTTAACGGCACCGCGCTGCAGGCCCTCTCATGGGGTTTCCTGGGCTCTTCCCAAGTACTCTCGGCGTGATGCCCCAAAAGATAGCCGCATGCGAGGCACGTGGACGGTTGCACGTTGTTGTCGCAGGTCGTTGGTCTCTGACATGGGCCCAAAGCGGGCTCCATGTTGGGCTCCATGTTGCTCCATGATACTCCTGTCTTCGTTTCATGGGAAGCTTGTGTGAGATCATGGGAGTGCTTCCCCTTCCTTCAACATGGTAGCCTCCAAGTGCAGGCCCTGGAGCAAGCAATCCAGAGGCAGCAGGATCGGCTTCGATGCACATGAGCAGTTCGGTTCAGTTTTGCCATCTGTGCTTTCAGATCCTTACAGCTGCTGCCGTTCTGCCTTCTTGTCCGTGCGATCGAAAGTGCTGGATGCTGAATCTCTCTCGCATGCACCATAAGCAGGCATTGCGGCATGCTAGAAGGCATTCGGGACCTGTCGGACCTGCCTTCTTTGTCTTGTCACTTCCACGTCGCTTGCGAGGAGCTTCGCCAGCAGATGAGCGCCGCATCGACACAGCTCCAGGGACAGGTGAGCGCGATGGGTCCATCAAAAGCGCGTGCGATCATGCGGTCAAGGGAGTGCCGCAACGTCCCACTTGCTGTGGACAACAGGTCCGGCAGCTCTCAGAAGAGCTGGAGCACAGCCAGGCGAGACCTGCATGGACATGTAGAGGGGTGTAGCAGTGCGTAGCTTTCACATCTTTCGCGGCCTGCAATGGCGAGGCTTCCTCCAAGCTGTGTTTGCATTCCGGTCCTATTTGTTAATCCTATGCCTGTGAACCTAGTTACTCGGTCTCTTCTTTGTTTGAATCTGTTTCAGGCGAAAGGCAATAAATAATCAAGAGAAGCAGCAATAGCGAAGCGCATCGTTTTTCTCGTTGCCTATGCCCCGACTCTAGGCTGCGAAGTCCACGGCGCAGGCGGCCGTAAACAGGCGCTTCTCTGCCCATGGGTCTGCACAGTGGAACAGTCATATTGAGCATATTCTGACCAACACTGGTGAACCTCGATGCATGTGCTGCGCAGACTCGGCAACTTCAGCAGTTGGAGGGCCCAGAACCTTGAGTTTCACAGACCCTGCCAGGCTGCAGGAGGAGAACGCTGCCCTTGCATCACAGGTCCAGCAGGTCGCCTGTTGGCTTCAGGAGTTCTAGTTTGCGTCAACTGGCTTCACCAATTGGGTCCGCATCATGCCTTTGATTTTTAGGCATATTTGGCTTGAGTATGCTTGAGAGATGCTTGAGTGCTGCAGATTCAGCTGTTGCTCTGTCAGAAATGCGAAGGAGACTCATCTGAAGAAGCTTTCAAGATTTCCACTAGCAGCTAGATTCGGCTTAAATCGTAAACGTCCTGGAGCTTCCGCAGGTGACTAGTGAGCTGGAGTCTGCACGCGAGAAGCTGCGGGAGCAGGATCCCCCTCGGGCAATGCGGCAGGGGGGAGTGTGAGCCGTAGGGTGGTAAAGACCGCGCAAGGTTCGCAATCACCTCCACTCTGCCTCCGCTGTTCCTGATGCAAGTGCAATCCCCCTTGGTCGCCTTATCCTTTGGGGTGCATTTCAACCTTAGGCCTTAGGCCCCCCCACACTCCCAAAGCCGGAGAGGGAACGAACCAGGAACCGGGAGTTCCACACACTCAGAATGATAATGATGATAATAGTAACAACAATAACAACAATAACAACAATAACAACAATAACAACAATAACAATAATAATACTAATAATAATAATAACAATAATAACAATATTAACAATAATAACAATAATAACAATAATAGCAATAATAACAATAATAACAATAATAACACGAATAAAAGATAGCAATAATGACAATAATAAAAACAATAACAATAATAACAATAATCACAATAATCACATAACAACAAAAAGAACAATAAGAACAATAAGAACAATAAGAACAATAAGAACAATAAGAACAACAAGAACAATAAGAACAATAAGAACAACAAGAACAATAAGAAGAACAACATCAAAAAATGTCAATAAGAACAACAAGAACAATCAGAACAATAAGAACAATAAGAACACTAAGAACACTAAGAACACAACAACAACAATAACCACAGTAATATTATTACAAATCATAATAATTGTCATAATAATGATGATAATAAGAGTAATAATAGCAATAATCATAATAACAAGAATAAAATAATAGTAATATGAACAATAATAATAACAATAACAATAGTAATAATAATATTAATAATAATAATCATAATAATAATAATAATGATAATGTTCCAAGGAGGCCGCTGCGGAGCGCAGGCAATCCCAGCTGGAAGATGAGATCCAGGCGCTTCCCGTGCCAAGGACTTGTTCTGCTTTGACATGTTCCAGGGGATTCTCCATGGAGGTAGTCTGTATTCCGGCTTTCACATTTGGCGAACTTCGTTTGTGGGCTCTGTGGTGTGGGGTTGATTCAGCAACCCGGGTTGAGTGTACTACCGTCTTCCTTTTTCTGCCTATTCAGCTTACTTTTGCCGATCCGATGCGTAGTTCGTTTGCGGTGAGTGTTCTGAAACACGCTTAGTACGATTAACGATTAACACTGCCTCTCTCTCGCTTGGGCTGCCTCTGCGCCTGCACGCATTTCATGCAGAGACATTGTGCTTGGCCCCGGAGAGTGACAGGGCCTAGTGCAGCTCGTCTCGAAGTCGCAGGTGCCGCCTCTGGAACTTGTGGGCAGGGCCAGTTTCAGGGTTGCAGGATGTTGTGTAGGAGGGCGGGGGAGGGGTGTGGGATTTGTTAGGCCCTGTATGATTTGAAAGGTTCTATTCTCATCCGCCTTTCAAATTGAGATCTTCTGGCGAATGCCCGGCATTCGGGAGGTGCAGCTTAGCACACGTTTCAAGCTAGGCACGCCGGTATACCTGCCCCGGTCAGTGGAGTGAGTGCATGCACGTGCCCTTGTTGAACGCAGCTTCTGCAGGGCCAGGCGCAGGCGCAGGAGCCAGAGAGTTGAGAGTTGAGAGCTGCGTTTTCAAGCGCTTCAGCTCGTTTTCCCACAGGCACCGTATTTTGGAGGTCATGCTTCGTGCTCCACGCAGTGGGCAGGACAGCTGGCCGAGCCCCACATTCGCACTGGATGGCAGAGGCAGTCCTGCATCTCAAAGGCAGAAAGCTCAAAGAAGCTCTCTCAGCTTGTTTCCTCGCAGGGCGCTGCGACTTGGAGGATCAGCATAGTGCTGACCATGGGGCCGGAGGCCAGGACAGTGAAGCATCAGCCTCACAGCGAGTCACTGCTTTTTTGCACTCAAAAGCTCTTGGTTCGCGGGTTGCCTCCACTCCTATGGGGATTCTTCTATTTCCGAAGGTGCCGGGCCGAGCTTCTGCGAGCCAACGCCCTTGGTGCCCTCGGTGCTCATCGCTGCAGAGATTGACCTGGGCCGCTTCGGCCAAAAAGAAGGAGGGAGTATGATTCTGAGTGGACAGGGAGGTTTGGGACTTGTTACCCGAGTTTCTCGGGGCACGTTCGGAATATCTCGGGTCTGGAAGTGTTTGTAGCCGCTTTGTGATACACGATGTGGCAACAGCCAGTTGACACAAAGATTTATGATGGTCGGGCAAGTTTCCGCGGTCCTCCCTCCTCTCCTCCCCTTCAGGGGTCGCTCCTCAGGCCTGGGGTTCTTTCCTTTCAGCTCCCAGGCCTTTTTGGGCTGCGGCCCCTCCTTCCTCGGGGAGTTCCCTCAGGTCTCCGGGCTCTTGCCCTTTAGGCTCCAGCCCTCTTTGACCGCCCTAAGCTTCTTCTTTTTGCATTTTTTGCGTCGCCCTCAGAAGTAGGAACCGGCTCAGAATTAATGGTCTTTCCTTCCCCAACGAGGGAGTTGCCGATCTTGGACCATCTGTAGCTGCACAGTTGCCCTAGTTGCGCTTTCTGACTAGGACTTATTGTGGACACAACCTTCAAAGACAGTCAAGCTGGGCACACACACACATTCGCAAAGGCGCCCCAAAAATGTGGGTCACTGGACTTGCGCTTGCCAGGCTACAAAGCCAAGCGCGCTCTGTTGGGGAACTACACATATTGATACATATTGTATCCGCAGCTTTCATCCCAGTTCAACCCATCCCAGTTTGCTAAAACCGAAATCCTTCCAAATCCCCAAAAATATAGCTCAATTAAAGGACCGGATAACCCCACATGCAAAGTTTTCCATTCATAAAGAGTAGAGAAGTGATAGAGGATAAAAGAGTGAGAGAGCGAACGAGTGAGTGCGTGGCCGTGAGTGAGTGCGTAAGTGAAGTGGAGACGAGCTCGTGAAAGCGTTCATGTGATGTCAGGTGCGTGAGTGAACGTGGTGTGCGCGTGATGTGTGGTGCGTGATGCATAGTCCGTGATGTGTGTGTGTGTGTGTGTGTGATGTGTGATGTGTGCATGGTGTGTGGTGCGTGGTGCACGGCCGAGAGCTTCGTGAAGGTCTGGAGGCCCTCGACGTGGATCGGACCCTCTTCACCAGAGCATCTCCATGTTTCTTTGAACTCCTCGTGAAGTTTCCAAGATCGGAAAGCACTGCTCACATAGACAGCATACACATGAAGCCGAGTCTGAGTTTCATCTGCAAAGTGCACGATGTGCATGCATACATAGTCCAGCAACAAGCAGAGCCGCAAGCTTTCCCGCGAAGTCGCACGCACGTTAGCGCGCGCGGCAACGGCCCAGGGCCCCTAAGTGCCGCGCCTGCCAGCACAAACGACGCGTGTGTCGCGCCTGCCAGCGTTTCGCGAGCCCCCGAGCGCGCGCGCGCGGCAACGGCCCAGGGCCCCTAAGTGCCGCGCCTGCCAGCACAAACGACGCGTGTGTCGCGCCTGCCAGCGTTTCGCGAGCCCCCGAGCGCGCGCGCGGCAACGGCCCAGGGCCCCTAAGTGCCGCGCCTGCCAGCACAAACGACGCGTGTGTCGCGCCTGCCAGCGTTTCGCGAGCCCCCGAGCGCGCGCGCGGCAACGGCGCCTGCCAGCACAAACGACGCGTGTGTCGCGCCTGCCAGCGTTTCGCGAGCCCCCGAGCGCGCGCGCGGCAACGGCCCAGGGCCCCTAAGTGCCGCGCCTGCCAGCACAAACGACGCGTGTGTCGCGCCTGCCAGCGTTTCGCGAGCCCCCGAGCGCGCGCGCGCGCAACGGCCCAGGGCCCCTAAGTGCCGCGCCTGCCAGCACAAACGACGCGTGTGTCGCGCCTGCCAGCGTTTCGCGAGCCCCCGAGCGCGCGCGCGGCAACGGCCCAGGGCCCCTAAGCCGCGCCTGCCAGCACAAACGACGCGTGTGTCGCGCCTGCCAGCGTTTCGCGAGCCCCCGAGCGCGCGCGCGGCAACGGCGCCAGGGCCGCCTAAGCCGAGCGCGCGCGCGGCAACGGCCCAGGGCCCCTAAGTGCCGCGCCTGCCAGCACAAACGACGCGTGTGTCGCGCCTGCCAGCGTTTCGCGAGCCCCCGAGCGCGCGCGCGCGCGGCAGCGGCCCAGGGCCCCTAAGTGCCGCGCCTGCCAGCACAAACGACGCGTGTGTCGCGCCTGCCAGCGTTTCGCGAGCCCCCGAGCGCGCGCGCGGCAACCGCCCAGGGCCCCTAAGTACCGCGCCTGCCAGCACAAACGACGCGTGTGTCGCGCCTGCCAGCATTTCGCGAGCCCCCGAGCGCGCGCGCGGCAACGGCCCAGGGCCCCTAAGTGCCGCGCCCGCCAGCACAAACGACGCGTGTGTCGCGCCTGCCAGCGTTTCGCGAGCCCCCGAGCGCGCGCGCGCGGCACTGGTCCGGCGCCCCTAAGTGCCGCGGCTGCCAGCGCAAACGACCCCTGTGGCGTTTCCCGCGTGATGTGGTGCGTGATGCGTGATGTAGTGTGTGATGCGTGGCGTGGTGCGCGTGATGTGGTGCGTGATGTTGTTGTGCGTGATGTTATGTGGTGCGTGATGTGGTGCGTGTGATGTGGTGCGCGTGATGTGGTGCGCGTGATGTGGTGCGTGTGATGTGGTGCGTGATATGTAATGCACGTGGTGCATGAGGTGCGTGATGTGCGTGATGTTGAAGGAGGAAAGAAGGCGGAAGGAGGGAGGAAGGAAGGAAGGAAGGAAGGAGGAGCGCGGGACAGCCCCAAAAGTAAGAACCCCACACAAAGATGTGGGGAATAAGAGCTTGCCGTCACGCAAACCTTAGACTTCATTTGTCGTCCGCAATCAGCGCGAGATCATCCGGCTTTCCTCTTGCAGGTTTGTGTTTTTGCGGCAGGAATTTTGTAAGAAGCGGACGGGACGGGGACTGCTATTGCCAACCAGTACTGCCAAGCTGATTCTCGGCTTGCTTTCTGTGTTATGGATGTTTTCACAATCCCAACACCCCCCCTCTGCGACTCCTGCATATTCTGCTGATGCGGAGCTACTGCCTCTGAAAGCTGGCGCGCATCTCTGAGGTGCTGCCGGTGGTGCCGCCCTCGGAAAGTAATGTTGTGTCAGACCGTGTCAGGCTTTCAAAAGCTTTCGTTTTGTGTGTGGTTTTTTTGTCAGTGGAGATGTTTTGTTTTTGACGATTGTGGAAATGGGCAGAAATGTGAACAGATGAGGGCGCGCCACCCTGACGGTTTCTCCGTGGCAGACCAGCTCCGACTACAACTCGGCCCGTTGTCTGAGTTAGGGTTTAGGGTTTAGGGTTTAGGGTTCAGGGTTCAGGGTTTAGGGTTTAGGTGCAATTGTGCGTTTTTCGGCTGCGAGAGTAACTCTTAGGTGTGTTTGTGCAAATTTCACAAGCTGAGGTGGTCAAGGAGTTCTTGGCCCACCACCGGGTCAAGCCCATCTTCGAGCAAGCCGCGCCTTGACAGCAGAAGCCACACTTGTAAACATTGATTCGGTCGTTGGTGATTGGTGCGAGGGCCCTTTTCAACGGTTGCTTTGACTAGCTCAGAGCAGAATACTGGGAGCTCATCATGTCCTCCTTTTTCCTGCCACCACGTCTAGCACGCCACCCCACTCTGCGCCACACCTCCAGTACCCGCGCCATCAGCACAGCACCACCAGCATAGCACCACCAGCACCAACACCGCCAAGCATGTGGCGGACGCTCAGGTCGTGCTTTACCTGGAGGCCCGGCGACTGACGTGTGCTGGACAAGTCAGTCTGCATCTTTCACGCTTGCCGAAGCCCTTGGCATCCTGATACATTGCACGATTCATCTGTGTTTTTGTGAGTGTGGGAGCAGGATCTGGAGAGGAGTGCCACGACCTTCCCTCTGCTTGTGAAGGCAGGCTTGCCTCTGCCGTCATGTGCCGTCATATGCTCGCAGCAGTGACCCTTGATCCTGCGACCGCCTGTGCAGGCCTCGTTAGCGGACATTTACAGCCGATACGGCTGAGATGGACTGAGGCGGCTGCAAGGTGCTGTGAACTCTACGCCCTTTACCACCGCAAGAACCCCTCACTTTCGCATACCTCATGCAGCGCCTGTCATCTCCCGCCGAAATTTGTGAGTGCTAATTATTTGGACCTTGTATGTGCAGCCTGCCGGAAGTGTGGCGCCGCACTCAACGAGGGCGTGCCCCGGGTGCAGAGTGGAAATATGTGGGAATCACTGCCCCCCATGGTCGCAGACGTCAATATGAGTACACAGAAGTTGGCAAACAAGTTCGTTTTCGGATGCCGAGCTTTTCAACTCTGCATCCTTGGCTTTTGGGGACTCCATGGGACTCCGAAGACGGCTCACAGCGCCTCTTTCAAATCGGCCTGCTGCTGTGAGTCTATCGGATCTATCGCTTTTCAGGAGAGCCTCCAAGGAGGGCTCCTGCTGGTGGCTGCTCGTGGCTGCGTGGCTGGCGACGTGGCTAGAGCTAGTGTCCCCTTAGTGTCCCCCTTGCAGGGGTTGGTGGCCCGCATGGGAGCGGCGCTTCGCCCAGAATGCTTGCTTTCACATATCTCAACCCGCAGATCTCGGCAACCGAGAGGGGCCTCAAAAGACCGTCCAGGCTTTCAGGGTTGAGAGACCAGCCCGGCGCTGCAGCAGACGGCAGTCATTCTGCATTGATGTTGTTGGGGTTGCGGCAGTCTGCCGGATTCTATGTGCCAGAAGGCGCGGGATGTCGGGGCATGTGGGCTTTCACAGTCACATGTATTCGACAGCTTCGGTCAGAAAGCAGTTTGGCTCTAGATCGTTCGATCCCGAGGTAGAGGTAGAGTTTCTATGTACACGGTCAATCCAGAAGTGTCTCTGGCGATGGAGGGTGGAACTTGTGTCTTTGTTCAACTTTGTTCATGCTCTCATGCTCTGTTTACAGCACCGGTGGGCTCCATGTTTTTATATTGCCACAGCCGAATTCACAGCATGTGGGTGCTGCCAGCTCATGGCGCTTTGCTTGGCGCGTGCCCAGCGGCAGGCAAGAATGCAAGACGTGAATGCGGCACCCAACGCTACATTTTTACGGCAATATGTTTTCGCTGGACTTGCTCCGTCACCTTGTATGCAGGTCTGCCAAAGGATGAGTGCTGAGTCCTCGACTTGGAAAAGTTTTTGGCACCTCGCCCTGCCAGGCCCTTCGCGGCGTCGTTTCGCGGTGCTGCGCAACGCTGCCTCAGGCTGAGCCAGTCGATGTACGGCAGCACCTGACAGGGATTAAAGCTCACCGCAAAACAGCCCTGCCCAAAGGAAAATAGGTCGGCGCAGAATTCTTTACCTCAACTCATGTGCCTCATGCAGGGACAGACTAAACCCTGGAAACTCAAGCTCTCAATCATGTCAAGGGCGTACCAGTCTACATAAGAGTCTGGCTTTACACAGGGTGGTGCAAAAATGACATGAGTTCTCAATGATGTTCTTGCTTGTTGTTCCTCTTTTTTTTCGAAGCTTTGCCTGTAGGTCCTCAGAAAAAAGAGAAGTTGAATTGAGAGAGCCGAAGGCAGAGTGTTGTCGAACAAAGGGAGAAGACTATTAATGTTGAGGGGAATGGGTGGCCTTGCCCTTTGCCGCACCTTTTGAGAAGGTTCCGTTTTCAGAATCATAATCATAAGACGTAAGGCGAAAGAAGGGAATAGAAGCAGCAAGAGAAGAGGCAATCCTTGTGCTTGGGACTTGGGCGTGTGGGCGTATCTGTCTTTGGATTTTGTAGAAAGCCACAAGAAAGCAGAACATGAGCAAAAGACAACCACAAGCAGAAACCGAGCAGCAGATACCAACAAAACGCCCAAAGCAGAACGCAGCAGGACAGTGGAAAGCAAGAACAGCAGCTTCTCATGTGCCAGCGTGAAGGGCCAACACAGTCCGCGTTTGCCACTTTTCTCGAGGAGCTCAGCTGCTGGGTCTCGCGGAAAAATTGTGAAACCAGAGAGTTCAAGAGGGCGGTTTCCCCTCATAACCGACTTGGGGTTGTAGGTCACTAGTACTATGATGGCTGCTTGATGTACCGTTGAGCGTGATGCAGACTGGTTGGGAAGCCCTGGGCACCCATTGCCAAGCTCAGGTCTCAGTGTGTCTGTCTTTTTTTTGGCGGTCCTTTCGCTGCCCAGAGTGTATCATTGCCTACGGCAACGATTGCACGTGCACCTTAAGGCCTTCCACGGTGCGTCTCAGCACTCAGAGCACTCGCCGGTGCTGGGCCCTCGGAACTTCGCATTCTGTTCCAGGCCGCATGTCCGCAAGAAATTCGCCTTCCCCCAGAAAAATGGTGAATCTATACGGTCTATACACAAGCAATGGTCATTTTTTTTGAGTTTTGTCACCTTTGAGTTTCGGTAGTGTTGCTTCGTCAAGCTGGCGAAGCATTTTCGGATTGTGCTAAGGCTTGCTGGTTAACATTTTGTGTCGTTCCGGCGGAGTGGGCTTTCTAGGCACGGTTCGTACTTCCGAATGTGAGTAACAAGATTGTACAACTGCACCCTACTTTGTGGGATATGCTTTTGAAGCTGGAGCTGTTGCACGGGCGCGACGGGCGCACTCGAAATCGACACCGCTTTGCTCCTCCGTTGCTCCGCTCTTCCGCTCCTCCACTTCTAGGGAGCTTTGGGTATAGAATTTGCTGTCCGGCTCCAAGTTTGGGTAGAACATCTCATGTTTCCACACCCACACATGGATTCCCCATGCAAGGAGAGGCGCTCAAGACAAAAGAAGCTGCAGCCACAACTCCAAATCCGAGAACTGTACAACTTAAACTTTATCGGAATCTCAACTCTAATCAGTAAAGCTGAGATCCTAAACTTCGCAGTCCTCAACTCCAAACGATTTCCTGCAGTGGTCTGCATCAATGCTTCTTCTCTCTGGGCTTGATAATCATTCGTGCAGCGCTTTGATATGTTCAGCTTAACCACATACTCGTACATACTACTGTTTGCCAAGTCTGCCGAAGAGTTTGAGATTATGTGGCTCAGAAGTAGTACGAACATACTATGAAGTGGATAACCGCGAATGAGACTGAAAGGTTCGTTGAAACGAGGTTTAGGAAGTCTGTGACAGATAACCAGCAAAAAGACTTAGCAAACGAGGCCAAAGAGTGGCAACATGCCACCGAGCTGCTGCAGGATGAGACGTTTCTTGTCCTGCTTGCGCGTCAGGTGCAGCGGTGCAGTGGGCCTGTCTGTTTTAAATGAAAAGCTCTGTTCGAGGAGATGCGCATGCACAGCCCACTGCCGGATGCTACCGCGGTGAACGCAACCATCGGCGCCTGCTCCCGCGCAGGGACCCTACATGGAAGCCTCTAATGCCCTACACTCCGTGGCTTGCTCTGAGCCTGCGAACGCTAAACTGCGGCCCTGAATGCAGGGCGAGGAAGGTGGTTTTCTGAGAATGTGCATGTGCAATCCACCACCTAGTCTTAAATGGCCAGACTCCGCAGGCAGTACTTGCAATATGCACCAGAGCCAGGAGCCAGGCTGTCATGGCAACATGCAAGACATGCCCCATGTTCTTCTGAGCCCAAAAAATGAAGGCATTTAGGCAGCCAGCTGAACTTCTCGGCCTGCCCAGCACCTTCTGCAACACTTTGATCACTCTTGCTCTTTCAGACGAGTCGATCAGAAGACACACAGCACCAATCTCACCCACACGCCCGCTGACGGCCGTGGAAGAGCCATGCCCGCGGCGGAATCCTGTGAAGACCCACTTCAGTGGAGGCGCGTTCTTTGTGCCTTCGTGCCAGCGGGACCCAAATACCCTGCAAGCCCTTGGCATGCTGATGGTGCTGCCAGCTTGGAGAGTCACCGCACGCCCACGTCAGACAGTATTACCCAGCGTGCCAAGCGGACCTGTCAGGTTCGAAGAGCCTGATGGAAGACAAAGTGATCTGCGGGCTAACAGCTGGGAAAACGATCTTTGCCAGGCGGAATCAGATATGAATGAACCCAAGCCGTTTCCAAACCTTCAGCGCTTTGCTGAGAGGTGAAACTCCTGGCAATGCATCGACCGACACATGATCCGGAGAGAATGAAGGCAAGGCTTGTCAGCCTTGGCAGTGGATGCTGACCTGCATGATGCCAAATATGATGCTGCAAGAACTTGTACTAAGAGTCGTGAAAAGAACCGGTCTCTTTCAACTGCCTTTGCTTCTCGCAGGCTGGGGACTACCCCTTCAGCTGGCACCTGCAGGGCCGCAAGCGTCTTTGGGAGCTGAGGCGCGGAGCGATGCGGAGAGATGCGGAGTGCGTGCAGAGGTTTGTCTTGCGCTTTTGCAGCCATCTCCCCATGTGAGGCTACAAATTCGTTTCAAAGTGCTGCCGAAGGAGCTGTCTCTGCTTCAAAGGTTGGCAGGCGTTTCGGATTTCGTGGCACATCCAAAAGGGAAAAACAACGACCGGAAGAAAACAGTGCGCGGTGGGTGGAAACCAGGGCAGGCGAATCCTTTGCGAGGGGCTACACTCAAAACGGTGCTTTCTTAATTGCAAAACCCCAGCAGCCGCGGCGATGCTCAGCCATTCGTGGAAACGCGGAGGCAGAGGTGAGATGAACAGAAATTGTAGATGGCTGAAACAGCTGGGGGAACAGGAACAAGGGATCTGCGGACAAACTGCCGCGACTCCGTATTTGTTGCGCTTCCGAAGCTCATATATCCGGTGCAGAACTTCGCATGAGATTCGTCCCGGGCTCGCACATCCACTTGCTGAATCGGGAACAGTGTAGAGTCGCTCAGCGCGCTCTGAGGAGCCTCTTTTCTTCGCCTTGGAGCTGAGCCGCTTCGTTGAGATCTCAGGTATTACCCGCCAAGCACAGAAGGCCCGTACTTGACTCAGGGCTGTCTCAGGAGACATCAGAGCGCCGGGAAAGAAGCAATGCAATATGTTGACAGTCGTGGCTTGGGGCACTCCACCTGACAGGCCCTGGTGAGTGCCTGCCAAGCTGTTGCAGACTGCTACCACTCCAACGGTCATGAGCCCAGACACTATCTACAGGACATGAGCAGATGGTTAGAGGAGATGCTACCAAGACACATCACGGCTCGGGTTTGAGGATGGTTCGTGCTGTAGTTGACAGGTCTAAGCTTCGAGCAGAAGAGTATGGAGTTTCGAGATCTTGTTGTAGGTTTGGGGTGCAGTCCTGGTTCAAGAGCTTGGTATGGTACTCGTAGTATCTTGAAGAAGCATCCCCAGACGACCAGAAGGGTTACACGAGGATAGGGGTCCATGACAGGTCCATAGTGGGTCGGGTCCATTGCACACCAAGGGTGCCCCAAAATCCTGATTTAAAGAAACAACCCAGGGGATCCCGGGCAGCCATGGCAGGTCAAGGGGGTTTCAGTCAGGGGTGAGAGGGAGTAAGCCCATGCCAGAGAGTTGGTCCGGGGAGTTTCTGAGGGTTCATGAACCCACAGAAGAGGTAGATGGTTGAACGGGCGGTATCCATGGCTTAGTTGGCGACCGGGGGTCCATCGCGTGGTGTTTGGCGTTCATGGCTGCATGTTGATTCATGCCTGGCCGCAGGTTCATACGAGGGACGGTGCAAAGGGTCCACATGGTGTCTTCAGAAAAAACAAATTCCAAGCACAAAACCCAAAATGCCGTCTCCATGTCTCCTTTGAGATGCTGGGCGTCGCAAAACCCCATGGCCGGTTAACCAAAAGGAGCTTGAAAAGAAACATTCAGGCTGTGCCGCAGCAGTACACTTCAGCGCACGCCCGGAGGGTTAAGCTGAATTCAATTTGACTGATTGGGTGCTGGGTCTTTGTCTTGGAGGCTTCAGGCTGTGAGTCTGCTGTTTCAGCACGAAGCCTCTTCCTCCCGAAGTGCGCATTTCGTCTGGTTGTGGTGCTGGGCTTTTGACGTGCGAGAAGAGGGCATGGGTTCATCAGGTTGCTTTACTGTCGTCCGTACTGAACCTCATGCATGCTGACTTGCTCACGTGCTTGCAACCACACAGTCTCTCCTAACAATACATCTGGCTGCCATCTGGCTGCCCAGGGGACGACCCCAGCACCCTGCTCGCGGGACGCGAGGCAACCGCAGAGTTTTTCGAGCGTAGTTTTACTGTGCTAAAGGCATGTGCCATAAGCTGGTGCTGGTGTGGGAACTGGCCGTCGCGCTTGGTTTCCATTGCACTGTTGGGCAATAGCTCCTCTGAGGTTTTCTTGGGCGTATCAATGTATCACATATGTGAGTGGTAGGGGGGCTGGAGGATTTTGCTGCAATAACCGTGGGCTAAGTTGAGCGTCTTTCCAGACACCAGCATGCCCTGCCAGAACCAGACATGCATAGCCGCATAGCCGATCCCGGGGTTTTCATGTAGGCTGAATCGCCGACATTCGCCATGCCCCTGTGCCTTGGCATGGCAAGTGCTGACATGTGAGTTTTTGATGTAGCCAAGCTGATGCGCGTCGCATTATGTAGCAAGTTGCGGTCCATGGTTGGGAATGGTGGCCCTGGGCGGCCCTGGATAGTGACACCAAGGTGGGCCTTCGACCAGTTTGAGGCCCCCTCAGCTGCACCGTCCTGTGCATTCCTCTTCGCGGCCAAACCTGCCAACTTGCACAGCGATGCTTTGCACAAACATGATGAGCCTCCGTGCGCTGTCGGCGGGCTTCGTGACTTCGTGGCTGAGTGTTCTTCCTTTGCTCTTGTTGTGTTGTGGAGGTGTCAGCACCTGGCTCGGAGCCTGACCTCGCTGGCAACCTTGATGGAGTGGGCCTCCGCCCGGTCTCCAGAGAATGCAAGGAACCGGCAGACGTCAACTGTTGAGCTTGTCATGTGTTCTTATGTTTGGGTATGGATGGCTGTCGGGACCCTGTTCAACCACAGAGAGCAGATCTCTTTGCCGAAATGTGTTGTTAACGTTCAGTTCAGGTACCATGATAAAGTCTGATTAAAATCAATGAATGTGTGGCACTTGAATGAAACAACCAAGATGTTCAGATCTTGTCAGTCCAGGTCGCACGGATGGTGCTTCGGCATACACGGCATCCCTGAAGAAGGCCGCCCCGTTGTGTTCGTTGAGTTCGAGATCTGCTCTGATTGATCCGCCCCGTTGTGTTCGTTGAGTTCGAGATCTGCTCTGATTGACCTCACAAGTTCACACCTGCGCCTACACGGAAACTTGATCTTTGGAGGCCCTGGCAGAGCTGTCGACTGAGCGTGCCGGGTGCTTGTCTCGCGGGCATATTCATTGACTGTGTGTGTGTGTGTGTGTGTGTGTGTGTTCGCCTACGTGGGCAGGCGGGTGGGTGCATGGCTGGATGCGTGTGTGGGTACAGCTGTGGGTGGGTATGCGAGGTGTGAGGGGCGTGTGAGGGGATGTGTCGGGGGGCGCGCACAAAAACGCACAGGTGGTCTTGCGTGCAGTAGCGAATTGGCGATAAGGCTCTCCAGAAGCTGCAGAGTCTCGGTTTGGGGCGACTCGAAATTAACGCGGCGTGGGGGTGTGCAAGAAGGAGAGCAGATCCTGGTCCGCTTGTTCTAGACGCTTCTTGGTTGGAAGCCAAGGCGAATTGCTTCAAACGATAAGGAACGCATACCGCTGTAGAATATACTAGAACAGAGACCCCAAAAGGATCGACAGGGCCCATCCGGGCCCATAATTAATCCAGAAGTGGTCATTCGAGGTGTACACCTTCTGCTTCTGGGGCGTGTCACAGTTCTTGGACTGTGTGCGCCGAAGCCCGAGATAGCTCTTCTTCAGCACTTGCTTCCCGCACGGCTTCAGCCTCTCGGCCAGCCTTTCAGGCTTCATCAGATCATCCCTTTTGCTTTGGCTTGCGTCGTCTAGCATCTAAAGGGTTGGGACATACCAACTGCCTACCCCCAATGCTTTCCAAGCTGCGCATGAAAGTCTTCCGTTTGTGTTCCAGAAAGCCCCTGCAGCCACTGCAGGTTGGGAGGTCACTGGGGGGATCCTTCCTGGAGTGACCATGGACTTCGACAGGCGCAGCTCATTTAGGGGTCCCATTTTGGATGCTATTCCGCTCAGTCTTGTCTGTCCCCCTTCGATGCTTAGACAGGGTTGCTGACGTGTGATCTGATGTTGCCCCTTAGTTAGTCAACAGGGCCATGTTAATGGGGCAATGTTCGTTTCTCAATCGGCTGCCAACACTGCAAAATTGTACCCCATGGTTGGGCCGGATTTGCCTGAGAGGGATGGGGATGAAAAGGGAGCGTGTCAACAGGTAAGGTTCAAGAGATGTTACTTCCTTGGGCCGGCGGAAGCGTGAGACTCGGCGCCTAAGATGTCAACAGCCCGCGGAGTTCTTTCCACAGTTTCGGAGCTAGACCGAATTCCGTTGTTTTCGGGTGCTTCCGCGGAAATCCAGAGCATCCAGCTTAATCAGCGATTCCTGATTCAGACTTGCGCTATCTTGCACTGCCATTCAGTCGTGTTTGGAGCCAGCGCTTCAATCTGCTTCAGAGTTTCAACACCCAATTCCCGAAAACACTGTGCAACTGAACAATGTATCCTGCTGTAGAGAGCCACTGTCGAGTCCTACCAATTCCCACCAGAGAGATGGTGCCTTCAGTGGCCCTGGGCAAGGCTCTGCGGCCGGCCGCCTGTTTACTTCAGCGTCTATGCGCTTCAAAAAGCAGGCCTGGGAGATCTTGGCTTCTGTGAATTTGTGTGGGGTTGGGCCCGGGAGGGCCTGGGGCCTAAGAGGGTGCGAGGGTGATTGATGTTGAGATTTTCCGTTGATGTCCGCACTCGTGTTTAGTGACTGCTTCCACACCAGGTGAAGAGAAGCGGCACTTGCAATCAATGAAGAGGCCGGGGCCCTGGATGGAAAGGACACTGGGTGCTTTGACAAGCTTTTCAGCAAGATCCGGCCTCAGGACTTTCTTCCGCATCTCAGCCTGGAGTTCGCTGCATGCCCCGGAGGCCGCTCCTGTCAACAGCGCAAATACCTTAAGGGCTCTGAGTATCTCTCTAAGTGTCTCCGCCTGTGCATTCTTGAACGTCCCCTGAGCGGCTTGCGGCGTTGCGTGCTGCGGCGCCTTGAGTAATCCTGCTTGCATGAACATGCGCTGCCAACATTCTTTTGAGATCCGACAAACGTCCCTGAAGCGAAGCAAAAACACCCTTAGCACTTCGAGCCAAAAGCGGTGCACCGTGCACCGTCGAAACCCGACAACAGACGGTTTTTTTGCGATGCGAGCCCCAGAAGACTCGCCCAGCCTGAGAATCTCAAGAGACGCTGAGGACTCGAGCCGGTCTGTGACGAATGCAGACTTCAGCTGGGATGGCTACGGATCTTACGATCTGCTGGACCGAGTTTGACTATAGGGGCTCTCAGGGTAACCTGTGGCTTTAGCATTCATGGATTCCTTTGGTGGCCTGTGACGCCACAATCGGCTAGTCCTGGAACAGCGGCGAAAGACGACTTTATCGGTTACATACTGCAGACCGCCACATGCTGCATGAACAGTGGCGGTGCCCTGTCTGCACGAAGTATCCTGAGCCTTCAACAAGGACTTCGCCGCACCGCCTGCCGCGGCGAAGCCGCTGGTGCCGGCGGAGGCACCAGCGCCGTCCGCGCGGATCCTCGGGCAACGTCTCCGGATGCTACAGGTTTCGGGCTTCTGGGGAGAAGAATTCAGGGCGGCCCGAGTCGGGGAAACGGTTGGTGGATGTTGGAAGCGGAGCAGCCCCCAACACATCAACGTGATGCCACCAGAACCTATTCGGGGCATGTTGGGGGACCGAAATCCGAAGCATTCCGAAACACCTCTTGTCGGACGATGCCACAAGGTCGACTTGCTTGGCCTGGGCTGACGCACTGATGCCACGAAAAGCTGCGCACAGGACAAAACAGGCATGTCAGCGCTGGTCCCCCTGTTCGCATCGCTCCGCCGCTTAGCCTTGGAATCGCGATCCGAGGGCTTCTTCTAGGATCTGTGCCCGGGTGCCCACTTGGTTTGCTCTGACCTAAGCTCCGTGACTGAAACAACGAAGTCCAAAAGGATCCCAATGAGAAATCCTTAGGGCAAGTCCCCGGCCGAAGGCTCCACGACATTCCGAGACACTCTGAGGCCGCAGCCTGGCCCCAGGCCCTGCAACTGCTCGCGGAGAGTTGGAGACTCAGGGCCTTATAATTGTGCATCCATGTTACGTTGCCTAGACTTTCAAGGAAATCAGAAAAAGTCTTTGGGTTCTTGGCGCTCAGGCAGTGATGCGAATTCCGCGAACGTCATCACTTTCAATGCCACAGTCACGGCGTGTGCCCGGGGACGACAGTGGCAGGCCAGCTTCCAAGACTTGGTAACTTGTGAGCGAATGTAAGCGAAGGAGTGTTCCCACCTGCGGCAATGTCTTGGCCTGGAACCTGCCTTCAATCTTTCAGGTCAGCCGTATTGCATAGTTGCATGCGATGCTCGGGTAAGAGGCTCTTGTTTGACAACTTCACAGCCGTCTCATCCTCAGGTGGGTTTGACTGTCGTACAGGACATGTTGCGCAGCGGTATCCAGCCCAGCCTGGGCCCCGACGCACCTTTGGGAACCCGGAGACAGGCTAGCTTTTCGTTAGGTCTTTTTTGGGGTAGGTTTCCTCTAGATCTGCTGTCCTTGACAAGGCCCATCGACGTGGGGAGCTGCCGCAGCTGCCTGTGAGCGAGGCCGCACACGGGGAAAGGGGGGCTTGGAGTCTGCCGCATAGGAAGGCCCAGCTGAAACTCACGCAAAGCGAGCGTTTAGTTGATGATAGACATCCTGCCTGACCTTAATTATCCAACCTGTCAACAGCTCCATCTAGACCGTCTCGACCCACGAGTTCCCCTGCCCTGCAGCCGTGGAGGCTCCCACTGGGCTGGGGCGTTGCAGGTGCTCGACGACAGCCGGACGCACGCGTGCCCTCGTTTGCACTCAGCTCTGCGGGGGGATTGGAAGTGTTTCGGGTCAAGCCAGAGCTTTGTTGTGCACGGTCATTGCGTTGTGATTGAGTCTGGGCCGTCATGCATCGACACGAGCCGAAGTGAGGATCGAGCCGCACGTGATCACTCTCAGCGCTGTGATCAAAGCCTCTCAGCCTGAACTGGCGGGGGATTTTCTCTTAGCAGGCGAATCTATGGATACCCGACAGTGATGCCACTTTGACATTGTGCTCACAAAGTTGGTTTTCAAACTGCCAAGCAGCCAATCAGACAATTCAGCCAATCAGTCGATCAGCCGACCGCCTGATCGGCTGATCGGCTGATCGGCTGATTGGCTGCCGCACGGTTTGCGGCCAAAAAGCCCATGCACACTGTTGGCATTTTGACTACACCGCGGCGACATATCCAATGCATTGCAAGGCATGTGGTGCTGCCTTGCGTGCTGCACTCAGCAACCGACTGCTCAGCTCGCCCAGAGCCGGAGAACACGTACCGTTTGAGAAGGAAAGCTGCAGCTGCTGCATTGCTCGCGGTAGACAAAGTTCTAGCGTCTGGGTTCTAAACATGTCCGGGAGAAGCGTCACAGCGTGTCAGTCCGAGTGCCAAGTAGCGTTGCCCCTGAACTCTCATGCACGAACAGCTTGCTTCGCCATCATGGTAATGGCGGTACTCGTATGTGGCAAGCGTTTTCTCTGAACTCCGAGCGAAGACCTAAGGTTGGGCCTTAAGTCTTTCGCTCCTGCACGAAGGGCAAATGCGGCTGACTCAGCTTGAAGTAACTCTTGACATGTGTCGCGAGCAGGTGATCCCCGGCACAGAAGATGCCATTTAATTAGAATCGTTTGTTGCCTGACTGAATCGAGCTGATGCAATGGCAGTTAGCATGACGATGTATCCACCGAAACTGCTCTCAGGAGTGGCATTGACTTGGATGTGCAGTTCCCAGACCCAGGAATGTACAGTATTGCTTTGCTCAGGCAACGAGGACACGTCAGCAGTTATTTGCTTGAACATTGAAAGCGCGGGGCGGGTAAAGGACACCTCCGCACACAGACTCTTGCTTTGCTAGCCTAGCTGGCGCACAAAGCTGCAGGCGCTCTGGGCAGGCATTTTGAGAGATACTCATGAGAACATGAGCCCTAGGCTTCGCCCCGCATCCACAATGATCTTGAGACTTTTTTGAGATTTTTTGCAGGGTTTGTTTGGGACGGTTTCTACAAAGCATATTGGCTTCGTGATCAGGTCATCACCTTCAACTGCGCACTCGGGGCGTGTGCCCGCAGTGCCAGGCGCGGGGACTCTGAGCTCTCCTCAACTTGTTCTGCTAGGGTAAATGGCATTGACAGCTCGGCCTGAGCCTCTTAGACCACGATCCAGCTCACAAACTGATCTAGGTGGCAGGAGGCGCAGTCTCTGCTGCCAGGCTCTTACCCAGGGTGCACGATTTGGGAAGCTTATTTTACAACGCTACGCGACCCACCTCGGCCGGGGCCTGCTCAGGGGTGCTTGTTTTGCTCGCTTGGAGCAACATAAGGAGAAGGAAGGTGGCAAAAGGTGGAGGCTCATCCATTGGAGTGGAAGACTGGCAGATGTGAGGGTCGGAGGTGGGGGGGGGGTGCGGGTGCGCTCAAGCCCCTCTACCCCCGTCCGCTCTGGGACAGCTGTCGCATCGGCGGGGGGGGGGGTACCCATGCCAGGCAAACAGTCCGAAGTAAAGGGTACATTTTGCTCCGGGGAGAAGAGGTGCTTTGTGCTTGCGGTCCAAGGCCTCGGTAGATCAAGGCCTGCTTTGCTCGTTTTACCCGTAGTGTCACGTAGCACCTAGGATGCATTCGCCACAGTGCGTGCTCAACCACAACTCTAAAGTCAGCTCCGCATGGTTTGCAGCCAGTTTCAAGGCTTGGAAGCCACTCTCATGTTCATTGAAGTAGTCACATGGGAGTTTTTCGAAAAAACGGTAAATAGTAGGATTCCCTTCTAATCGCGACATATTGTGTGGATCAGTTTTGTCATCTGAAGTCAAGTCAGCTTGGGGCCTCAGCTCAGCTTTTCAGGGGCGAGATGGAGAGAATTCATTGCCTGCCTGATGCAGTCAGCCACAAGGCGCGCAGGATTTCAGGCTTCAGGTGGAGAGATGTTTGAGTAAGTTGACTGACAGGCAAGTTTGCATGCAAGTGCTTAGTAGCTTGGAAATGGAAGCTAGTTTGTCTGAAGCATGGCTCACGAAGTTTTGCGAGTTGTTTCCCGAGTTGGCGCTACGAAAGTAAGGGACCCCTAACAGAGATCTCCGAAGACTAGGACTCCCTTATGAAAAAGGTCCCCGAAAAGGTAACCCCCTAATGTCGGAAACCCTCACATGGAACCAAAGACCCACACAAAGCTGCAAAGCTCCGCAGCCCTCCGCCTTGCCAAGCTGGTTGATGCTTGTCGAGCCCCCGGGTATTGCTCATGTTCTGTGCGCGGGCTTTCTGGTTGCATTCGTTTGACTCTTCAGAGGGCGGGTTCTAGGGAGCTGATGGCTTGCGGGAGACAGGACGCCAGCCCCCGAGAACTCACCTGAAACGAAGTTGCCGGCGTTGTAGTTGTGGGATGTCAAGGGTGTATGGGTGGTTTGATGTTGGTTCATGCTCAGCTTTCTCACGAACGTCTCGAGGCCAAACCCCTGTGCTGAGTAGGGGGCTTTGCAAAACGAACTGATTGAAAGCCTTTGGAATCCCTGCAAAACCCAGGTGTGGTGGACGGTTCAGCAACGTCAGCAAGCCATGCTGAGGCATCATCACGCATGGGATGGGCTCAGCTTTCCAAATGGTTGACTGCTGACTTCAGATTTCGCAGTGGGTTTCGGTTGCAGAAATTTCAGACCCTGCCTTCAAGTTCCGTCTCAGAACATCTTGTGGGCCCATCGTGGGCTTCATGATCTTCGTTGTATCTTCGTGCCCTCTTCGTGCCGTGCTCATACGATGTGAGAAAAATTGATGTTGCTCCATCCTTTCGCAGCAAGAAACAGTCTGCCAAATGGCTTGCAAGAGAAACGCTGGCAAACAGAGTGGTGAGCAGAGGGGATGTTCCAGCCGATTTACGGAAGCCCAACGATGGAATTGAAGGCTTTCGGGTACCCTCCCGGATGTGGGATGTTGAGCTTGAGCCTGTAATTTTACGGCACAGCCTTTCTTGTTCTCTCTAGCATCAAGGGGCATGCATGGTTGTGTGATTGAAGGTATCCGGCTCCAGCAGACCGCAGGCTCGGCGCCCATATGTTGTCATGAGATGTAGGGTTTACGAAAGTAGGGTACCCTTTCTTTCGGGGTCCCTTTAAGGGGCCGCATGTCTTGAGAAAACAATCCCTGGACCTTGCATCTGCAGGCCGTGTATCGGAGGAGCGTGTCACAAGACAAACGAGCTTTGGATGGAAGGCTTGCTGGGAACGAAGACTTCATCTTCATGCAAGCAAGATCTGGATGAGACCTCACGTCAGAGTTCTGTGCTAGTCGATGTGTGGAGATCATGAGAAACTGGCCAGGGTGTACGGGCACGAGCCTGTACTTTGCAGGGCAGTGGTGGAAGTACCTTGGACTCTTAACTCTGCAGCGGTTTTGTAGCCACGGACGTTTCTCAAGATTATTCAAGGGTGATTGGACACGTCAGACTGGAGCCTATCACCGCCTACAGCTTGCCCTCAGCCTACACTTTGCGTCTTTCCCGAGCCTAAGTGCAGCCATTCCTACACGCATCGGATTGCACACGTTTGCGCCGTTCCACCTACTGCGCGCATTGAAACCTGAGATAGCCTGAGGCCTTGCTCAGCTCCAAAACGGATGCAGAGCACCTGGTTGACACCACCTTTGGCCGCGGCGGCCACTCGAGGCCGTCGGAGATGTGCGAAGATGTGCAAAGCTTGAGCTACACTCAGCATATCTCAGCATCATGCATCGTCGGCAGACGGCTACCAGTAGCTGGTCGGACGATGAGTAGCAAATTAAAGCCTCGTCTGCTGTTGTCCCAGCCGTGTGATTCGATGGTATTTCGATGGTATTCGGAGGTGGCCGTGTTGTATCTCGAGTGCTTAAGGTTGGACTTGCCAGGGTGATGCGACTTCATCACTCACTTGCCCTGTTTTGCCACAGGGCCTTACTTCGCCATCTCCCGAGAACTTCGAAGGCAGTGTGAAGCTTCATGTGTGTCAACATGCAGACCCGTGGCGTGCCACTGGGTAGCCACTGGGTAGTTTGTAGTTCATATGAAGTTCACGTGCAGAGAGCGTTTGGTGCCCCCACGCAGGTGTTTGCCTTCGATGTGGATCCAAGCGCGGTAGCAGAGGCCAACCGAAAACCAGCAAGTGTGACAAGGTAGTTCTTGCAAGGAACGTCAGCAGAGACACAGGCAGACCTTCCCCCTCCCTCCGTCCCGTGCTCCATGCAGGCGGAGCGCGTGGCCTCCACAGACCCGCGGCTCATGCCCAGGCGACGTGCTGGGGAGATGCGCTTCTGTTGTACCTCCTTGCCGTGGGGGTTGCAAGCTCCGGTTACTGCAGTTTTTGCAGAGACTGCTTTTGGGCATTGCGACGCCGGTGCATGAGGTGCCCCGTAGACATGCAGACCCTGTATGGCTGATTGGATCTACTTAATCTACTTGCTTGTTGCGGATTGAGCTAGTTGGTGAACTCAGGGCCGACGGTACAGCATCTCCTGCAGACTCCGGAGAGAACACAGGGCTCAACCTGGCATGACCTCAAATATCCAGCACTGCTGTACGGTCTTCTCGGTTGACTTGAGTGCCTAGAATTATCTGTGTTGGCATTCGTAAAGACAGGATCGGCATATGGACCGCTGAGGCAGTCATAGACAGCCTCATGTAGGAAAGCAGCGAATAGATGAGTTGCAGAGTTCAGAGTTCCCAGTGTTCAGGCATGCAGCCTTCAGCAGCCTTGACGAGGCGCCCCCCCCCCATGTTCGTGCCCCCCCCCACGCTTAGAAGCCCAGCTCCGACAGAAGGGCTTCTAACAAGACTTTAAGCCTCATATCGAAAGCAGAAGAAGGAATCAGGTTCGGTTTTTCGTTTTGAAGCTCAAAGTCGTAGCATCCTTGAGTGATACTCGTACAAGACACTGTCCGTACAGTCTGCCCGGCTGACTTGGCTTTGACATCCCCAAGACATTCAATCATGAAATCGCAGTCCCAAATTGATTGCAACGCAAAGCCAGCCAGGAATCCCTTTGCCAGAACTTAGGGTGCCGTGCTCAGAGGTGTTGCCTCCCGATCTCCTTCTCCGGGGCGTCCTCGCCGACAACTCGGAAGAAGCGACCGTGTCGAGAGAGTGAGAGGAGGGCGCGGTTGTTGAGATTTAGAGTAAGCTGGGTGACTTTGGAGAGTGGAGTGAAGTGGAGTGGAGCGATTGGGCCGTTTGGAGCTCCAGAGGCGGACCTTGGTGTGTCCTCGACGCAGCTTGCCGGGCTGCCCGGGCTACCCTTCGATGCGGCACATGTGGCGCAAGACGTCTTTGAGCGGGTCCTAAACTTTGCCTGAAGCGCTTGCTGGCGGTGCCGAACCTACAACACTTCATCAGTGATGATAGATGTCAAAGAATGTTGCAACTGGTTTCAGTGGTGACTAGCTGAAGAGGCACTCTTGTCTTTGCTTTGAACTGCTGAGGATCGAAAGCACCGGGGCTTCTCGCCCATCGAGGAGAGGGAGAAAGAGAGAGCTGAGGGAGCGAGAGCAAGAGGGAAAAAGCGCTGAGACGGAGCGAGCTCTGGGAAGCTGGTGGGGGTTTGGGTTTTGAAATGCTTTGAATAAGTGGACCATTCTGGGCCCTTGCTCGGCACTGCCGTGCACTGCTCTGGGCATTGCCGTGATGCCAACGGCCTTCGAGTTGTGTCTGTCGCAGCACGTCAAAGTAAGCAAACGAATCCCAGCTTCAGGCATGACCGCAGTTGAGACATTGGTTGGCCAGCAACTTGCGAGTGCTTCCCATGCAGGATGGCCCGCTGGATTTGCGCATGCAAGCCTGGCGAGGGTTGCACGCATGTTCGCCACCCCCTTTTTTTCCTCGTGCAGAGAGTGGCACGCAATGATAAGGGATGGCAAGGCTGAGACGGACATGAGGAGTGCAAAGAGCAAAGAGCAAAGAGTGCCAGGAATCCGGACTTCGGCCTCCCGGCCTCTCAGTGGCTGGACACCGTGTGGGAGACCCGGCGCTTGAAAGATTAGGGTATTCCAATGTCCTACTCTTACTGTGCTGCAGTTGTCGAACCGACGCAGTTTTTTGCACGTGTTTTTTGCATTGGGCCCGGCCGTTGTGACGGCCTGGTTTGTGATTGCCTTGAGAAGATGTGCACCCGACGCCGGGGACGTCTGGGCAAATTCTATGCTGGCCGCTTCTGTGGGAGGTCCCAAGGTCCGGGCTTCGCCTCGCCTGATCAACACTGTGATCGCCCCGACTCTCCTCGTCCCACAACCACGATGTTTCACCCGGACCATCTGCGCGTCCTCCAGCTGCCCACAACCCAGCAGTGTGAGCTGTCCCAGGCACTCGACGGCATGGTCGCAGGTCTTCTGTCGCCTGGGCTGGGCCGGGGGGCCCGCACAAACTCACCCCTCCAGCGCTGAGTGATGGTCCGGGTGCACTTCCGCAATCCGCATGCCTGTCGCGCGGGGCTGATGTCGCGTGCCCACTGTTAGATGGCATGGCTGATCCGGTCGCCTCTGCTCCATCCTAGCCAGCCGAGCGCTGGACACTCCCTTGATGCAACAGTGCAACACTCGCACCTTGCCTCCTGGTGTTGCCCTTCGGCGCGTTCCACTTCTTGACCGCCTGCCAATCGATTTCTTGGTTTGGCCGAATGCAGTTTCTCCTGCATCCGTTTCGGGAACTTCGCACTTCACCACGACCTACCTGTGCTTCACAGGCATCCATACATGAGTCTACACGTCGGCTCTCTGCCCTCAGTTGTTCTCACATCGCCCTCAGAAGTATAGCCGTATCTGAGGTCTAGCAGATCTGAAGATTCTAGAAGCTATGGGCTGTGGTTTGCCGATGTTTGCAGCATGCAGAATGGTTGCCTTTACGAATCCCCCTGCCAGATGCGAAGCTGAGTCTCAGTGTTTGCCAGTTCTAAGCCATTCTGCGTGAGGTCGCCAGAAGAGCTGGCGTGGGTGCTGCGAGAGTATGGCGAGGAACGGCATTTTTTTTTTTTGTGTGTGTGTGTGTGTGTGTGTGTGTCTGTCTCTTTCTTTGTGCATGTTTCAGCTCAATCAGCTATGCCGATGAATCAAGATTTCGCATGCTGCAATTGCCTGCGGCCGTACTGTGCGCACCACACAGCATGTTGTTCCTGATGTGTATACATCGAAACACCATGAAGAATATGGCATACACATAGTTTTGCCCATGACCGACCGAGAAGGCCTGTATCTGTTTATGGTCCACACCGAGTGATCTTGCAAGTATTTCTAACTATTACTCCTGGTTTTTTTGGTATGCAGGCAGAAGCATGTAAGCTCTCTCTCTCTGTCTCACTCTCTCACTCTCGCACTCTCTCACTCTCTCATTCGCTCACTCACCGCAGCCTCAAGTCTGTAGCTGCTTGTGACTGTTTGGAAGATTTTGGAAGTATGCGAGGTAGGTCTCCCTGTCATGTGTATAGGCAGGTATTTTGAAGCATATACTTCATGTGTGCAGTATTGGCTTCTCTCTTATAAGCATAGATCCAGCTGCAATTGACCCTAAACCTCCTTGAGACACGAGAGGGACGCCCCGTACGGCCCGTGAGGACCGCGATCCACTCCTTGCTGCCCGACTGGCCGAGGCGGCAGAAGCTCAAGCTGCGATGTTGAACCAAGGTTCACGAAAACATGCGGGAAGTGTATTTTGTCTGTGTTGTTACCACTCGACATGGGGAAACATCTTTTGCCGCGTAATTCGACATGTTTTGACATCTGCAGATTCCTTGTTCTTTTCGCATCAGCAAGTTGATGCGCGTTATCTCGAACATTGTCGAGACGTGGTAGGCCATTTGCGCCCGACGCCCTTTGCAAAGCACGTCGGAGCTCGCTGAGGCGGTTGGTTTGCGGTTCAGGGACGAGGACTTCGGAGTTTCTGCGCGATGGCAAGTAAGCACTCGAGCACCTAGTTCCCAAGTTTGGGCAGCATTTGGGTTCGGTGCATGACAGGATCCAGATTTCAGGATCTAGGGTTGATTGATGTTGGCTCATGTGTTGTTCGTCTGCAGGCTGCAGTGGATCAGCATTTTTTCGGGGCTTCACTCATGCGTGATCTCCTGCCCTTGAGCCATCAGGTCGTGGCTGAAGTCAAGGCAAAGACCCTTGGCAAGAACCCCTTCGAGCAGCCAGCGAGGCTGACTTTCCAGGCAGGCTTAAAAGCGAAGCTCCTAAATGCAGGTTACGTGACACGAGGCTCGGAGCCTGCCATGCTTCATCTGCATTGCATGTGCAGGCAATTCGATCCCACCTCAACAAGGAGTTTTCGGAGTGGCTCGGCCTGTAGAATCCCAGACTTTGTGCCACATTGTTTGAATATGCCTTGTTTGGGTGTGCGTCTTTGACAGGCTTCTCTCTCTCCCTGTCCCCCTCTCTCTCTCTCGCTCTCTTTTTCTTATGGCCCTCTGCAGGGGGTCGGGGTGCAAGGGGGAGTCTTGCTAATTGTTTGGTTTTGTAAGAAAGACCAAACCGTTTCTCCCATCCCAAAATCCAAAGTCCAAAGCGGTGAGGTTTGGATTGTGTCTTTTTGGGATTCTGGAGTTGCACAACTTATGTAATTTGCGATATAGAATTCAGCATAGGAAAGCACATGTTGCAAAGCGATACAAACCTTGGCGGTTTGCAACCATTCTGCGTGGTATTTGTATCTCACCAAACTTGTACAAAGTTTGTGCTTTTCCAGGCTGTTCTGATCCTGAGCAAACTAAACAGCACAACGCTTTCCCGCAAAGATCCACGGCTCCAAACGTCGGAGGTTCTCCCAACACTTTTGGTTTGGGAATGCTGAGATATTGGTTGGTCCATTTGGGGTGGACTGGGGCTGAGAATATATGTATACATGAAAATGCAGGTACCACTACTACAACAAGGATGAGTGAATACTACTAGCTGCTAGTGCTGCCAGCGCTGCTGCTACTGCTACTATGGCTACTGCTGCTACTACTGCTACTGCTGCTGCTCCTGCTTCCGCTGCTGCTCCTGCTCACTGCTGCTACTGCCACTACTGCTGCTACTGCTATTGTAGTGCTTCAACGACTGCTACTACTGCTACTGCTACTACTGCCGAGTACTGCTGCTGCCGCTATTGTTAAAGCTTCTGCGATGACAGCAGTTGCTGCTTTGCGACGACAACGAGTCACATGTAGGTGTTGGGAAACCTGTGGAAACTGTTGAAGCCTCAAGATCTACCTTCCAACAGCAAGACAGCTTCTGTCGTGATTCGAGGCTCCGCGCTTTGCTCGCAGCCATTGCGCCCCGCCTGGCTGTGGGTGGACGGGCCGGGGCGCCAGAATGTTTCAAGACTAGTGGTATTCGTAGCCGTTCTGCTCAGAAGAAGCCAGCTACAATAACAAGCCGAGAGACTGCGATTCGTTGAAGGCGCCTGTAATCGTAAGAGTAAGAGTAGTCGTATTGATGATCGTGATTAGCAAGAACCTCGGGCTGATCGGTATCATACTACGGTATCCTATCCGAGTCCCCCTGCAATCACTTCGGGATTTCTCACAAGTCACCGCTGAGGCCGTGCTCATCTGCTTCAAGTCGAAGGAGGCAGGAAAGCTGTTGAGAGGAGCTGCGGGAACGGCGGGAACACCTCAACGCATGAACGGTGCAACCGCCCCAGTGTTCGCAGTCTGGGAGGTCTCCACGGTGCGCAACTGGCTCCGTCAACATGAGGCCTCTCAAAGCATTCTTTTTATAGTCAAGGTCAAAGCTCCTCAGCCATGTCATGTGCGCATGGTTGTCGCTGCATCAAGCAGGCCCTGAACGCCAAACCCGAAACCCGGAATGCAGGAGCCGAGCCGCGACATGGTGGCAGGCTGGAGATGGCTGGAGTTCCAGCGTTGGGGATGTTCCTGTGTCACGTCGGCAAAACAGCTCGACAGGGGCCCCAAAACATCGTAAGGTGACGAAATGGCTTTGCTTGGTGTTTGAAAAGGCTTTGACGACGCCATGCTGCCATGCAGAGTGCCGGAAGAATGCGTTTTGTTTCTGGCAGGCTGGCCGGAGGCCGGGTGCATTTTGCTTCACATTCGGTCTTGTCGCAGCACCAGGGGCATCATGACATTGGGCCCCGCACAGCACTGACTTTCAGTGAGCCCTGCAGGAGCAGTTGCTGTCCCTTTATCCACTCCTCCAACGCACCTTCGAGGAGCCTTACCGGGGCTGCTTTGTTGTCCTCCGCGGGAGGCACGATTTCTTTCACAAATCTTTGCAAGGAGCAACCCTGGTGCATCAGGGAGGCGCGGCAAAGCGTGGCTAGCCAGGGGTCCTTTTGTCCGTATGTGGAGGGAGCACGGGTGGCACTAATGCTGCCGCAGGCTGCTCCAAGCTGCCCTTCCTACGAAGCAGTTTGCAAAGCTAGAATCAGGATTCCTGAAATGAACGGCTAGCCGATGCTCGGTCCGTGGCCAGGAGTCCCTGTATGGCTTCGGCAAAAAGTAGCTATAGGGCACCAGCTTCCTTGAAGGGTCTCAAAAGTACAGCTTGACTTTGAATCGAAACGAATCGAAGCGGACTTCCTGCCACCAGGCAGAGCGGCCGCTGAAGCCAGAACCCGCGGAGGTTCAGGCCGGAAGGAGTGCTTGTCATGATTTGAGCCTCCGCTGCTAGATTCTTTGATTTAGGGAGTCTAGGCTTCAGGGGAAAAGTGGAAGGCCCACGGCTGCCGCTCGGCCTTAAACGCATTCAAAGGCGTCCCATCGCATCGGAGGGCTCCCTTGAGGCCTCTGGGACCGAGGGGCTTCAATCACCCTTGCTCTATGCGCGCGCCCGAACTGCAGCCGCCTCGTGCCAGCAAATCCGTCCGCGGACCGCGCTGTTCCTTCGGCACTTTGGGAGGGATCTTCAGGTATTCGCCATCTTGGATACTGGTTTGGGCCATGACTCTGCGATGGGGAAGTCCGCCGCAGGCAGAAGCGGCAAGGCGCGTTTGGCTTCCGATCTTCCGGATCTTTCGATCACCTCACGTCGCCTCGGCTCCCAGTTCTCCAGTTTCTGCTGCGATCCATCCTCGTTCTTGGGTTGTTCGGAACTGCATGTGGCTGCGTGTGGCTGCTATAGCTCGAGCAACGAGCTGCGCGACTCTGCTGCTCTCCTTCTTGGCCCTAGCCAAGGGTTGCTTCATCATGGCTGCTGGCTGCCCTCGATTTGTTCTCCTTGTAAAACTTTACTGCAAGGGTTGAGCATGTTGAAGTTTATACGTGTTGAAGCATGGCTTGTCCTTTTTTTTTGAGGTCAGCCATAACTACCTTATCTCTTCGTGGCCATCCTTTTCGGGCAACTGGCTCTTTCTAGATCTCTGGAAGGTCTGAAACTACCCCAACGGTGGAGGATCGTCTACAGACGGGAAATTTGGGCATTTAGGGTAGATCAGAAAGTTTCGGTGCTGGGCTCAGAGCTTCCAAGGGCTTAGGGTTTCTTGTTTTGGTTTCAAGGTTTTTGGGTCACAGCTGACGTCTCTTCCGTGCTGTTACCGACGCTTCTGGACTGTAATAACCGGTCTCATCGACAGACAGAGTTGGCCACCATCGCCGTGTTGAGTTGACCACGCACAGACACGCTTTTGCTGTGTTCAGGCGAACACTCGTGCCCGCAATGCTCGCGCTCTGGTGCTTGAGAAGTGTCCCCGATCATTTTCGCACTTGTAGCAGTAGCTGCCTAGAGCGCAGGTCAGTAGAGTGTAGCGTCTGTGAAAAAAACAGACGTTGCGTGATGCCTTCAGAAGGTCATGCGCTGTGAAAGAGGCGTTGCTTCATGGCTTGCCCACACAGGCTGGACTCTTCTACAAGAAGCATAGCGCACACCGTAAAAAGAGATGCCCCGTCTGGGTTCAGGAAGGCAACCAAACCCAGAAGGTTCTCCAGCCTTGGTGTTGACTTGACTCCGTCATCCGTCAAAGCTGGAATGGAAAGACTGCCAGGAGGAGTGGCGCGTGATCTGTTGTGGGAGGTTTTGAGTCAAGCTCCTCGACGGACTCTCCGGAAGATGCGAAACAAGAAGTTGCAACATAGCCCAGCATAGCTCAACGTCTGCTGAAGCTACAAGGCTTTCGGTCGGCTCAGATCGTGGTTAGGTAGGGGGCGCGATCGATCATTATTTCACTACACGTTCACCGGACTTAACATCCTGCAACAGCAGGTGTTTAGGACGACGCAGACTACGCAATGACCCAGCATGCAAGATCTGCAAGATACATCGACGGTGTCTTTATTCAACGCTCCACGCCTTCTTTGTTGCCCGGCTCTTGCTGGGCTCATTGCATCTCTGCCATCCTGAGCAGCGGCCGGGCGTGGCCGGGCTCTTCAGGCCTGCCCTCAGATGAATCCTAACACACATCCCAAAGGAAAGAAGCCAAGTTGCGACCGGTCAACGTGCTGCAACAAAGATGTGCGGAAGTTGAGAGAAGCAAGTCAGCAAGGAAGCATGGCCTCGAACCGACGCTGGCCAGTGTTGGCGGCAGCTTGGCATTCTGAGGTAAGGGTCATTTGAACCTTTTTAAGTTGATCTTCGCTGTGCTATGCACTTCGGCAAGATTTCTCTGCGGTTCCCTGCGTAGCTCTTCAAGAACATGTCGCCTGGGTTGTGACATACATATTCTCGCGCTTGCGGCGAGACGATGCCAGCTATGTCACTTGTGCAGAACGGGAACCGTTGCATAACCTTTGTGTTGCATCTTGATCGATTTTTTTGCTTCGCGCGGCTTAGGCCATAGTGGCCAGCACGTCCGTGAGGGCCTCGTTCGTCCTGAGGGTAAGCCGTGAGCATCGGCACAGTTCAGCTTCACTCAGCGAGTGTAGTTGCGTACAGCATTGAAGTTCGCGGCTGCGCTCAGCTCCCAGGTTTCCCAGTTCTGTTTCTTACAAAGGCCGGCAATCTTGCCAGAGCCCTTGACTTGTGTTCTGCAGTTGGCAGGGTTGAGAATTGTTGATGCGAAGTGCATCGTGGCGAGATATCTTCAGGTGTGGCACCGCAGTGACAAGATCACGGCTAGACAGACCGCCGGGGCCCTGTCATGGATGACAAAGGAAGGCTTGGCCAGTTCATTCCGCACGCACACCATAGCACGCCTGCTTCGACTCGACCTGCGCCCGACCAGCGCCCAGGCTTCGGAGGGCAGAGGAGGTGCCGGGCTTGGTATGCCATCGGTAGAACGCATGTTGTCGCCGATACTTGCTGAAGGCTCCTGCTTTGCAGGAAGAAAGTGCGGCAGCGGACGACAGCAGGCCAGACAGCTTTGGTCATTCATTGGACGAAAGTCCAGGCCCACCTAAACCGCACCCTACAAAACCAAAGGTATGGCCCGCTGATCTTGTGTTTGCATGTGGAACGAGCGCTGAAGCGTCCAACAGAGAGTTGGCCCAACGATGCCGCCGAGTTGCAGGGGACTGAGGAGGGTTTAGGAAAGGCCGAAAGCCCCCACTGTCTTTATGCCGTAAACAACCAAAAAAGAAAAGCGCTCGAAACACAAGCTTTGGGCAGCATGTTCAAACAAAAGGAATGGACGCGTGGCATGGTGTGACTTGCTCCAGATCAAGCATTCTTGGGCTTTACACTTTGCCATGTAGAAGAGGCAAAGCACTGTTGCTGTAATGCCAGTGTTTTCGGCATGTCCGCAAGGGCACGAGGGCTTGTGACACTTATCTCAGTATTGCTTCTGTTTTAGCATCACCTCTGCGATGTAGAAGCATTCAGAACTCCGGAACAACTGGGAGACGTTTGGGAATCCGACTCAGCAGCTCGCCAGTGTTAGAGGTTTTGAGGGGAAATGGGGGTTTCGATAGTGCAACCATCGACCATCAGCTTAGGATCCCCTAGGGATGCGGGGTAACTGTTCCATGCTTTCCGCGTTACAGCGCGCAGCCGATAGGGGCCAAACCGACTTCACGAAAACAGGGTTTTGGCCCTCAACCCTAAACCCTAAACCCTAAACCCTAAACCCTAAACCTAAACCCTAAACCCTAAACCCTAAACCCTAAACCCTAAACCCACAACCCCTAAACCCCTAAACCCTAAACCCCAAACCCTACAGCCTGCCGCAGTGCCTGGTGGAACGATCCAGAAACCGCCTCCCTGGTCGACAAGCTCCAGGCTTGCGCAAACGCTGTGGGTTCACGCGGCTGCTTAGAGGGGTTTAGGGTGTAGGGTTTAGGGTTTAGGGTTTAGGGGAGGCTTGGCCGCTCGGTGTGAACTTAAGCTTACGCCATTTAGCGCCGGAGGGCTTCGGGTCGGACAACGGTGTTGCGTCGCGAATCAGCTTCCTTTGTCGGGTTGAAGCCGCATTTGTCACACCCGAAGACAGGATATCCACACCCCTACTCAGGCCCCAGGCCTCATCTAACCCACAGGCCCCTTGCCCACGTGTCGGAAGGTTGAAGAGACCACCGACGCGTTGCAGAAGCTGCGGAGGTGGATGCGCTGTGGCAAGTTTCTGGAGCAGGTGTAGGTTTGAAAGCCCAGGGCGAAGGCTTGCAGCAAGCTCTCCGAAGCTCTCCGCGACCGATGCCCGGCAGGCAGATGACGCTGGAAGAGCAAGCCTTCGACCAGGAAATCGAAGATGCACTGAGCTCAGACAGGAGAAGAGCAGGATTGGACCAATGTATGGATTAGAATGATTAGATACGGCTAGAGAATGGGGCCAGGCTCCAAGAACGGCTTGAACCCATCAGAGTCCTACGTAGGCTACAACCTGTGCTGTGTTGGTCCGCTCCTCGAAGCCGAGGTCATCATAGCTGGGAAGCGCGCCTTGCTCAAGTGAGATGCTGAGCACGACAGCGAAGCTTTATTGCTTGGGGCCTGCATTGCGGGGGCTGTGCCAACAGGCACCAGAAAAACTGGTAGCCCGGCCTCGTTGCAGCTCGCAGCTAGAATCAACAACCTGCAGAAGCAGCTGCAGCGTGCTACTCGTGCACACGCCCAACTCCAATCAACCTGTCATGTCCTCGTCCGGGAGTCATCGCGCTCAAGGTCTTTATCTGGTGCTGGCTTTCTTGTGTCGCTTCTTCCAGGCTGCGCATGCAGCGTGCCGTGGAGATGCCTGGGTCGGCCCTGCATGTTTTCCATGTGTTCCCGCCTCTCGCTCGAAAGACTATCTTTGTGTCTTCCTTGGCTTTTTAACACACTTTGGTTCAGAAGTGCGAGAGTGTTCCTGTTTCGGTTGTGGGGTCCAGTGTTGTTGCTGGCGCTGGGAGGTGTCCCTGGAAACATCCATCATATCATCCTCAAGCCGGACGCAGAAGCACATGTTCGAGTGATGGTGTTGACGATTTTGTGTCCTTGTATGTTGGGACCTGCCGACCCTCTTTCAACAATTAGGCAATTTCTTGGAAGTGGCCTTAAACTGGCAAGTCTCCTTTATATAGTGAGTTCTCCAAATTAGGGCTGTTGGGTACCCTACATAAGAGGGGCCGCCTTATAATACGGACCCCAAAAGGGACCATAATGTAGAGAAATCACCACATATACATGCAGCCTCCCTACCAAGAGCTCGCCTCCGTCGGCCAGGATGAAGACGCACATGTTCAAGAAGATCCGAAAGCAGGTTGCCCGAGCAATGACCCTGAGGCCCGTTTAGGGTTTAGGGTTTGGGGTGCCGATTTCAAGCTGAACCAGCTTGTGGCCGAGGGTGCCTGTGCTTCGGCCCCTAGCCCTGCCGTGTCCTTCGACTTGGGCAAGAAAGCAAGTACCACATATAGCATATATATATATATACACATGTAGAACGTTATGTGTTCATCTATATATGGTTATCAGAGATCATATATAAGTTTATCAGCTGTACACTGCAAATGTCTTATGAAAAGCATGTGTTTTAACGGAGCTTTCTAGAAGTACATTGTATTATATATTCATACTTACTCGTATATATATTTATGTTGCATAGCACACATCATGTTTCATATTATATGCTGAATGTATATTAAAAGACTTTAAGTTGGGCATACCCACGTATGTGTGCAGATTTTTGTGTATGCTCTCTTACGTATCTGCGGCAGACGAAGTGAGGACCTGGAAGCCCATAGAAATACATCTTAAGATCATCCGAAAGATTATAAGACTTCACTGAAAGTGGACCTAAACCCTAAACCCTAAACCCTAAACCCTAAACCCTAAACCCTAAACCCTAAACCCTAAACCCTAAACCCTAAACCCTAAACCCTAAACCCTAAACCCTAAACCCTAAACCCTAAACCCTAAACCCTAAACCCTAAACCCTGAAACCCTAAACCCTAAACCCTAAACCCTAAACCCTAAACCCTAAACCCTAAACCCTAAACCCAAACCCTAAACCCTAAACCCTAAAACCCTAAACCCAAACCCTAAACCCTAAACCCTAAACCCTAGCTGTAAGCTCGCCCGAAAAGGAGTGAAGGGTTGCTAAAAAAAAAAAAAAACCTAAACCCTAAACCCTAAACCCTAAACCCTAAACCCTAAACCCTAAACCCTAAACTCTAAACCCTAAACCCTAAACCCTAAACTGCCGAGAGCGCCGCTGTCCATTTACATGGGCGCGCGAGGCTCCGACCGAGGTCCCCGACCGAGCGTCTCTACAGAACGGTGACCCCCCTGGGACCCCTCTGGGACCCCCCTGGGACCCCCTGGGACCCCTCTGGGACGCCCCTGCAACCCCCCTGAAACGCCTGCTTGACCTCCTAAGCCCCGCTGAAACCCTGCTTGGGACCCCTTCTGGACCCCCCTTTTGCCTTTCTGGGACCCCCCTGAAACCCCTGGGACCCCCTCCTGGGACCCCCCTCCTGGGACCCCCTTCCTGGGACCCCCCTCCTGGGACCCCCTCCTGTGACTTTCTGGGACCCCCCTCCTGGCACCCCCCTCCACCCCCCTCCTGCAACCCCATCCCTGCTACCCGGGACCCCTTGGCACCTATGTGGGACCATCTGGACCGTCCTGGACCCCCTAGGACTCCCCTGGGCCCTCAGGGACCTCCCTGAACCCCTAAACTGACCTTCTTCGTGGCAGAGTGCTGCTTGTTCTAAGGCCGGCATTTGCCGGACCGCCTAGCAGACTTCTTGGGACCCCCCTGCGACCGCCTTTCTGGACCCCCCTCAGCCTGGGTCTTGATTTCGACGCGTAAGCAGGGGCCGGCCAAGGCCCCTGCTTCCCCCCAGCGTTTTGGGCTGCGTGGGTCGGGGTTTGCCAAGACCCGCACTGAACATTTGACGGTTTTGGGCACCCCTCCAGTTCCGTGAAAGCTCCAAGAAGCCTACGAGCCGCTGACAGGCTCCACAAAGCTCGGGAGGCCCCACCCTGCTCTTTCTCTGTCAAAAGCAAGAAAGCCCCCCTTGAGGGGGGTTTGGGGGGTGAACCCTAAACCCTAAATGAAAATAGTTTGGGTGGTTGGGGTGGGACTACATGCTAACGCAAGCGAGCGGCCCGGGTGCTTTTAGCACCAGCGAGCTTCCCTTCTATACACCCTAAACCCTAAACCCTAAACCCTAAACCCTAAACCCTAAACCCCAAACCCTAAACCCTAAACCCTAAACCCTAAACCCTAAACCCTAAACCCTAAACCCTAAACCCTAAACCCTAAACCCTAAACCCTAAACCCTAAACCCTAAACCCTAAACCCTAAACCCTAAACCCTAAACCCTAAACCCTAAACCCTATAAACCCTAACCCTAAACCCTAACCCCTAACCCTAAACCCTAAAAACCCTAAACCCAAACCCTAACCCTAAACCCTAAACCCTAAACCCTAAGCCCTAAGCCCTAAGCCCTAAGCCCTAACCCTAAACCCTAAACCCTAAACCCTAAACCCTAAACCCTAAACCCTAAACCCTAACCCCTAAACCCTAAACCCTAAACCCTAAACCCTAAATCCTAAAAGGGGCCCTGGGCCTGAAACAGAGATGGAGGCGCCAGCGCGAGATCGCGCGCGGCATCACCAGGGAGCAGAGCCGCCGCATGCGCCGGCGACGGCGCCTGGAGTTGAAGGTGAAGTACGAGGAGAGGGGGACATGAGATAATAAATGCATGTGAGTATATATATATATATGTATATATATATATTTATATACATGTGTTTCATTCCAAACTGGGCACTTTCCCCAGCCACTGCCGTAAGCGCAGAACTCGAACCCCTTCCAAACGAAGCTAAAACCCCATCACTACACCGCAGGGTGGGGATGCAAGCGCTATGGTTGGGGGGGTGGGGAGGCCTTCATCATCCGCCTCCGCGTTTGACGCCATTTTGAGCCCCGGAGATCACTCCAGCCCGCAGGATGCCTATGGCGGAGAGCGACCAGGACCCAAGCCCGAAGCCCAGTCATGTGCCGTTTCCAGGCTTGGGGCGCAGACATGCGTAGACTATCAGGTGTCGCCTGTGCCCCGCGAGACCGTGTAACTAACGTCCACCAGGAGGTTTCCAGGATCAGCGGAAGCTTTGCCGAGGTCAAACAGATGGCTCCGCCGCATGGGGCGGATTGCCCGATGCTTAGGGGCCCTTAGGGGATTCAGGGGGCTCTTGTTACTGGCCACCGGCCGAGACCCAGTGTGAACTCGACATGGTTCGCATGTCCAAAAACAGCTCTCCTCTCCTCCGCATTGAACTGCACAGGTGTGATGGTGAGAGTTGCCGCGTGGAGGAGCTTCTGGCCTTCCGCTCGTTTCACTGCGCCTCACCCGGCCAGGAAAGTCCATCAGCGTAGTCGATGGGAAGTGGATCGTGACCCGACACTTCGACGTAAGCTCTGGTGGCAACAAAAAGGCAAACACAAAGAATGGCTTCATGCAGCTTCGGAGCTTGAGGTCTCCCCCAGATTGAGCGAGAGCTTTTTTCTTTTTCTTTTTTCTTTGAACATTCTTGCCGATGTCTAAGTGTTTGCATTTCTTAACGGATCATGTGAAAGATCTTGACAAAAAAGGGTTGGTTTGTAGCTCAGCCACCTGCGGTCGCTTCTGTTCTGCAAAGCTTAGCTAAGCAACCTGTTGGCTCTTGCGCCTACCAGCATACCACAGGAAGTAGGGGCGCTGCGCGCAGGTTCTCTTGCTTTGCCGTTGTTCCGGTTCCTGGTTGTCCGGACTCACCCAATATCAAAAGCTTGTTTGTTGCCAAGGAGTAAGGAAATCGTAGGAATTTTCAGTCAGGGCACCAGGCACGATGGACTCCTGAGAGTAAGGTCGAGCCCCGCCCAAGCGCGCAGAACCTCCGATTTGTCGAGGGGATCGGACGCTCAGCCTTGTATTTATAGGGCTTGTCGCCTGGGAGCTGCGCCTTTCGAACAGGCAGAAATCGGACTGTGCCTGCAACGTGCAGATGTGTCTTTGACTGGTGCTTCACTTTTTGAGGTTGTGGTCTTTGGCGTTTGCTATCTGCATCCATGGCTGCCAGGGTGACAATGACTGGCTCGTCAACATGACACCGTTTTTGTATGCACGAAATTCTACTTAAACAAAAATGTTGTGCAGCCCTCCCCCCTCCCCCATCGCGGATCCACGATCGTCTCGCAAGCGAACAAGTAGATGCGTCCTCGGTCGAGAAGACGGAAAGGAATCAATGCCGGCTCCTTCGATTCGAGTTCCCATGCTCTGCTGCAGGCTGCAGGAGGGTGAATCGCGTCAGTGCGAAACGAGTCCCCGCAGGGCATGCGCCAGTTGAAGCGAATGAGACGCCTCAGCTCTTTTTGAGCGGCTTAGCTCTTTTGAGCGCACTTGTTTGCGGTAGATTTTCAGATCTTCGCAGCCATGGTGGCGGAGGCACGTCGGTAGCTGTGTGCTCTTACAGCAGTCTGGCACTGGAACGTGCCGCCGTTCTATCCGCGTGCAGTTTCTGCTGCTATGTCTCCGCCCGTACAGTCTGGATGTGGAAGCTTGCCCGACATGTTTGACATGTTTCGCAGGTCGTGCTGCCGGTCGTAACGTGCAACACCTTTTTGCACGTGATCGATGACAAGGTCCACAACGAAAAGGGGTGCTGGTGAGTCCGCTGCATAATCGTAAATGCACCACTTGTAGATAGATCAAGGTCTTGGACACGTGTGTACCCGAAAGCTGTGAGAAAGTGCAAGAGGCATGGCCGAGTGCCTGGACTTGCAACCCGTGCAGAAACAAGTTGAGGGATGAAATCAGTGCTTCCGGGCGGAGATATCTCACGAAACCCCGGAATTGGAAGAGGAAGTTGTGTTGTGGACGGTTTCCGCAGATGTTGGGTTGAGCCTTTGACTTTCAGAGCCGGGTAGCCGGATGCAGAAGCAGCTCATGATGCTCATGGCAGGTTTAGGCATGCAATTTCGGTGCGCCCATTTTGGCGTTCTGGTCTTTTCCTGGAAAGGGTTGGGCTGAATTGTTGGCTGCAGTAGATTATGCCGAAATCCACGCAGATCCAATTTAGTTTGTTTTGGGGAGGTTGCGAAGCAGAGGTGAGATCCAAACGGTTCAGGTCTCAGGGGTATGCAGGGGCGCATTACTGAGATCCAGCAGGTTTCAGCACGAGGGTTATTGGAATCCCTGCAGACACTCCTGCCATTTCCTGTCCAGGAGAAGGCGCAAGCAATACAACCGCGACGGCGGAAGTCATGCGGTGACGGGGTTGAGGCAAGTGTCAAGTGCACAGCCAGCCGGTTGTGGCGCGCAAGCCCACGGCCAACGAGTCACAACAGCCGATGACCTGCGAGGCGACCGGTACCAACCTCTATGGGCTACTGGCTCGGCGCTCAGCCGCCTAGCGGTTTCAAAGCAGGTCCTGATGGAGATCAAAGGATTGCAATGCTTAACTATTTAAACCAAGTAGTTTTAGGCAAAATCCCAAAGCAGAGCTCAACGAATCGGAGGCTGTGAGCCTGCTCGGCCCCGGCAATGACAGGTGGCTGCTGGGTTTTGGTGTTTCCTTGCTTTCAAGACCTGTCAGAGCGAGCATGACCTTTCCGACTCATCCTGTGTGTTGCAGTTCCTTTTCCTGTAGGGTCCCTGATCAGACTTGTCCCTCGGACGTCGCTTGTTCAGGCCTCAGAAGGAGCTCGTGACATGGACCTCAAGGTGGCACCCAGTTCTCGGTCAGCATCCGGAAGATCCGGTGTGGCTCTCTGCCACCACGCTGATCATCAAGAACTTGCCTGCTCGCTGCAGGCTGCAGGACTGCAGGGGCACTATCGTGAACTGTCGTGAACTTTAGTGAAACAGTAGTGGCACAGTCCACATCTACTGCATCTTACCAGTCATGGAGGCCACACCTAGACACCTACACTTGATATCAGCCCAACAGCCTTTCCGAAGCACCCACACCGATGTCGCACGGGGGGACAGTGCCTGCATCTGGTTTGCTCAAACTTGAAGGCGCAAGGTGGGGGGTAAAGTTCGTCCCTAGCTGATCGAATGAGGAGCTCGTCAGTTTCATCAAGGACATTGTGGTTGCTGACGAGAGCTTGAGAATATTTCTTCCCTTTCAATCGCAGAAGGGCAAGAACAAAGGCTATTCTCTTGTAAGTTCCACACGCTGCCTGCAGCCCCTGGCCGCTTCGCTTTGGTCCAAGACCTTGCGTGGCCGTCACATCAAGATTGAGGCCTGCACCGAACCGATCAAGTCCGACACCACAGCTGTCTACCGGCTTGGTGATTAGACGTTTTTCAGGAAGTTTTGACGCGTTGTGCGGTTCCAGGGTACGTTTCAGTTCCAAGCAGAGACTTGCAGAAGACCTCGCTTCCGCAGCTCTGGCATCTGTTTCCCCGCGGCCCTGGCACGGAGCGCAAGAATGCGCTGTATTTGGCAGCGCACGAAAGCGAGAGATGTGTGCATACCTCAGTACTGTGTAAGGTTCATACGTACAGGACATGCTACGCGCACAACTTGAAACGCTCGCTTTGACCCATGAGCCACCAGCCAAGGGGCCAAGGGGGCCCCAAGGGCCGGTGCAACAAATGTGCACCACAACAGAGTTGACGCTGACTGAGTCGTCCAGAACTTCTGAGAAGTTTTGGCAGCGGCACTGCGCAGCACTTGTGTAGAGGGTAAGGACGGCGCAAGCGTCGGACATGGCTTTTTTCCCCACTTCTTGGTTTCGTGGAAGCGGGCTGAAGCCTTCCATGCATGCAGGGAGTGCTTGCTTTGTCGCGGAGCCGGCCTGGAGCACCATGTCATGAGCAATAGGCATCGGTTTCGAAGTTGAGCCGCCCTGAGCATGGGCTTGACCCGCACGGCCATGCTCGCCGGGCTTGCGCATCTCGTACATACAGATATCATGTACGAAGTTCCTGATAATGCACAGCTTCATGAAACTGTGGGAGCAGTGCCGAAATGCGCAGCATGCGCACTCGCATTCTGCTCAAGAAGGCGGATACATGCCACAGGTCGTTGAGAAATAGCCATAGCCAGATTCTACAGTACTCAGCACGCTTACTGACTTGTCCTACGGCGAGTAGCACAGCGCGTGCTTCGGAAACGATGTGTGCAGCTCTCGGAGTTCGAAGTTTTTCCGAAGTGAACATAAGTGAGCTCCCATGGTTTTTGATGATTTTGGAAGAGCCGGAGCCGGTGCTGGCGAGGGCGTACATACAGTCTCATGTTTTTTTGTCAGCAACGCTGAGTGACTCTGGCAGAGCAAGTTTGCAAAAGTGGCTGTGTATGGCGGACAGAATGGGTTTGTGTTGAAGTGAGGCTACAAGTTTGGTCAAAGAACGTAGACGTTAAATGCTGTCACACAAAACTTTGCCAGACCTCCTGCCCCGTTTCGGGGATTTTCGGACGGCGCATAAGGTTAGGACACAGCCAGAAAGCAAGTGGAGACGTTCTTGCGCTGAAGCCCCTGAACCACTCGAACTTTTCAGCGGAAACGGCTGCCTCACGGTCTGCTCACCAGAAAGAAAGCTGTTCCATTGTTGTTACTCGTTGCAGCAAAGATAGCACAGGGATGTCGTGCGCCCGAAGGCTAGGGTGCTGTATGCTCTAGTAGCTAGCATGGCAGCAGCCGTGTGCCGGCAGACCTCTGGAAGTCATGATGCGAGGCAGTTCGGTCCAGGGCCAGGGTGCCTGGGTTGGGATATTCCGTTATTCAAGGACGAGTGTGCTGGGTGAGACCGTCAGACTTAGGGGAGACGGGCCAGGGTGCAATTTGACGACAGCTGGTTTTTGTGTCTTGTGCCGAGTCGTGTGCTTAGGTACATGTACACAGTGTGGCGATGCTTAGGCGCCCCAGCACATCAGTCATCAACACTCCGCTGCCGAAAGCTTGCTTCATTGGATCTCTGCATACCGAACATCTCTTAAAAGACATGCGGCTCATGGTCCCCAATCGCCAGGGTATGCGCAACATGTTCCTCGTAGACCCGCAGCTCTCCTTTAGAGTTTCAGCCTGGCCCATTGGGAGGTGAAACAAGCAGGGAGTCAAGAGCAGGGAGCAGATCACGCCGCACCCTCAGCGGCCTTGGCGGCCTTAGCATCTCGTTATGATTTGCTGTGCTTCTCTGAGGGTAGACGCGTTCCATGTGCCGCCACAGCATTTTGCTGCAAGCTCAGTCGCGATCAGTCGCGCTCCCTCTTCCGAGATGAAGGGCTTCTCGGCGATCCTATCTGGCCTGGCTGTGGTTGCTTTGTGTGCGGCTGCAACCAAGTACGAGGCTGAGGATGCACTCCTTGCGGGGAGTGCCAAGGTGGCCTCTTGCTCAGCCGCATCCGGTGGACAGCAGGTCAAGGATCTGGGCACAGATGGCTCCAGCAGCGGATCTGTGACTTTCACGGTCACCGTGGCGACGGCCGGCTACTACCAGGTGCTTGTGCAGTACATGTCGGCAGTGGACCGGTCAGCTGAGATTGCCGTGAATGGTGGTGCGCCGGCCACGCACAGCTTCACCGACTCGGGAGTTTGGTGCTTTGCTGGCGGGGTCACTGCAAGCAAGACCGTGGAGCTGCTACTGGCTGCAGGCACCAACAGCATCAAGCTGAGCAACCCCTCGGCCTGGGCGCCTTTGATCGACTTCATCGATGTCCCAGCGACCCCTTCCACCTTGCTCACCACGACTACGACTACCCGGCCACAAGTGTCTTATGAGGCAGAGGCTGGCACCTTGGCGGGCACAGCCGTGGCGGTGAGTTGCAGCACAGCATCCGGTGGGCAGATGGTCAATGGCTTGAAGTATGGCCCTACGAACTCCTTGCTGCTTACGGTCTCTGCTGCCGCTCCCGGCATCCACTACATGACCGTGAAGTATTTCAGCAAGAATGAGCGCAATCTGATCGTCACCGTGGGCACGATTGCACAGACGATCAAGATGCCCCCTAGTGGCAATTGGTGCTTCGAGGGTGGTGTCCCAAGCCAGTACTCCATCAACGTGAACCTTACCGCAGGCCTCAACAGCATCACGTTCGAAGCACTCCCTGCAGAGGAGGCGCCAGTTATCGACAGCATCCTGCTCGAAAAGCAAAACCCCAAGAAGGGTCTCATTGTCGGCAAGGACGTGAGCTTAGAGGATGCTTCCCACTTCGGAGAGTACATCTCCTGGTATTATCGCTATGCTCCCACGGAGCCGAGCGAGATGCGTGCCTGGGCCACGCAGAACAACATCGAATATGTGCCCATGATAGGCTACGATGCGATGCCATTGCTGGATGGCACTAAATGCGCTTTGCTGGCCCGTGCCGTGGATCCAGCTAATAATGTCACAAGCATCTGCAGCTACCAGGACGTCTTGGATACTGTGGAGTCGAACAACATGAGCCGCACAAAGTACATCTTTGGCAGCAACGAGCCATGGAATCCCAACGATGCCAACATCACAGTTGCGGAGGGTGTGCACATTTGGACGACTTACACACAGCCTGTGGCGCAACAGCTTGGGCTGATGCTCTTGTCGCCAAACGTGGGCCGGAGCACCAGACAGTTGGATTGGATCGAAGAGTTCCTGAAGCTTTGCTTTGACACCGTGGGCTGCGATGTGGACCTAATGCGAGGGGTCATGGTGCACGAGTACAAGTGCAAGGAGAGCTATTGGATCAGCAACTACGATGACAACGGCTTCTTCTTCACAGATTTGGGAAGCCGTATGGGCAGCTATGGCGGAAAGGATTGGGGTTCTTGGCTTGATGCGCAGGAGATTTGGGTCACCGAGACGAACTGCTTCTGGGAGACCACGCAGCCGCACCCCAGCAACGTTCAGCAGTGCCAGGCGGTGACCAACCAGCGCACGTCTAGCCATGGCATGGGCTCGCTGCAGTGGATGGAGAAGAGTAGCATCAATCGCTACGCCTGGTGGACCACCGTGAACAAGAACCCTTCCAAGACTCAGCTCCTGGTGGACTACACAACAAAAGAGTTGAATCCGACTGGCCTTGCATACATGAACCCAGTGTCCGCCACTTCTTGCTGAGCAAGGTTTTGGCAGTTCCAGCGCTGCGCTGCATCTTTGTACAGGCTAAGGACGGCACAGGCGTCCGACATTAGGGCCTTCTCAGCTCGGCTGGTGTACCCCACTTGCGCTGGCCTCGCTGAGCTCCTAGCTCCTTAGCTCCATGCACGATATGCACGATGCAAGGAGCCGGCAGGTTGCTCAAGCCCGGGACTCGCTGGGCAGACGCAAACGCTGCAGAGAAAAACGCAGAGGTTCCTCCTCCTACCGTGGTAACCCGACTTCTCTGTCCAAGCAGAAAGTAGGATCGCACTCGTGGGAACTCAACATGTCATAAAGGAACATGTGAGAGCCGTTTGCTAAAGGTGCAAGGTTCAAATTGCAGCTTGTTGCATTGTCGTGCCTAGCGCGTCAGAACATGCCACCGGTGTGAGCAGAGCAAGCCTGTTGCAGTAGGACTTTCAGCCTGCGTCCGTTGTCTCTCCCGCAGGTACCGTGGACCGCAACTGCTTCCGGCCTCCAGTACCGCGACGTTGCCATGGGCAGAGAGTCAAAGAGATGTGGGAGGGGTTGCTGTGGAGTTGTGCCGGCATGTGTGGGCTAGAGGCTGTCGCACAATGCTTGACGAAGTTTGACATGGAGCTGGCGCCCTGTCCCGCTGCCCTTGGGATCAAGATCACATGTTAGCATCGATGTTGCCTATGCCGCGTAGAGACCTCCAAAGGTCAACTCGAAGAGTTGCTGCGGGCAGAAAATTTCAGAACAGTTCCGATCAGCAGAGTCTTTAGAGTGGCTACAGAGAGATGTCGTAGAGTCAGACGATGAGTGGCGATGAAGCGATTGCGTGAGCGGGTTCCAACGAAGAACTTGAGGGCCAGAGCATTCTTCCCTCGGGCCTTCCGCTCGTTTCACTGCGCCTCACCCGGCCAGGCAAGTAGTCGATGGGAAGTGGATCGTGACCCGACACTTCGACGTACGCTCTGGTGGCAGCAAAAGGAAAACACAAAGAATGGCTTCACGCAGCTTCGGAGGCTGAAGGAGCGAGAGTTATTTTGATTTTGCATTCTTACCCTGGCGATGTCTGAGTGCTTGCGTTTCTTAACGGATCATGTGAAAGATATTGACAAAGAAGGGTTGGTTTGTGGCTCAGCCACCTGCTGTCGCTTCTGTTGTGCAAAGCTTAGCAAAGCAACCTGTTGGCTCTTGCGCCTGCCCGCATGCCACTCCTGGAGGGACCAGCTGTGTGTAGGTAGGGGCGCTGCGCGCGGGTGTGCTTGCCAGCGCGAGCTATTGCGATTCGAGCTCATGGCCTGCTGTGGCTCCCGCACGTCTCCCACACCCTTGGAGCTTTATGCGCAATCGCTGCCACATGAGGCGGAAGCTGCTGGGCATCAATACCAGAAGAAGTAGCGGTGGGTGGCGGCGGCAGGCGGAGGAGTAGTAGTCGTCGTCGTAGTGGTAGTAGTAGTAGGACGACCCTTCCTTGGGTCTGCGTAGCTGATGCCAGTGTCTTCGCATACTCGTTCTCCCGAAGCCCACACATCATGGTTTTGGGCCTGCGGTTGCTCTAAATCCATATTAGATCAGTCTTTCGCGAATGTTGAGCACCCCCAAGAAATTTGCAGTGTCTGCCATTGGAAGAGGTCAGGAGGCGCATTGGGTCCAAAGCCACAGAATTTCCAGGGTTCTTGGTCTTTGCGTGTTTGCTGTGGTGGGGATGGTGGGACATAGCTGCACGATGGGGAGAAAGGAGCTCCCAGCCTTCGCGGCAGAAGCGGTAGGCGACAGAGTCGACACGTACGATTCTCAAGGAAGTCTTTGCGTGAGGAGCTTCTAGGAAAGGTGCCATCGACGGCTTGCAGGGCAGCAACAGCATGTAAGCCGTTTGAGCAAAGTCGTGCAGGGGAGAATACAGCAGTAAACAAATGCATGTCATATCAGTCATGCATATGCCATGCCTAGCACCAAGCAGCCTGTTGAGGCTCCTCCAATGCTCTTCCCCATGTATACCGTGACCGCAAATGTGCTCCTCCAGATGACAAGCGTCGAGCCGCACGAGAAGTTGAAGGCCGAAGCAAGCAGTGGTGTGGATAATTAGTATTGATATACGGTTATAGAAGGAGTTGCAGTGTAAGCAGGATGCGACAGATTTGCCTTTTGGATGTAACTCTGGCGGCATGGGTGACACTGGAAAATAGAATGGACAACAAGAGAGTGACATGAAATGGAACATGAAGGGCCGTCGTGTACAGGGATTCAAGAAGGGCGCCCGGACAGCACAATGGTTTAGGATCACTGGTTGCTAGGCTTACTGTCCCTTATTCTGTCAAGGCATCGATTCCAGCATCCATTTGGCTGTTCGAGTTCTGCCTCGCGACCTTGACCGTAGTTACAAGGCGGTAGTCTTTGACCTCCTCAAACAGCCCAAAGACGAGATCAGGCCATTGTAACCATCAAGGTGGTATATTGCGATTTGACTAGGTCCAACTGTGGAAATTATTTGGGGTCCAGGTAGGACGGATTGCGCCTAGGAAATAAGGCCCGTGAGGGGAGTACCATTTGACCGAGAGCCACGTCGAGCACCCAGCATAGAGATGTTCAGATCTGTTGAGACCTTCTTAGAAAGCCATTGCTTCCGCCCCCCCCCCCCCCCCCCCCCACGTGCTTTTTCTTGATTTCACGGGCCCAAGGGATGCCCCTCAGAGCACCTAGCCGGTATTTTTGTTTTGTCCACGCCTTCTATATCCAGTACTGCTGCTTCTGGTCTCCATGTCACTACCCACCTCATTGTCTTGTTTGACTTGCAACTGTTACCTGTGCGCCCCATGCTCTGAAGGCGCGGGGCGAGCTGTGCATCTTCAGTCACAGCATGGGCAAGGCAGCTTTTGTTTCGCACCAGTGGGTTTCCGCGTACCATCCAGATCCCGACTTCAAGCAGATGAAGGTCTTGCAAGATGCCGCTTGATCGCAGGGAGTCCAGTGCCACGATGCATGCGCACTTGCCGCAGAAAAGTGGGAAGAGCTTCCCTACCAGCTGTAGCTAGTATTCTTTGTTAGTTGCAAAATCATCAGCAGCTCTGCGTGCTTCTGGACTGCCCAGGTTGTGAAGCGGCTGCTGAGCAGCGATGGGTCCATTTCGGTGGACATCACCACCGAAACCCTAGTGCGAACGGCCAAACCGCTCCGCATGCAGGAGTTCCAGGTGCAGATGGAACATGAAACAGAAAACGGAAGGGGTCGAAGTGATGAAGGGACCAGGCCAACCAAATACACTTTCTTGTTGCTTTTTTGCATTCTTTATCATGGGACATCCCGTTCTCAGGCGCAGGCACTCTTCTTTTGGTACGATTATTTTTCGTGCCCACAGCTGGAGCGCCGGCACGGTTTTGGTGCAGATGACGAGGATAGTAGCAAGCAGGCCGATGCCATCAATAGCATCCCCGCCTACGTCACCAATTGCCACTTCTTTCTGGCCCTGTGCCCGGTGATCGATTGCTTTGAAGAGAACAAGGTGCTCTCACCGCTCACGTGGAGCCGAAGAGGTTGGTGTCGTGTGGAAAGAATTGGTCGTGAGCTGTCGAGAGAAAGTACCTGGGTTCTGATCCAGAGCAGCACGTTCATGGAAGTTGTTGGCACTCTGAATTCCTTTCCGGCTGGAATGGTCGGGGAGGGCAATTTCACAGTCCGGGAGGATAAGCAGAAATTAGGCCCGGTGATGCGGCAGATGATCGTGCAAAAGCTGCAGCAGTCGCTGCGATCTGGCGACCTGCCCGGATTCCGGCGCTACTTCAACCTAAATGGTGTCTACCTGCGTGAGCTTCAGGTCGAGCCTGTGGGCGGCTTTCTTCCCAGCTGCGAAAGCCGAGCCGGCAACGTAGTAGCGGAGTTCCTGCATCAAAACGGCTTCAGGAGAATTGGAGAGGTCGACAGCGCGGGGTGGCGGCCACTGCACTATGCGGCACTGGGTGGCAACGCAGAAGTTCTGCAGGGCATGCTGGAGCAGCGTGCCAACGTGAACTGGCGCACGTCGAAGGATGTGCCTGCCATGGGCAGCCCACCCTGGATGTCGGCACTGGATATTGCATCGGGTGCGAAGCACTACCAGGCTGCACGGCTGCTTATCGAAGCAAGGGCCCATCTTGAAGGCGGGCTCCTGCCTTCCCTCATGGTTGCCACCTTCCCCAACGATGCGGAGATTATCCGACTGCTCTGCGATGCAGGTAGCAATCCACTGCACCGGAACCTTATTGGGAACACCGCCTACCTGGCTGCAGCGGGTCATTGGGTGCAAGGAGTACTGCATGCTTCCATAGTTGAGGTACTGCCCCACTGTAACAGCTGGACAATCTTTCTAGTATGCATACATATATGTATATATATATATATATATATATATATATATATATGCTACCCCCCCCCCCCCCCCCCCCCCCCCCCCATGGACCTACCAATTTCCTTTGTTTTTATCCATGAATTTCGCGGTCTAAGCCACATGGTTTGAAAACCATGGATTTTATGGATAACATTGGTTTTACCGATGTTTTCGGGCTCTATCCTTCAAAAACATTGGTAGAACCAATGTCATCCGTGAATTGGGTGCTCCCAGCCACATGGTTTGAAAACCATGGGTTTTATGGATAACATTGGTTTTGCCGATGTTTTCGGGCTCCATCCTTCAAACACATTGGGGTAAAACCAATGTTATCCGTGAATTGGGTGCTCCCAGCCACATTTTTAGAAAACCATGGATTTTATGGATAGCATTGGTTTTGCCGATGTTTTCGGGCTCCATCCTTCAAAAACATGGGTAAAACTAATGTTTTCCATGATTTTCGTGATCTGAGGCTCTCTCCCAGCCACCATTTCTCGAGGTAGTACCAAGCAACAAACTCGAATCCTGCAAAATCTCGAGGGAGTACCAAAACCTCCTTATAATCAATCACGCCCCAATACGCAAGACATGACATCTGTCCTAAAAACACTACCTTAGCTACGATATCTCAAACAGTCATCCCCCGATAAGCAAGACCTAATATCTATACTAAACCTGTACCTTAGCAACATATCTTAAGACATCACGCCCTAAGGCTCCTACCAATTTAATAAGGTTCCTATCAATTTCAACAGGATTCTTATGCATGTTACTGGGATTCGCATAGGATTCTCATTAATTTTAAAGGATTCCTATTGGATTAGGCTCATACTAGTTTAGTAGGATTCCTATCAGTTCTTGTTAAAGGATTCTATTGTTTTTAAGGCCTATTGGTTCCTATTGATTTAGAAAGATTCCTTCTCGTTTTAATAGGATTCCTGTGACTTGTAACCCGGGTTGTTTCCAACTTGTTAAGTTCCTATTCATTTGAATAGGCTTCCTTCCTATTAACTGTTGTCCGGTCCCGATAATTCAATAGAGGATTCCTATTTACTTTCATAGGATCCCAATAAAGTTTCATAGGGTTCCTAATTATTCATAAGGCCCCTATTTTCTGTAATAAGAGTCCTATCAATTTTAATCAGATTCTTATTCATGTTAATGGGGTTCGTGTTAATATTAAAGGGATCTCATTCACTTTCAAGGGATTCCTGTTGGTTTAGGCGCATGTTCATTTTAATCGGTTTGTCTAAAGGTTCACGTTATTTCTTATAGGAGTCCGATTGGTTCCTATTAATTTGAGTAGGGTTCCTCTTCAGTTTAATTGGATTCCTACTAATCCTATTAATTCTACGAAAATGTTGGGAGAGTACCAAAACCTCCTTACAATCAATCACGCCCCAATACGCCAAGACATGACATCTGTCCTTAAAACTATACCTTAGCTACGATATCTCAAACAATCATCCCCCGATAAGCAAGTCCTAACATCTATACTAACACTGTACCTTAGCAACATATCTTAAGACATCACGCCCTAAGGCTCCTACCAATTTAATAAGGTAGGATTCTTATGCATGTTACTGGGATTCGCGTAGGATTCTCAGTGATTTGAAGGGATTCCTATTGGATTAGGCTCATACTAGTTTAGTAGGATGTTAGAGGATAAAAACCATGATTTTTCAAACTGCTCGGAGACCCAAGCCCATAGTTTGGAAAATCATGGTTTTTATGGTTTTTATTGGTTTTTGCGATGTTTCGTGAGCATGGGTTCAAAAAACATCGGTAAAACCAATGTTTGTTTGAAGGTAGGGGTTCAAAAACATCGGTAAAACCAATGTTTTGGAGAGGCCACCTTCAAAAAACATCGGTAAAACCAATGTTTTTGGAGCCCCTGCTCAGGAAACATCGCAAAAACCAATAAAAACCATAAAAACCATGATTTTTCAAACTACTCGGAGACCCAAGCCCATAGTTTGGAAAATCATGGTTTTTATGGTTTTTATTGGTTTTTGCGATGTTTCGTGAGCATGGGCTCAAAAAACATCGGTAAAACCAATGTTTTTTTGAAGGTAGGGGTTCAAAAACATCGGTAACACCAATGTTTTGGAGAGGCCACCTTCAAAAAACATCGGTAAAACCAATGTTTTTGGAGCCCCTGCTCAGGAAACATCGCAAAAACCAATAAAAACCATAAAAACCATGATTTTTCAAACTACTCGGAGACCCAAGCCCATAGTTTGGAAAATCATGGTTTTTATGGTTTTTATTGGTTTTTGCGATGTTTCGTGAGCATGGGCTCAAAAAACATCGGTAAAACCAATGTTTTTTGAAGGTAGGGGTTCAAAAACATCGGTAAAACCAATGTTTTGGAGAGGCCACCTTCAAAAAACATCGGTAAAACCAATGTTTTTGGAGCCCCTGCTCAGGAAACATCGCAAAAACCAATAAAAACCATAAAAACCATGATTTTTCAAACTACTCGGAGACCCAAGCCCATAGTTTGGAAAATCATGGTTTTTATGGTTTTTATGGTTTTTGCGATGTTTCGTGAGCATGGGCTCAAAAAACATCGGTAAAACCAATGTTTTTTGAAGGTAGGGGTTCAAAAACATTGGTAAAACCAATGTTTTGGAGAGGCCACCTTCAAAAAACATCGGTAAAACCAATGTTTTTGGAGCCCCTGCTCAGGAAACATCGCAAAAACCAATAAAAACCATAAAAACCATGATTTTTCAAACTACTCGGAGACCCAAGCCCATAGTTTGGAAAATCATGGTTTTTATGGTTTTTATTGGTTTTTGCGATGTTTCGTGAGCATGGGCTCAAAAAACATCGGTAAAACCAATGTTTTTTGAAGGTAGGGGTTCAAAAACATCGGTAAAACCAATGTTTTGGAGAGGCCACCTTCAAAAAACATCGGTAAAACCAATGTTTTTGGAGCCCCTGCTCAGGAAACATCGCAAAAACCAATAAAAACCATAAAAACCATGATTTTTCAAACTACTCGGAGACCCAAGCCCATAGTTTGGAAAATCATGGTTTTTATGGTTTTTATTGGTTTTTGCGATGTTTCGTGAGCATGGGCTCAAAAAACATCGGTAAAACCAATGTTTTTTTGAAGGTAGGGGTTCAAAAACATTGGTAAAACCAATGTTTTGGAGAGGCCACCTTCAAAAAACATCGGTAAAACCAATGTTTTTGGAGCCCCTGCTCAGGAAACATCGCAAAAACCAATAAAAACCATAAAAACCATGATTTTTCAAACTACTCGGAGACCCAAGCCCATAGTTTGGAAAATCATGGTTTTTATGGTTTTTATTGGTTTTTGCGATGTTTCGTGAGCATGGGCTCAAAAAACATCGGTAAAACCAATGTTTTTTGAAGGTAGGGGTTCAAAAACATCGGTAACACCAATGTTTTGGAGAGGCCACCTTCAAAAAACATCGGTAAAACCAATGTTTTTGGAGCCCCTGCTCAGGAAACATCGCAAAAACCAATAAAAACCATAAAAACCATGATTTTTCAAACTACTCGGAGACCCAAGCCCATAGTTTGGAAAATCATGGTTTTTATGGTTTTTATTGGTTTTTGCGATGTTTCGTGAGCATGGGCTCAAAAAACATCGGTAAAACCAATGTTTTTTGAAGGTAGGGGTTCAAAAACATTAGGTAAAACCAATGTTTTGGAGAAGCCACCCATTTTTTGAAACATCGGTCAAGCCGAGGTTCAAAAAAAAGGTAGGTCCATGGGGGGGGGTACCATATATATATATATATATATATATATATATATATACAGAGCCGATTCATACGACCCCTGGTGCAGATGGCGGCAGTACCCAATCCATAGTAATGAAAGACCACAGGCACAGAAACAGAAGGGCCTCACCCGACCTCACCCAAACAGTGGGTATATATGGTCAGGCATATGGCGTTCCTAGCGGGTGGGTAGCGGGGGGGGGGGGGGTTGCGTGTGCGAAGACAGGGGCACCCGCAAGCCCTACGCAAGCCATAATCCCTATAATGTAGCGGTAGCGCGTGCTCCTGTTTTAGTTGCATCAACCCTATCCCCCAACCCTAAACCCCGCCTAAATGCAGGCTCCAAGCCTAAACCGGCAACCCTAACGAACCAAATCCTCCCGAAGCCCTTGTCGACTCGAAGCCGTATGCTTTCTAAAACCCAAAACCCGCCACAACCACCCCACAGCGGGAAGAGGGACGCCACACCCCACACCACAGGGGAGGGGTGCCCCACCTATATCCAGACCATTGACCTTTGGGGGGGCGGGGGGGGGGGGGGGGTTGGGGGCGCGGAGCGCGTGACCACATATTAGAAGCTCATCCCAGAATGGCCTTAACTTGGCGCGGAAAGTAAGGTCATGCGGCAACAGAAGCCTTGGAGGAGCTCGTGGCACAGGTCGACCCAGGCCCACTGGAGCTTTCACGGGCGCTGCAGTTTGCCGCAGCTTTCCGGGGGGGATCGGCCAAGCTGGTGCGCCGATTGGTCGGCCTGCGACTCGCCATTGCCCGTGAGAAGATGGGTCCAAACTGGTTGTACTGGAATCTCCTTTTAGGTTGCGTAGAAAAATCATCAGGGGAGTGCAAGGGCAGTGGGACTGAAAGCTATTTGTGGGGTGAAGCAGACACTTGCGTTTTGGTATATTGTGGAAGAGGTGGCATGGACGAACACGACGACAACTTCAAGCTCAGGGCGACAAAGTAAGGAGTTGAATCTGAGTTGAACGCTCCCTAGCCTGCGGTCGGGCACAAGCGTTAGTCCTGGAAATTCAACCCCGCCAGAACGGCTTTTTTGCATATGCGGCTCCATAATTAGAATGCATGCTTCACTTGCTCTCCAGCTTTGCCCACACTGCCGGTATCCAGGTGGCTGACTAGACCAAAGCCAATCTGCACAGTCAACTTAGCTACAGACTAACTATTCGTGTTTTCTGTTTGACCTTCTTACAATCTGGACAACCATGCTGTTACGTTCTTCTGAGTTGTGCAAAGGGGGCCCAAGCTGCCAAACCTTTTTGCGACAACCATGTACTTCTACGTGGAGCCGCAGGGAATATGGAACATTGTCTTTTCTGTTTTTCGCAACAGATTCTGGGCCATTGTACCAAT